ACTGTTTCATATGCCGGATCATTGTAGACCTTTTTCCAGTACTCATCCCACATGGAGTGTTCACCAACCGTTCCAAGGCTGGCCTCGTTCGTCAAACTAGAAGACAGACTTGCACCCACGGTGCAGAGAAGATGACCCTCAGGGCCGGAAGATCTTACTCGTTCGATATCGTCACTGTGGAAGTCGCGGGAAATCTGATATTGCTGTGTCGCTATCTCTTTGAAGAATTCGAGCTGTCTTATCCTGAAAGGCTGAAGCTTCTTGATGGCTGCTTGATCCACATGTTTAACGTAATCCTTGATGTAGTATAACGCGCATGCTTCATGTAAAGCGTTAAATCCACTAGATTGCTTTTTTGACTCCATACAGGAGGGGATAATGCTCGATAACGCAGGCTCGGTCAGCAAATCGATATCTAAATCCCATTTCAGCTCATATGCCAACTGGCCCTTCATTCTTCTTAAATCTGGAGAAGAATCTGGTCCAAGGCGCCTGCACCGTAGACCTGCAATAGAAATTGACGGTCGCTGAGATTCATCCACAACTGCAATCGAGGCTATGAGATCACCCTTTTTTGTTCGCTGTGTTTCTGTAAAAACATTCAGCTTGCAACCAGCTGCATAATCTGTGCGGCACGACACGCGCATCTCATCGATACGAACAGGAACAGCAGGGTCGTTGATTACATCCGTATTTACGAATATTGTGTGAATTATAGTGTCCAAAGTGCAGGGATGTATCAGAAATGGATACTGAAAATTCATGGGCATCACCGCAGCAGTATCTGGGGTGACGACCTCTGCTACACACGTTGAGTCCTTGAAGCGTGCTTGTTTGATGTTAGCGAAACATGGTCCGTACGCAAGGCCGACACTGGCTAGGTTCTTGTAAAACAATTGGATGTCGAGGGAAGTAAAGTCGTCTTGAGCTGCTCCCTCGGATTCAAGCTCGGATTCGGCCCAGTTGCTATTTTGTGCTCCAATCCAACCATTACAATGCTCTGTCCATATGTTGTCCTGTGTGACTGAGTAAATATGAAACTTGTGAGCCTGGTAGGAACCGCGAGAATTGCTCTCGCATTGACTGAGTGTGAGTAAGGTCTCTACAGCCGCTGTCTCGTGAAGAACTAGAGCCGATTGGATGTATATATCACGAATATAGACTGTGGGTATCTGATCGGTGGCGGTATCATTTAACACATGCTGAAGGAATGCCTCTATCGCCATGACAACATACCCAGCAGCAGGATATACAATATTAGACTCGATTTTATGGTCCAATAACCAGGGATTTTCAGACACGCGAAGAACATTTCTCCACAAAGGCTGAAAAGGACAAACCATCCTATCGATGACACCCAACAGATCTGTCCGGGCGTGCTTGCGATTGCGAAAGGTCTTGCTTATCCGAGGCTCCGCCCAATATGAGTGGATGTGACTCCACGCATATGGAGGTAGGTCAACAAGCACGCTTGGTTCTTGGGAGGTGGTGGGATCGTTAATTGCCTGTGAGTCCATGGGATATCCGGCACACATTAGTGTAGCTGCAGCGGTTAGAGCAGTAGTAACAGCGTTGCTATCCCTGGTTAGAACGCTAATGTATACGATTTCGGCGGCATTGAGTTTCGTGTCATCTCGCAAGGTCTGTTTGATTGGTCCAGCCAGCGTAGCGTGAGGTCCAACCTCAACAAGGGCATCCACACTGACCTTTTGAGCCGTACCGGCTCGTTTGATTCGCTTGTTTCCTGGCGTCCTGACGGGGGCCCGCTGGTTAATTGTCTCGAAGCACAAGGCGCGCAACGAATCGACAAAATTCACCTGGCCCAGAAGGTTACTAACCCAATATCGTGAATCTAATTCGGATGGGTTGATCTCCGCTCCTGTTACAGAGGAGAAGAAGGATACAGATCGATTATGAAGATAGTTGGCAATATCCTCACGGCTCCGTGGGCTCACATGCGCTATATGGCCCAAGTACTGCTCCCTAACTAATTCCATGTGGTGCGAGTGGTATGCAACTTCCACTGCTAGTCGGCGGCTAAACACTTGCTTTTCGCGGACGATCTGCTCTAGTTCATCAATAGCAGGGAGGTCTCCGGCAATCGTGACGCTCACTGGGCTATTGATACACGCTACAACAGCCTTTCCCGGTTGGAGCTTATCGAGATACGACTGGCTCTCCTGGACAGACGCCCCCAAGGCAAGCATGGCCCCCCTTATCTGCCCATTAGCGAAAGGCGAGTTGGTGACAACCACTCCTCGGTAGTAAGCCACTGACATGGCATCCTCCATGGTCAGTGCGCCAGTCGCATATGCAGCGGCAATTTCCCCGCTAGAGTGTCCGGTCACCGAGTCTGGATGTATTCCCCAAGATGCCAGTAGATCAACCAGGGCTATTTGAAGGGCAGAGCATATGGGCTGGCTGAAGAGGGGGTTGCTTAATCGCGAATCCTCTTGATTATTCAGGATCTCTTCTATATTCATTATCAGTGGATGCTGGTCATGACATGAAGTGAATACTGGTAAGGGGTAATACCAGATTAACGTACCCACCATACAGTAAGGAGCACCAATGGATTTTATAAAGTCGTTGATTCTTCGAATTGATTCGTGAAACACCGGATATGCCTCGAGTAGCTCCTTTCCCATTCCTGCCCACTGCGCACCCTGTCCCGTGAAGACGAAACCCATACTTGGTCGTCGACGAGCTTTAGCAATTTTAATCCGACCAGATAATGCTTCTGCTAGTGTTTCAGGAGATGTTCCCACAATGGCAGCTCTACAGGCATGGATCGTACGGTGTTCGTTCAACGTATAAGCTAGGTTACTCATATATCTGTCATCTGCTTCAGATCTTTCCTTGAGGAGATATTCCAGAAAGTTTTGAAGCTGCCTTGTGGTAGACCTCTCATCAAGCCCAGAAAACATGTAGACTCGAGATCGTATGGGGAAAGCTTGGTTGGAATCGTTAGCATGCTCGCCGTATCGCACGATACGTCTCAGTCCACGACTGTAAAGATAACCCGATGCATCTTCGAGTATGACGTGTGCGTTACTCCCACCATATCCGAAGCTGTTCACAGAAACGCGATGCGGACCCGGGTATTCCCACGGCTCCGCAGATAATTGTATCTGCGGCGGGCTTAATGACTATACCAAATGAAGATATTCGGAATACTTACCTTCAGTTTCCAGTCTTCGCATCGGATACGAGGATTGACCACTCGAAAGTTGCGGTTGGGAACAAAGGTCCGATTCTCGAGCATCAGGACGGCTTTAATAACGCCCGCAACTCCGCTCGTGCCCTCCAGATGGCCAACGTTGGTTTTGATGGACCCAATTCGTAGAGACCGTATGGGACTTCGGTTATGGCATAATACCTTTGCAAGAGCTGCCGCTTCGATATGGTCGCCAGCCTGAGTTCCAGTACCGTGGGCTTCGACGAAATCAGTCTCGCATGGATCGAGGCCAGCCACCTGGTAGACATGACGCATCAGAGCTTCTTGTGATGCTCCACTCGGTAAGGTAATTCCGGGGGTTCTGCCGTCTTGGTTCAACCCAGAGCCTCGGATTATGGCGCGAATGGGATCGTGGTGTTGAATGGCATCTCTTAGCGGCTTAAGAATCAAACACCCAATACCCTCGCCTCGGGCGTACCCGCTGGCATTTTTGTCGAACGTATGACATCGTCCGTCCGGGGAGAGAAACCTGGGAATTGGTTAAATATGCTTAAATACAATGAGTCTTTCCTACCAACTTCATCATAGTCATCGTTGACATGAACTCGTGGCTAAGAATCACGTTGACTCCCGCTGCGACGGCCATCGAGGCATCGCCAGTCCGAAGACTTTGGCATGCCAGATGGAGAGCTGTTAAACTACCCGAACAGGCGGTATCAACTGTAACACTAGGGCCCTTCATGTCGAAGAAGTACGACACTCGGTTCGCCATCATGGCTCTGGACTGCCCCGAGTTTGTGCACTGATACATTGGAATGCAGTCTGGATCACGGAGGAGAAGGTCGGTGTAGTCGGCGTTGAAACAACCAACAAAGCAGGCTGTTGAACTGCCCGTAATCTTTGCCATCGGGATACCAGCTATGGGCTGTGAGCGTGCACTCGGGTACGAGGACAGCATGGACATACCATTTTCGAAGCCTTCGTAAGTAACCTCAAGTAACAGCCGCTGCTGAGGGTCCATTGCCTAAGGGCAGGGGTATTAGAAAACCAATCTGGACCCAGTGGTTGCTCGAGTTTACCTACGGCCGCCTCGTCGCTTGTCATGTTGAAGAATGGTGCATCGAACAATGTCACATCTTCTGCTAGGAAATGTCCGCCTTCAACGTTGATCTTTGGGTGTGTCTTGTTGTCAATTCTACGATGGTCAAATATTTGAAGAATATGACGGTACTTACTGTTCCATGTCGTGAATGGTCCGGATGATAAAAGGCATCGTTATTCCATCGTGACTTTGGAATCGGACTCCACGCTTCCCGCCCTTCGAGAATCATCGTCCATAATTCCTTGACATTGATGGCACTCCCAGGCCCTCTGAAGCCTACCCCGACGATTGCTATGGGCATGCATAGATCTTCTAATAGGATGGACGAGTCATCTTGGTCTAATGATGTTGGTTCTGAAGTTTGAGTGGAGGGTGTCGGGATGGCGGGCGGACTATGTTCAAGGGAATCGGCTGTCATGATGGTTCAGCGACCCATGCATAGTAGCTAGAATAAAGTCACAAAACATAGGGGTACACATTGGAGCATGGGCAATACAGGAGCAACTGATTTGAAATATACGGTGTACAATAATTCCGTTAAGATCCGGTGCCAGTGTTGCACATCACAATGTCCCGAACTACATCCGCTGAGATCACCGAATCACTCTATTGGACATCGGATGATTCACATTTGGCTTTTTACTCATCGTTTCAGGATATATTTCATGATATATGGACAGGAGTGCAGAAGCAAGAAAGCATAAGCTAAAAGTCTAAAGGTCACCAAATTGCCAGCGCTTGAATTGCCAATTTCCGGATTGCTGCAGCGATGGAGGAAACGTTCTTTGTATCTGCTGGGATATTGTGACCTTTGCTGTGCACCACCCAGGTCGACATGGATGGATTGCATAGCCGATACAACGCAAGTGAGTACTCAAGCAGCGGATCTTCGGCACCGCCAATACTCACGGTTGGGACGTTGATGTACCCCTCCAGATCTGGATCGACCACTGGATCCCCACCTGGATCCATCCGGAATGGTGGGAGGGAGTTGATGAAGATAGCACAGCGAAACAAAGGTAGTTCCTGCGAGTACAACTTTGCACGGTGGATCAAGAATCCAGCTGCCAAAGTGCCCCCATGGGAGAAGCCCAGGACCCCATCGAAAGGACCTTCCTCTTCTACAGCGTCGTAAAGACGGTCGTACGCACTCAGTAAAGACTCTCCCTCGGTGTCATTGTCGGAAATGGACCGGGGAAACTTATAATAACTGTAGTAAGGACCGTCGTAGAAGCCCGAGATCCCCGGGCCTGGAATCGAATCTACATCGCCCTCGAGAAAGTGGAATGTGACCGTATTATCGCGACGAAGATCGGTCATTAGACCATCTATTTGTTAAGCTGATTGGTTTGTTCTAAGGCACCGTAGCACGTACTTAGCTGGGACTGCAAGATCTAGCACACATAGGTGAGTGCCACAAGCCTCGGCCATGCCGTGGATTTGGCTAACCTTGGTATTGGTGCCCCAACCATGGAGGCAAAGTAGTTTGAGAGGCATAATCACTGGTGTTGTTACCGCAGGTAACTGCCAATTGATGATAAGTATAAAGCCTAGCTGGAAGAGTATTTGTATCTCGGTATCAAAAACCGTCTTACTCGCATGGATGCGATGCTCATGATGCAGGTAGACTTCAAAAGTCCCCGTATCACCACGGAACATTTTCTTGAAAATATCAAACGGTAACACATCTCTGTTCGCTTTCTTAGTCTCATGCATCCTGATTGAACTTATTGACAACCCCGCGCTTCCCCGGTAAGCTCCCAGTCTTAGTGTACCGTGAACTAGTCTCTATAGTAATGCTGGGGAAAGGAATGTATTGTCAGATAGGGAGATTGTTCCATCACATAACAAGAGTTTCCCCTCGTATACTCCTACCACCGGCGAAGCAAACTAGAAACGTGTACCAGGTCCCAGTAAAAAAAGCAGGCGATAGCAAAGACACCCATAAACCGCTGCTGGTATCAATGACCGGCTCACACACTATCTACTAGTTTTCTTAGAGTCAAAGGCTTCCAATTCGATCCTATTTTCGTCTAATTGAAATATATTAGCAGAATTCATATATAGCACAGGCCAGCCGAACTTACCCCATGACCACTTTGACCAGTATTTCACCACTGTATCATTACTATAATCTATGGGAACGAAGGGATATCCCTAAGGGAGCTTTTCATCAAAAGCCCTTCGCACATTCTATCCTTAGAGCACGTATCCGACTTGCAGCAGTCGTCGTCCTTTTCACAAGCTTTCCTGCAATCAGGGCTCCACTTAACAAGCGGCTTGAAATCCGGCGGAAGATCATCTGGCGTAGGTATAAACTGAATCCTTGAGTCCGCCGTAGAGGCTAAGGGTTTCTCTGAAGGTGTAGGCTTCTTGACGTCGTCACGTTTTTCCGGAGGTGCAGAGGAATTATCTAACCAATGGGCTTTATCTTGCTCTATAGAATATTAGAAAATGAATATAAAAACTAAACAGCACTTACCCGTTGAGAGTTTTGACCAGTAATCCACTTGTGTACTGTTTGACCAATCTATATTTTGGCCTAATGGATATCCTTTAGGGAACTTTTCATTAAAAAGCCCTTCACATCTTTTATTACTCGAGCAGGTATCCGAACCACAACAATGGGAATCTATTTCACATGGTCGACGACATACTCGGCTGAATAAACGACCCTCAGGCTTATGGATTTTGAAATCCAGAAGTGGAGGACCCTTAGTGTCGTCACGCTTTTCCACGCCGCTAGGCTCTTCGGTGAAGGGAGGGCCTATATCTACAATATAAGTCAGCCAATATGAATGATAATAGATGCCAAGACACTAGAGGTAGCGAAGGAGAGAGGTGGGAAAACCACCGACCTTGGCTGTTACCTACAACTGCAGCGGCCGCGAGGCCGGCGAAGGCAGACAGAAGAACCAGAGGGAGCTTCATCGCGAGCAACTCGGGCCAGGCACAAGCGGAGGTGTAGGCTTTGTCTCAAGATCCTTTTGTAAGACAGATGATGAAGATAGTCGACTAAGTAGTGTGGGTGTGTTGTAGACAGGATTCTAATGGCCAGAAAGAAGGGCAACCTTGAGGGACTTTATAACCGAGACCGAGGAATGTCCACTTTTTCCCCAATTACCGCTATGGTGCCTCATCCGATTCAATGTTCTCTATACACAGATCTGGATCCACATCCCACGCCCCAGGGGTTGCTAAAAATATAGAACCTCCAGCCTATAGCGGTCCGAGCAGCGCTTACTCATCCCAACCGACAAAAGGCTTCAAGAGAGGCACCAGCCGCCCTGGAAAGTTACTCCAGAGGTTTTCTTTGACGGTTGATTTCAGAACAAAGATTGAGTCACCCGGCATGACTTGAGCCAAGCCTTCTGGTTTCATCATCTTTGTGCCATAAACCTTATGCGGTGCCCCGTTGTCCTCTCCGGTAATTGTTCCTGGCATATCTACTCCATACGGCAGTCTTTTATCTATATCCATGACGAGATAAAGAAAGGCGCACGGGCAAATACAACAGAACAAGCAGCCATGGTTTCCCCACGTGGCCCCATAATGGGAGAAGGGCTCCCAGCCTTCCCATTATCATCTCAATACTAGCCCATGGCGGTTCGCCGTTTTCAAATAGAATCAGCGGATGGTCAGCCCAAGCGATGGATGACGCTGCATAGAGATACTGTCAATGATTGCGGTGTTAGTATCAAGACGAAAAGACTAACCGTAAAATACATATGGATGCAATATCAACTCCTTGGATCCTCTTCCCTGGTCCCCTGGGAATGTTAGTCATATAAGTCCAATATCCCACCAGCATCACATACCCAACTATCATACTGTGCTCCGCTCCAGAGATCGCCGCCTTATCGTAGGAATTAATATTAGTGTAGGCAATCCCTTTTTTGGCCCTCTCTACTAATGTAGGCGAATCAGATACGGCACCCTGGCAAAGGCTATACACCGAATTGAATCCCACTACTTCTAAGTAGCCAGCTCGTATGTCTAATTGGGGGGAAATGTCCAACGCACAATTAGATGACTAAGAAATATACATACGAAAGGGGAACCTGAGAAGCAATGATAAGAGATAATATAGAAAAAATGATAGGAGAAAAGAGAAGCCAGGCAAGAGAAATAAGTAAAAGAAGAGGAGAGGACCGGCCTACGAACAGATGATCTAACAATAGAAATACACAAGCACACCAAAACGCAAAATTGACTACCCCTCCATCTCAGATGGTTCCCGTATCGCAGAGAGCTCTGCTAGTGGTCGCTGTGGAATACCCCCTGTAGAGTGTAGCGGCACCTCGAACTTGCTGGGTTCGCGACCATACCTCCAAGGGCGTAGCTGAGTTGCGATACCCTTTTTGGCATGTCGCTTTATTCGTAAATAGACAAGAAACGCACCCACCATGACTCCCATGATGGCCATAGTGATCCCAACACCGAGTCCCACTTTGGCTCCTACTGAGATGCCTTTACTTCGGGGTATAGGTGCTTGTGTTGTCGTAGAAAATATTGTATCGAATGAGCTTGTCGCAGTGGCAGTAACGGTGGCGGGTCCAATTCCATGGTGATTGATATTCCAACCTATCACGGGAACCGCATGAATATCCGTAACCTTTGTAAATTCGGTCGTCTTGATGGTCCAGCCTGTGGACTTAGAAATCTTGTAGGTGACTTTAGTCTCAGAGTGAATGGCGGATACGCAGTCTATGGAATCCTTTGATAATAAGGTATATTCTCTCCGACCTAGGTTAGCATTAGATATACCTGGTAAGGACTTCACTTACGGGGGGCAGTAAGCAAACCCTGTTCTCGATTGGTATAAAACTGAAGTATATACGGAGACGCCAGAGTTGGTAGGGCTAGCCAGAGGGCCAAGCCACTTCTCGGTCGTGAGACCATCGGGTCCTGTTTCGCTATCTGTGTCATACCACTCTTCAACTTCCGGTGGCACACATTTCTTATCCGCAGGGGCATATTCAGCGTATCCTGGATCAAATGCCAGCAGCTTGTCGTCGGACATTAGGAAGATGTTCGAGCACTGAGGATTCCAACCCCAAGGTGTGGCGAGGGGTCTATATGTTACAGCGGTCCTGGAAATTGTTTCAGGTGGATATGAGGTCAGCGCCATTGGTTGAGAGGGAGATGGCTACCGCAAAGAAGAGCTTTGAAGAAAAGGAAAAGGGGCTAAAAGGGAGAAGAAAATAAATGGTTAGAACAAGATGCAAAATACAGCTTTTGAAAAAGTTCGGAATCCGATGAGAAGAGAAGGGAATCTTTATAACCTCTTCCAAATCCGAAATGTAGACAATGTTGTTCCTGGTCAAGCAAAGCAGGGCCAAGTATTGTGAGCATAGGGTCCCAGGAATAATTACTCTAGATCGCTGAGGCTGGCCTGGCATCTAGTCATCTTCTAGTAATTTCCCATATGCAACAGCGGGTACCTACAGAGAATATCATTTCGGAGAGTCGCCATGAGACACATGCCTACCGTTCTCTTCTTCAAGCAGCTCACAAACAAGGACATGAGACACCATGACTACCTCTGCGTTACCGGCCTGGGAGGCAGTGGATATGATGGCAACCCCAACACCAGAAGCAAAAGGTTTGGGATATGCCTTCGTTGGGCTCTGGATAGGTTTTGGGTCACCCGGGAAGAGGCATTAAACCCCCAAGCCACGCATCCTATGGCTCCAACCCATCTGCTTATCATTGGCTGACCTGAAGGACCTGATGTTCCTACCATCTAGTCGAATCGTCTTCACCGTCGGAGGGCGGCTTTGGTAAACCGCATTTCTAGAATCCTTCATGTCTCGGCCGAGCACCATTCATCTCCTTTTGTGTATGTATCCTTGAGCCTCCTATAGGCCAGGTCTCTTCTACTGCAGCAGGCGAGCGAGAACACCTCGTGACCTCCTTCCGCTATCAAATCAGAGCGGGTTTCAAGATGTCTTTCCTTGTCGGCCAATCTGGTAATGTAGTCAGCCATCATTTATGGGCTTGAAAATCCAGCAAAACCCAGCAAATATGGCTTATACAATTAGGCATCAACCCTAAGGCACGTCTGATGGCTTACACCGCCAAACACTTGTTTCACGATTCATCCACTACAATGATTCAGTAGTTGAAACAACCACGACTTAGATGTTTGTAGAGGCGCAATATCCTTCATGGCCAGGTTGGAATGCCTGTGCGAAGCATGGCTAGCGTGAAGCTATTCAACATCGATTCATGCCATAAGATGCCGTACCCAGACTGCGGCAATATTGATCGTGCAGGGCTAGCGACCCTATGCGTTCCCATATAACTACATACCTAGTACACTGTAGTGTGAGGGTTTCCAGCGACTAAATCATGTCCCTAGGTGTTTTTCTGATTTTCCATCTCGCACTGGTGGCGCGAAGTGCGCAAGAGATCGACAGCTAAGGGAAAATCCAGGGTTAGGATCAGTTTTCTTTCTTCTGTGGCTTCTAAAGCGAAGCAAGACATATACGAGGCAGCGAGGGAAATATTTGGAAGACCGATTCAAAAAAAAAAGCAAAACAATCTCGGGGTACACACCAGACCCGTCGCTAAGGCTCCCTTATCTTCTGAGTTAGCTCCCAGGGGAAAAAAAAATATTTCTCTCGTTAGTAGAATAAGTCTCATAAACATTCTTTACGTGTCCACATGTATGCGTGTACCGATATAGGGTAGCACCTACGTACTCTGTACATTTCCAAGTGGGGACCAGGTTGAGAGGCGCTGCATCCTTAAGAGGTTCAATTGTGGAGGGTGGGTATCGTAAAACGATCAGTTTAGTCTCCTGGGGTATTCTTATATGTGCATACTCATCCTCTTCTTGGGATTTGCCTAGGGATTTTACATCGTACTAGACGAAAACAACTAGCCGATGGTCGTCGAATGGCATGTTGAAAGACAACATTTCTTTTTCTTTTTTCTTTTTTTTTTTTTTTTGAGCCCTTTCTAATAATAGTCGGGGAGAGAGAGAGCACTGTTGATGATGTCGTTTGAAATTGAACCATCACGGGGAAAATGGCTCTGGAACATGTACGATCGCAGCCGTCGGTCTAGAAATGGTCGGTCATTAGGTGGCCATCGTCTTCATTGGAAGTTGTTCTCATTGCCACCGTAAAAAAGGATCCACTGTCAGTGTCCATCCCGGAAGATCCACTCGGGGGTGTTGCGTGGAGGCCAAAGCCGGTTTTGATAGGGTTATCCATGTCAGCAGTTCTTTGTTTGCTTGGATTTTGTTTTGCTTTGGGGGGGCCTGGAAAATGAGGCCAATAACGGACAGTCACACCACCACCACCACCACCACCATCACCATCATTCTTTGCTATTCTTTTCTTCCTCCTACTCCCACAACGGCCACAACTAAATTGAGTTCTGTATATCCCACCATTCCCCACCATCATTCCATGAATCCACCTCTTTCAATGACTTATCGACGACTTATCCAGGCGAGGCGGAGACGGACGGATACTCTCGGTGGGTCCACCGCGCTAAAATTCATATGCGAGAGGAGAGAAAGACTGACACTTTGCAGAAAATCCGGTCCACTTTTCGACATTCACTCGCAGTCGGGGGTTATCGTCCAATCCACTGGGTTGATTTCTCTCGCGATGAGATCATGGCACTCTTCCCACACTCTCTGCCTCCTCCAGAATCAAGTAACTAACGGTCGAATGGTTTGACTATCATTGACTATCAAAAATGGCTCTCCACCTCCTCGGCTCATCACGGTCGATCTCTTCTCGTCTTTCGCTCTCTTTTACTCGCGTCTCTTCGTTTTGGCCTTCTTCTCCCCTTCCAAACTATATTTTACGTTCTAGACTCAACTTATTTTTGGTTCGCCCCCGTCCAAGGCCGCGAAATCTCTCCACCCACGTTTTCACGCCGTTAATGCCATTGTCGGTGCCATATATCTGTAAAACTTTACTCTTGCGTTCCTGGACATCTATCGGCTCCTTTTTATCTGCGTCCTGTCTTCCACAATTGTCCTTCGTTATCTCTCACTGCCTCTCGTTATTTTCCGCCTCCGACGACATTCGCTCTACATCCTGCGTACCATCCGCCTGGAGCTTCTCAAATTTTTTTTTTTTTTTTTTCATCTTTTCATCGCTTTCCCCCACCTCCTCTTTACATTCTTTAAAATTTTGAGCTTGAGCAGCTGGACTGCTCAGCCACCCAATGTCGCATTCCCGTGAGAGCAGTGGTTCTTACGAATGGCTGAACCCCCAAGTCAATACAGAGCAACCCGATACAGCAGACCATCGTCATGATCAGGTTGTCGAGCAGCCTTCCCCTCCTAGCCCCGAGCTACGCCCCGACGACGCGCTGAACGAGCACTCTCGCCCTCAAAGAGTGAGATTTCAGTCTACAAGTGCTCAAGGATCGGATGCCCCGCTACCCGTTCGACCCTCAATGGCTCGTTTCGATTCAGACCAAACCCTCATGTCGGTCCACTCCATCAATCCCACTTCCGCCCGTTCGACCGACTTATCCGACGCCCTCCGTGCAGAGGCGGAAGCAGAACCCAATACATTAGCAAGAGGGCGAGATGGCAGCGCGAGCCCCCCCGGAGTTCCCCTCGACTACGATCCCGAGAGATCGAGGTTCAGCAATGACGGTCCCAATCGCTCCCCATCCGTCGGAGCACGGTTGAAGGCTGCTAGTAAGCTAATCCGTCAGAAGACAGTCCGGCTAGGCGAACGGCTCGGTCGACCCCAAGATGGTGGCGAGGACCTCGGGGCATCTCTTTTACCCGACGACCTTGAGGGCGGCGCTCCATATCATGAAATTCAAGAGAGGAGGAAGCCCACAAATGAAACTCCAGAAGAGGAAAAGCAGGATTTTGCTCCGAGCGCAGAGGCGCATCGCCTTGTGCGTCGAGTAACTCAGTCTCAAAATGCCATGCGCCAACGCAAGCCGAAATCAGCTTACACGCGGTCGGGCCAGACCACCCCAGAGGGTTTGGGTCGCCCTGACTCATGGTATGGCGCCAGGTCTCGGTCATTTAGCGGTGGAGGCATTTTGTCCCAACTGCTCAAATTGCAAGCCGGTCAGACGGGCTCAACAGAAAGTGTCATTACCGACTCATCCGACAGTGAGTCGCAGGTCTCGTCGGGGGCTGCAACGCCGAAATCCGGGGCAGCGACTCCCAAGCGGGAAAAGCTGAAGTGGTACAAGAAGCCAAACCATCAGTCGACAGCTTCTCTGGTAGAAGCCTCGATGAACCTGAGCCGTGCCAGCCTTCCCGCTTCAGCGGATCCTCTTGCGTTTGCTACCCCGAAGAAACGTAAGAAGAAGGCCTATGGCAAAACCCGCTTGGAGGACGAGATTCGTGTGACGGTACATATCGCAGAGATCCTTGCCCGGCAGCGCTATATCATGCAGCTATGTCGCGCATTAATGCGTTACGGCGCACCCACCCATCGTCTAGAAGAATATATGAAAATGACAGCGCGTGTGCTGGAGGTCGAAGGCCAATTCTTGTATCTCCCGGGATGCATGATCATGTCCTTCGATGATCCCACCACCCGCACGGCCGAGGTCAAGCTCGTCCGCATGGTTCAGGGCGTGGATCTAGGTCGCCTAGCTGAGACTCACAACGTGTATAAGAACGTTGTCCACGACCTAGTAGGGGTCGAAGAAGCTAGCCAGGAGCTGGACAGCATCATGCAGCGCTCTCCGCGCTTTAACAAATGGCTCTTGGTTCCTGCATATGGGCTGGCTAGTGTAGCCGTGGGTCCGTTCGCCTTCGATGCCCGACCGATTGATATGCCTATTTGTTTCTTTCTGGGATCCCTCGTCGGATTTATGCAACATATCCTGGCACCCAAGTCCGTACTGTATTCCAACGTGTTCGAGGTGTCGGCAGCCGTTCTAACGTCCTTCCTCGCGCGTGCATTCGGCTCCATCAAGTCTCCTTTCGAAGGCGAGACGTACCTTTTCTGTTTCTCGGCCCTCGCCCAATCCTCGATCGCTCTGATCCTTCCTGGTTTCATGGTGCTGTGTAGCAGTCTGGAACTGCAGTCACACCAGATGATTGCGGGGTCGATCCGTATGGTCTACGCTATTATTTATTCGCTCTTCCTTGGTTACGGAATCACGGTGGGCACGACAATCTACGGGCTTATCGACGGTGGTGCCAACTCTGAGACGACGTGCAGGCGGCTGGACGTGTGGGGCAGCGAGTATATTCAGCATTTTATCTTTGTGCCGGTCTATGTCGTCTTCCTGGCCATCATTAACCAAGCCAAGTGGAAACAGGTGCCGACAATGATTGTCATTGCGATTAGTGGCTACGTTACCAATTATTTCAGCACCAAGAAGCTGGGCTCCAATTCGGAGGTCGCCAACACGGTGGGTGCGTTCACGGTCGGGCTTCTTGGCAACTTGTACAGCCGACTCTGGCATGGTCATGCCGCCACAGCCATCCTTCCCGGCATCTTTGTGCTCGTCCCATCCGGCTTGGCCTCGAGTGGCTCGCTGATGGCCGGTATTACGTACGCTAACGAAGTACGGGAAAATCTGGCCAAGTCGAACAGCAGTGACAGCCTCAACAGTGCTAGTCAGGATACATCGATCGCCAGCTTGGGTTTCGGTATGATTCAGGTCGCCATCGGTATCACGGTCGGCTTGTTCATTGCTGCTTTGGTCGTGTACCCCTTTGGAAAACGACGCAGCGGTCTTTTCAGTTTCTAATTTCATGGGTAGCATTTTGCATTTGTTGTATTTTTGCAGCGTGTACGACTTACGTTTGGGATAGAGAGGTCTTTTTTTTTTTTTTTTTTTTTTTTTTTTTGTGTTTGTTTTTTTTTTTTTTTTTTTTTTTTTTTTTTCTTTTTTTTTGTGTGTTTGTGTGTGTATTGGCATACTGTTCATACTTGATCCGTTGCGTTTTAGCCCGCCGCAGTATAGATTGTGTGTAGATACTTCGAGCGACAATTACATATCATTTCTAGCCAGGACATACTGCACCCGAACTGTATATCTCTCTCCCCTTCCGAACGGTTCTCTCTGAAGCCATTTGCACTTGTGAGAATGGTCTGAGTAGTATGTCATGTAAGGAGCTACCGTTGACCCTACGAATGCATACGAAACTTGGCCCCCCGACAATTATATATATATATAACGGGATCATTCCATGAAGTTACGATGGCATTTAACGAATCTAACCAAGCCACGAAGGACAGAGTCTATAATACGAAACTGTCGTATGACAGCGAGAAACTTGTAGGATGATCTATAGCCCCTCCTCGACGTATGGCATACCATCAATACACTGAGACAGATGGTTGAAGAGGATGGAAAAGTTCAGTGGCAGAATAATGTGACTGATAATGTCAGAAACAATGTTGTCAAATATCCAATTGGGGATGTGGTTTAGTGGTATAATACTCCCTTAGCATGGGAGTGGTCCGGGGTTCGATTCCCCGCGTCTCCATCTTTTTTTGCTTCGATCTTTTCTTCTATCCATCCATCTTTCTTATACCGAACCAACCCTTAGGGCAACAACCGCACTTGCAACAACCACGATGGAAGGACTTCCGTTCATACAATATACATGGTAGTTCCTGTATGGTAACTACTTGCTGAGCACTTGCTTTTAGTAATACCCAACTCGCACTAGACTTTTATGCCTCGGAGAGTTTATGAGATGGTTGGAGTTGACCGTGTAACTAACTTGTCGAGAGGGTCGGAGTGACCACCGGGCTCGGTGACCTTAGTGATCCCCCCGACGGACTAAGCACTTAGTTTGGAGCTCAATCCGCTTCATGCATCTCAACCGGCAGGAGACACGGCTCACGATGTGCCTCCCAAGACACGGAGATCCTGCGAGCCAAGAAACGCCGCATGGCCTGACACGAGCATAACCTCGGAAGTTCTCCAGGGTCAACCATTCAGCCTAAAGAGGGCAATCTCAACGAAACGCAGCGTCAACTTGGAAACTGCAACAACAAGCTCCGCTACCCCGGACAGGAAAGCTCTTGTTTTCCCCACCTTTTTCCCCCAAAACTCTAAAGCTGGCCGATCCCCCCGGTCATGCTCCGAGTCTATGCCTCAAGATGGGAAAGTCTGGTGTTGGAGTTTGGACCCGCGTGGGGGAGTCGAGATGCGGATTGGTCGAAGCTGTGCTAAGACAATCGTAACATTTCCTCAACCCCAGCTTTTCCCTTTGGCTCGTTCCCCGGATGAGATCATCCTACACATGGGATAGACTAGAGTCACCCCCACGTCGTCGGTTTATGCCGTTGCTTTGGCTTTGGTCCTTCCTTTACCCCAGGATTTGGGTGGAGTTGGTTGGGCATGATGGCGGTTGCGACCGTGTCATCCTACGATAGATAGTCTTTCCCTTATGTGGCTTGAATCGTTTATATAGCGTTGGCTGGACCCTGAGGTCACATCCTTTTTTTTTTTTATTTCCTACATTGCTTCGTCCTGAGCAGATTCATCGTTGTTGTTGTTCTATCGACGCAACCTCTCACTATGGACGACGGGAAGATCACCGATCATGAAGTGATGGGCGAGAAGGCCGATATCACCCACGAGGAGGTGATCCAGGTGGCCCAGTTGACGCCTGAGGAGCAAGCCATCGAGAAGAAACTGCGGCGACGCATTGATAGTTTAATTATGCCGCTGGTTATTCTCGTGTATCTGATGAATTATATTGATCGGTAGGTGGAAACGATCGTTGTGGAGTGCTACGGAGTGGACAATGAGGGTAGACTAACCCAGAGCGACAGGAATAACTACGCAGCCGCCAAGTTGCAAGGTCTGATGGACGACTTGAAGATCGATGATCAGCAATACCAGACCGGCCTGTCCATTCTCTTCGTCGGTTATATCCTAATGCAGGTTCCGTCGAATCTCCTTCTGAACTACATGGGCCGACCGTCGCTCTATCTCGGCTTTTTCACCACCGCCTGGGGCCTGGTATCGACGTTGACCAGCCAAGTGAAGAGCTACGGGGGCATCGTCGCGTGTCGGTTTATCCTCGGTCTGGTCGAGGCTCCGTTCTTCGCCGGCGTGCTGTTCTACCTCTCCAAGTGGTATACGAAGAAAGAGTTGGCCCTGCGCATGAGTATCTTCTACTCTGGCTCCTTGCTGAGCGGTGCCTTTGGGAACCTCATCGCGGCCGGTATCCTGAACGGTCTAGAGGGCCATCGGGGGATCTCCGCTTGGCAATGGCTGTACATTATCGAGGGCGCCATCACCATGGCCGTCGGCTTGGCCGTGGCGGTGTTGCTCCCCGACTTTCCTGACACCTGGAAGCTGTTGTCGCCGGAGATGAAGCACGTGGCCAACCGTCGTCTCGCCATCGACGCGGCAGAGGCCGACGTCGACGAAGCCGGCAAGATGAGCCAGCTCAAGGGCCTGAAGCTGGCTTTCTCGGACATCAAGACCTACGCGCTCGCCATTGCGTACATGTCCATTACCGGCGCCAGCGGCTTCCAGAACTTCTTCCCGACGCTGACCAAGACGCTGGGCTACACCGAGACCATCTCGCTGCTGCTGGTGGCGCCGCCCTACATCTTCATGGTGGCGTACAGTCTCGCCCACTCGTACTTGTCCGACCGGTTCGGCCGTCGGTTCTGGTTCTTCGTCTACCCCATCCCCATCACCATCGTCGGTTTTGTCGTCTTCATGACCACCGACGGTTTCGGGCCGCGCTACTTCTCCTTCTTCCTCATGATCTTCGTCTTCGCGCAGAACGGTACCGTGTATTCCTGGATCGCCAACTCCATCCCGCGCCCGCCGGCCAAACGTGCCGCCGCGTACGCCTTCATCAACTCGATCGGCAACTCGGCCAGTATCTGGACCCCGTATACCTACCGCGACACGGATTATCCTTACTACCGGCCGGCAATGGGGACGTGCATCGGCCTCCAGATCCTGGGGCTGGCCATGGCGGTGCTGATGTATTTCCACCTGCGGACCTTGAACAAGCGGCTGGACCGGTTGGAGGACGAGGAGGTGACGTTGACGCCGAAGGAACTCGAGCGGTTACAGAAGACGGCGGAGATCGAGGGCATCGATATTGCCGCGGCGCGACGGTTGCAAAAGGGGTTCCGGTATATGATCTGATTGGGTTTGCGATTGCGTTACCGTGTAGCCAGACATGTTCCTATTTTTTTGAGAATTGAGTTTTCTCTTGAATTAATGAAACCATATTAATGAACTATCCATGGGGCGTGAACCGTATTAAAAACGAGACAATGATGTCAAAGCCGATCGAGGTCAGAAGGGGCCATGGATTGCAGGGCGACCCGCCGCGTGCCCTGCAATGAACATTCTAGTGCTCATCTGCCGTCATCCTACAGAGGAAGAGAACGACCCATTGCACGCATTGCGACCGTCGAAAACCGCATTGAAACGTTATTCATCTGGACCGATTAGCGTCTCCGCCGTCGGTGGGATGAATTGTTGAGGCATCTGTCTTCTGGTATGACCCGTTCGGCCCATAATCGGGGGTTGTCGATCACAGCAAAAACAATCAGGGGCGATGTGGAACCATCCCTGCTGCCAATCAAGCCATAATTGCATGAGATCAGTTCCACTTGCTGTGGTGATATGAGCTGTTTTGAATAAGTGCCGGTGGAACTCCAGATTCACCCTTCGTTGAATTGATCGATTGCCTTGTTGTGGGACCGAGCAAGACGTGGTTCTGCTATAACACACACGCCACAGACGTGGCGATGCAGGCAAAGGGAGGGTTTGTGTCGTCGTAGTTGATGCTCATTCGTAAATAGGGCAATCATAAGTGCCGTCGAAGTATGCATTCCCTCCGGGTAGCCGATGATATCATTGCACATGAAGCCATCCCTTGCGTGCTGTGTGAGAGGTTCTTTCTTTTTGAGCGGTGGAGCATAGCACTCCGATGATGTGGAGGAGGGGAAAACCCGGGGAAACGATGATCGATCACGAGCGATGATTCGTCCGAGAGGCCACGGACGACTCTGGTCCGGTCTCTTTCAAACACAACAGCTGCGGCGATCCCGATCCATGGCTAGGGCTTCATCGTGCGCCGGATTGGGCCACCAGCAGGGTCACGTGAGCAGGGACACGACAGGAGCATCAAGTATATAAACCCCCTCTTCCTGGCAGCTCGAAAGGGTATTGTATATCTGACATTACGGGTTGTATAGATTGGCGACCCTCCATTATCTCTGTCTGGTTTAATCAACTTCAACCGACCTCGATTCCAACCGATTCACCATGTCGTCCACCCTCATCCAAGCGTCGCGTCCCCTCGCCCGTGTCCGTAGCCAATCGAACACCATGCGCCCCTTCTCTATTGCTATTCCAGCTAGACTCGCCAACGAGTGGATGCACATGCCCAAGCCGAACGGGTTCCTAGCAGAGTACGTTCTGTTCCCTTTTTCCTGAGTCCTCCTTTCTTTTGGTTGACGTCGGGAATGACGTCATTTGACACTGGAAGGGACATTCCTCGGCACGGAATGGAATGTGGTATTGAAGAGAGTGAACCAGAGACTAACTTGACTGAGTGGGCTGCAATAGAAAAGATACATCCCCTCGTCAAGGAATCCCGTACGGTAAAAGGATGGAGGTTGACTCCTCCCGAGGTGTGCAGCAGAAGATGTCGGAACACAGCCACCGTCTCGACCAGCTGGAAAAATCGATGTAAGTCTGGGTTTCTCGGCCGTTCCCATGGTGATCCTCTTCTTACTAACTTGTCACTTCTAGTCAGCAGTTGACTCGCATGCAGGGCGTTTATTAAGATTTACTAGAATGCTGGTCGTTGCATTGTGTCAGAAACCTGGAGTTTCAAATACATCCAGCCTACCTTTCAGACATGGCCATCCCCTAGGTTGATTCATGGAGGCTGTTATACATCAAATGGTCAATTGGAGAGTAGACATTCTCTCGTTCAAATGACCGCCCATTTACCCCCACCCGATTTGTCGAGCAGGATCTGATATCGTGGAGGGGAATCATCTGGCATGAGAAATTGTATATAACTACTGTGCTCGTATTATGGAATGATATCATTTGAGATTTGCTACATAACTGGAGTCCATCTGTACTTTGTGCAATCCGTATTCAATGACTCGCTTGCTAGATATTTACATATTTAGTGTCATGTCTGTTTGACCATACAGGGAAGAATAGGGGCTGCAAAGTGTTATCTGAATGATACCGTGGTTAAACCATCTCACCACATACCTATATACTTCCATGATGATAGACTGGAGTGACCTACTCACCACTTAAGATATTCATTCGTTACCAAAAATGATGACAAAATTAAACTGGAAAGCAAAATAAAGATAGAAAAAGAACACGAGCAACGGTATCAAGTATCGCGAAAGCTAGATCTGCAAAAAAGCCACCAACAATGGAATTAAGCTATTCCTGAACCTTGCATGTCTTACGTACATGCGATGGACCACATGGTAAAGATCTTATTAATTAACTAGGCTGTGCAAAACCTTGACGGTCCGATCCGCTGGTGTCTCAAGCCTCCTGACACAAGAAGAGAACTCTGTCGGAAGTCTAGAACAGTGACTCACCCATGTCTCTCATGCGAGTACTCACCTCATGAACAATTGCGCCACGCTTTTCGGGATGTTACAAATCATCATGTGGAGTTTCAGCCTCCGGATGCAGGTTGCCTCGGAAGCTGTGGCTGTCCGTTGGGGAGCCTTAGGGAACCAATGGAATGTCTCACCTGGACAACTGTTCCAGAGGCTGTTTGATCCTTGGAAGGATTGCTGTGGCTGAGTTGATTCGTGGAACTTAAAAGTATGATGGTGGACTATTCGTATTGTGTTCGGCATTACCACTTAACCATCAGACGGCCACCAAGAGTCTCTGCCCTGTCTGAAAGTATTAACGGAACCCAGATCTAGCTACGAGAGAATACAAAGTAGTCATTCATTTACACTCTGGAGAATGTGATCAGAATTCAATCAGATAGAGAATACATTACTGGCAGAAAATCAGAAATAGATAAGTAGTAGCAGTATCAGAGCGCAGTGCCGGGGAACCTTTATACATCCTGGCCTTGCATAGGCCACTTAAAAATATTCCATTGACAACATCGAACTTCCATATACCAGGTATCAGGAGGCTAGCTGGGGTTGGCATAAGTAATGTCGCACACTAGATCCTGGTAATCAGAGAACTGGACCGACTTGTACGCGAACGCCTTTGACCCTGGAAAGATGAAGGACTGCAACGTGTCTCCGTTGATTGACTCCAATTCGGGTGGTGCAAGATCGACGCCCTTGAGGCCGTTGACCACTGCGTTAATCCCAGAGAAGGTGTCAATGAAGAGGCTCCTATCGGCGCTCTGGGACTTGTTCTCGTCGCTGGACTTGCCTTTCACGGTCTCCAAACATCCATGATCGTTAATCTGAAGGTTATATGTGACAGTTGACTTCCTATCGATGGCATTGATGTCATCTGTGGTGGAGTTTTTCTGAACGAAGAAACGGACAACATGATGCTGTTCAATGGTCATGGAACTGCCCGCAAATGTGACGGAGCAGTTATATTTATTCCAAACCTCCACCGCCCCGTAAACCCTAAACAGCCCGCTATGGGCTTTGTCCTCACCATAGCCCTCATAGGAGATACGTATGACATCTTTATCCTTCTCTGTGACTTCAATCGTATCGGGGTCCTTTCCATATTCTATTTTGACGGGATAATAGCTAATATGGGGTTTCAAGGGGTCGTCGTCGCCCGTGACCTTGACAATGGGATGTCCGCAATACTTTTTGGCATGAGGTACCAATTGGTCCTTGAGGTAGTTGGCGAAGGTGTTCCGGTTGATGGCCATAGTCCCGCTCTTGGTGGCCTTGTCTTCGGGAACAACCCAATTCCAAGTGAATTTGGGCAGCGCCGCATTAGACGGCAACTTCTTGTTGCCGGTGAGGCAAAGATAATCCAAGGTTCTGAACTTTTTGCCGTCTTTAGTCGTTTGTAGACTGACATGACGCTGGTAGTCACTCATCACCAATTGGGAGCTGTCGTTGGATTGCGCGACGGCCGTGATGGCGATAAGCGGAAGCCCCTTTTCAGCTGCAGACTTGCTCCAAGTGCCGCTGAACGTCTTCTGAAGCAGCGGGAAGACATCAGACCCCTTATCGAGGCCGGGGAAATCAGGCGTGCTATCGAGTGTGGCGCTATCAAGGTCATAAAGCAACTGCTGCAAGCTGAAAGCTGTGTCCTTGAGGTTCTTGAGCTTGTCTTTTATTTCTTGCTGAACCGTGGGATGGTTGTTTAGGTATGTCGTGTTCAGCTGGTTGTCTAAATCTTCTACCTTGAGATTCACTTTCATCTCCGCATACCAGGGCTTGCCGGATGGCTGTTTGTGGAGGACCAGCGTGTGATCAGAGGAACCCCATCCACTAGGGATCTGGAGCTCGATGACAGACACCTCCGAGCAGTACAGTCTGAACCGTACATGGGTTGCATCTTCGTCGGCAAATTCCACAATGTCCAAATCCTTGGGCAGCACACCCGGCGGAATTCCCATCTGCAATTTAATGCCATATCGAAATTTGGCATTTACCAGGGGCTGGTAGATTGCTTGGTCAACCTTACCGGCCGGGGTTGTAAATGGGTTCACATTATTAGCGAGCGTGAGCAGCTCATCCAATGTGATGGTTTTGTCAACATTGCCTTTGTCGTCCACGAGGAAGCAAAGATACTGCACCGGTTGATCAGAGTTATTGAGGTATGCACGGAGACCATCGTTGATGCTGGTCTCAGTAGTTGACACGACAAAGTCGTATCCAGTCTTGATAGTTTTGTCGCCATTTTTAAAGTCGTACTGGAAGTTAGAACCAGACAGATGTGATTCGGTCTCGGCGGCACCCATGATGTTCCAAATTAGGGGTATCGACCGCTTGTTTGAGAGGATTGATAGGTTTAAAAGAGGTGTTTGATGGCTCTTCCTGACCAAGAAGCGAGTGCTCGCTGCTCTCTTGATATACAACCTCTCTCCATCCTTTTGTGTGCCTATTGATTCTCCATGTTACGGGGATCACGTCGGGGACTGACCAAATTTCTGTTACGTGGCATATCATGCAAGCGTCTGCTTTGGGCAGGATCGAAAAGACATATGAGCTGAATACCGAACTGATCAACGTCAGATCCACTGGCAGGTGAAGACGTGATTTGCTCAGACACCAAGGAAGAAATTGAAAGCTGATAAGGCAACCTTGTGACGGATGAGAGAGTTTTGTTGGCACTGCGGAAGCTGACTTCTAATGTTATGTTTTCAGCTCATTTAGCGTATGCAATATTGCCTTCAGTTCATGGCAACCTTTTCCGTGCAGAAATGCACGCATCCACTCAATGCCAACTGTTTGTAGATCCACCGAGGTTCATCCGGGCCAATCGTTCAGATTATGCGTGGTTTAGCGTTTCGACACCTCACCTGCAAGGCCCGAAGCGGACGAGCCGGTCCGTGACTGGAAGTATGTTCTATGCTAAAAGTGGAAAAGATTGACCCAGTCTCAGCTGAATGCTTTTGCCTTCATTTTGAGGAGAAACTGGTTGAAACTAAAATCCCTCATACTGACACATCATGTCAGGTGTAAACAGTGAACACCCACTCCCATGGCAGACAGGATGAGTGAAGTCGATCGACAGTCTACATATACAGTCGTCTTTGCGGTTCGTATGGGAATTAGAATCGACTTGCAATTCTCCCTCCAACCCCCACAAACCTAGGATAATTGCCTTTGACTTCATTTGAATTGGTCGAGCATGATGGCTTCCACGGGCGATTCGAAAAAGAGTCTTCTTCTGACCTACGACACCGAATTGATACAAAACTATATCCAGGGCGAGATAGTTTCCCCGAAACATAAGTTTGAAGCCCTCCAAACAAAGGATGGCCACACTCTACTCTTTGGCATCGATTCTTCCAATATATTTCATGTCATCGAAGAGAGCAGCGGACAACACAGCACAGGGTGGGCGCAGATTGATCTTTCCACGGCGGCGATCAGCTCGAAACTCCCGGGAAAGAAGGATGCGATAGTGAGGACATTCGACGTCGGGCAGAGTGTTCTCGACCAAACCATTGGAATGGCCATGGCGGTTCGTGTGGAAGGGAAAGACAGCCTTTTCGTATCGCTGAAGAATTCCAACTCGGATACCTCCTGGACGAAGAAACCGGAATGGACATTGGTCCCGTTTGATGCCGTCAATGAGACCCAGCCAAGCATTACCGTTGCAGGGGTCTGGTTTGCAGAGACAGATAGTCAGAGACAATACCTTGTGGTTGATATTGATCGATCGGGATCATCCGCGATCAAGGATATCGCACGCTACTATGTCGACCCCTCTGTAACCTCTGGTAGTCGCTGGGTTAAGCATGACGTCCCGGTCGATATCGCCGCCGGCGACTATCAAAGCTGTATCGGACGAGTGCGCCGTGGCCGGATCGACGGAATCTACACTGCTGGAACCGCTGGAGGCAGCGCCCAGCTTGATTATGTGCCGCTTGAAAACATCTTCGGGGATGGACCGCCCCTTCCAACCCGGTTCAAGCTGCCCGAGAACAAGATTCCATCTGCTATAGCCACTGCTCGTAAGGACAATGGCGAGACAGACCTCTATATCCTCAATGGCTCGACCCTGTACCGCATAGCAGCCGAGAAGCAGAAGGATGATGCTACAGCGGACGCCGTCCTGACCCACAGCCTGCTTTCTGGCACTGAAGTGCTGCGCGCCATGATCCACCAAGGAGTATTGACTCTCTTTGGAAAGAATGGAAGTGATCAGGTCTATTACCTTTCATGCCACATCGAAAAGGTGGCGGATCCGAGAGCATGGAATGTTCCAGTTCCTATTGCCAACGGAGTGGAGCAGATTTCGGCGTACGTGAACAGGGCAGATGGGGGAAACACCATATTCACATCTGGTGGGGGCAGGCTAAGCAAGATCACTCAGGACATCAATACTCTGTGGAAGCCGCAGAATATCAAGCTGGCGCCGGCGTCAACCACTGAAAAGGCCCTCATCTTCAAATCTTATACGACCTTCATTCATGTTACAGATGAGAATGAACTAGCGGCCAGCGGTGCCACTCTGAAAGTTTCAACGGCCTCGCGCACACCAGTCTATATTAACGGATTGTATTACGTCCTTGGACAGAGTCCGATCGAGGTGAGAGCAGACCGAACAGGCTCGATGACGGTGATCGAGGAGACCCCGAATATTAACGGTGCAACGCTCACAGTCTCCACGGATGGAGGCGTGACAAATACTGCCATCAACCCGATGGATAAATCTTTTGAAAAGCTTGGAAAGCTCAATACCAAAGACTCTCTCCGTGATGCCAGCTTCCCATCAGAGACGCATGGAGGGGGGGTGGTAGGAACACCGAAGAAAAGCCCGCTGGTCCATTCATCGACCAAGGATAGCGACCTCGACAAGGTTGCTGGAAATATGGCAGGGCTGAACAAGGCGTATACTCACGTTAAAACGGCAAAGCCTGCCGGACAAAGGCTTCACGGGAATCTTCGAGCCATTTCAAGCGGCGATTTCGGTCATGATATTCTCATCGGGATTGGGGACCTTTTCAGTTGGCTCGAGTCTGGCGTCGAAGCGGTGGTAGAGGTTATTTGGCATGAGGCAACGCAGGCATGGCACTTCATCGCGACGATCGCCGGAGATATCTACCGTGCCATTCTAGACACAGTCGAGGCCGTTCTCGCTGCAGTCGAGTGGATTTTCAATGCCATCAAGACGGCGATCGAGGCGATCGTCAAATTTATAGAGTTCTTGTTTGAATGGGACGACATCAAACGGACCAAGAATGTGCTCTACAATATTTCAAAACAATTCCTTCAGTATCAGGTTAACAGCATTGGCGATGCCAAGAATACCTTTAACCAAAAGATCGAATCTGTGGAGAAATCTCTGAATGAATGGGCGGACATCGACTGGTCACCTCTCGGGGATACCATCAGCAAGCCTGCGTCGAGTAGCAGCAAAAGCAACTCCAAGAACCAAACATCCGGCTCTCAGTTGCTGGCTCATCATTATAAGACCAACGCCAGCAGTGTCAGTGTTGTCGCTGACTCGCCGTTTTCTGGAGATATCAACAAAGATCCGGTTCAGAAAGCCCTTGACGATCTACACGGCGCCCTGTCCAAAGAAGATCAAGTGATTTCCGGCTTTCGCGACCAGATTGGAGAAGTGGCTAAGCAATTCGCGACGATGACCGTCGAGGAGGCCCTCAAGAAGATCGTAGCTATCTTAGTTGATGGGATTCTTGCCAGCGTGGAGGTGGTGGTCGATGCCCTCCTGGATCTACTCCAGGATCTGGCTACAGCAGTAGTGGGTATGGTGGACGCAAAGCTGCATATCCCCATTATTTCCGATATTTTGAATGCCATTGGTATCCCAGACATCTCCTTTCTTGACCTCTTCACCTGGGTTGCTGCTGTTTGCTATACTGTGGTATATAAGATCGCAAAGGGAGTGCCTCCTTTTCAGGACAACAAGGATGTACAATCCGTGATCGATGCCGGCAGCTGGAATGATCTAATTGACGCATTGCATGCTCCGGCATCATCCTCGGTCACTTCTAGCGCTCTCTATGCCATGCCTGCCGCGCGTCTCGCCTCTGAGCCAGCTACCTCTCCCTCAAGCAAGCCAACCGTCCTACAGGATATCATTTTCATCGCTGGACACTCCGTGAGTGGAATTTGTGGAGTTATTGGTACATTTGTAAACGCTTTAGAAGCCGAGGCTCCCACTGGCGACAACCCGATGTCCACACCGTCAGCCATCCTTGGGTTCATTGGCGCAGCATCCCAAGCTGTGGCCGATATAGTGTCGCCAAAGGATCCACTTGAGGAGCCTATTTTCAGTACGCTTAGCACCATCACGAGTGCTGCGACTGTAGTCTCCAAACTTGTGTTCAGTAGCTATGGCCAGAAAAAGCTGGGCAAATTAGGATTACCCACTGCTGGAGACCCTCGCGGTATGGGCGCGGGGATTAATGTGTTACTGGTCGGTGTTGGTGCCGCTGCAACAATCAAGCATTTTGTCGAGCTGGCCAAAGATCCAGCTGGAAAAGACCGGTCAGCTGCGATTGTCGGGGAAGTATCAAACCTGACTTCATATATCAGCCGGATCTCATATGCATTGGCTGTCAATGATATCGACGAAGATACGCGGCAGGTAGTCATTGCAGTCATGACGGTGAGCAATCTCATTACAGCCGGTCTCCAAATAGCAGAGGCTATTATTGACTAGGATTTATTTCTATTTCACACCTAGCCATATAGGAGTCCAATCTATATGCAATTTCGCTTTCCTGTGACTACCCCCAAGAAACATTATAGAAACGTATTTGTAGGATTTCAACAAAGGATTAGTGAGAGGAAATGCAAGAAGAAAAGGCAGCAGGTCACAATAATATGCCAACCAATAACTTCTATAATTCCGTGGTCGAAGAGGAACATCGCTGATGTTGCAGTTTCTGGGGCGAGGTCAACACAGCTAGGGGCAATAGCATTTAATGATCATTAAAATGTTCTCGAAGAGGCAAACTCACATTGTGACTGGTTTTTGTTCCCCGAGATATGGTTCAAATTCAACTCCATAAAAGCCCTAAAGCCCGATGATATGCGGTGTATCGGATTTATCTCCAAGTTCAGCTACGAATGCGACATGCTATAAATACCACCTAGTTTCCCCCTTGATGAAACTAAAAACATATTCTATCTCCAGCTTCTAATACTTGTAATCATGAGCGTAAAATTTCACCTGGCTTCCCACCATGTCTCGCATTTGGTTCATCACCGACTGCTCCTCCGGCTTCGGTCGTCAATTGGCCATCGCCGCGGCACAAAACGGCTACAAAGTCGTTGCGACATCTCGCGATCCGTCCAAATTAGACGACCTGAGAGAACTCGGCGTCACCCCGATCAAGCTGGACGTTCACGACGAGTCCGACATCCGAGCCGTCATCGATAACGTTGAATTCACCATCAGACCGATTGACATCTTCGTCAATGACATCGGGTATATTCTCGAAGGTGCTATCGAGGAATGCAGGTAAACTCCACACTCTCATGCCTTCTCCCTCACGACGAACATATACTAGAAAGCTCTCAAAGCAACGAAGAAATTACCGCTCAATTCGACACAAACGTCTTCTCCCAGATTCGTGTCCTACGCGCAGTCCTGCCATATATGCGCGCCGGGAGATCCGGTGTAGTTGCTAACTTCGGGTCTATCGGTGGTTGGAACGGTACCCCTGCTGCTGGGCTTTACTGTGCGAGTAAAGCGGCTGTTACCATCTATACCGAGTCGTTGGCGGCGGAATTGGCTCCTTTTCATATTGATGTTACGTGCGTTGAGCCGGGGTATTTCCGGACAGATTTCCTCACGGGGGCACATAAAATGGTTGCGAAGAAGCGTATTCTGGAGTTGGATGTGAGTACGCAGCACACGCGTAACGGACTTGCGGCCTATAGTCTGAGGTAGCCTGGGGATCCGGTGAAGAGGGCGCAGGTGCTTGTGGAGGCGTTGACGAAGACGGGGCGCTGTGAGGGACGACAATTGCCGCTGAGGTTGGCATTGGGGACTGACTCGTTGAGTGCTATACGACTATTTATAAGATTGATCTACCAGTCTATAAAGACTAGTAGATAGAAAGATATAGTTTTACTGGATATATCAATAAATATTCTATTCGAACATAGGTGTCAGCAGCGGAAACATATTGGAAAGACATCCTAATAGTAGATAGACTTTCAAAGGTATATCGATAAGAGATAATATCCTAAAATAGTGCTTTCCAGAAGATATACATTATAAGATTAATATTCAAGCCTCTGGGATAGGGTTAAATAGCTACAGTTCTCTGACCCACCCTTAATATAGACTAGATATTCTATACTATATAGGCCTTTACCGAAGGATTCAGGGATTCTATCCCGCGGCGTTGGATCATGTGGTAGTATTCTTGGGGGTCAGGCCCCTACATACCAACTAGTCGATATAGACATACCAGCTGACATACCAGCTAGTAGGTATGCTAGTATACTAGCTAGTAGATATGTTGACGCGTTGGCGCGTTTCCCTAGAATAATAAAAACATAGCAATATAGGCGATTTCACCTCATCTCTTCGAGCGGAGGATCAGGCGTAGGAATAAGGGACATTGGGCGATTTAAACGATTTGATAGGCACAAAACATGGAACTTGTGGGCTGTTTTCGCCGTGACGTGTACGTACTCTGCATACTCAGCAAACTAAGGCATTTCCCACCCAGGTTGGAAAGCAGACTATTCCGTATCGTCTAGCATTTCAGTGTTCTTCTGGTAAAGATCATAGTGATATAGAAAACAAGATCCGTAGCATGAACATTTCAATCATGAGCTCAACCAAATAGATCCCGTTTAAGTAAAACAACTGCTATTTACCAGATCACAACCCTCCATCCATCTCATATTGCGCGAAACGACTTCGCCTCCGCAGAGTAGCCCCAAACCAGAACAAAGCAAAGATCCCAAAAACACATACCACCGTCAACGCCCCAATCAAACTCGCACCTTTATCAATCCCAAGGTTAACATAAAGCGGGGTCGACCAAAGAATAGACGCAAAGGCAAGAACCGACCGCGCAAAGTCATTCATGGCGAAAAGACTCCCTGCGTATCTTCCATACGAGACAGACATGTAGGCGAACATGGCCTGAAGAAGAGTGGGCATGCCGATCATGAAAAGCAGGAAGCCGATGGTGGGTACAATCCAGTGGAACTTTGGGCTTGAAGTCCAGGCAAAAAGAAACATTCCGGCTGGAACAACCAGTGAGCCAAGAAGTCCGGGTATGAGTCTTTGTTCGGGTGAAGGCATTTTCCCGGCTTTGACTGGACGGCTGATTGTATAGTGAGTGATGGCCAGGTAGAATGGTGTGGTAAGTAACACGGCCACTATGGCCGTTATAAATATCGCCCCGGTTTGTAATAGGCTCATCGCGTATACCCCTTGGTATACCAGAGGTACCGCTTCGAAGAAGGAATAGAAAATAGCATACACCAATGCAGTGTAGAGTGTAGTAAACAGGATAGCGGGGTCAAATGCGTTTATCTTCCATGGAATGACAAGAAAGTCATACCAAGTCTCTTGAGTCAACCCTGTATTGTTCATTTCGGAACTGGATCTGAACGCCTCATTGCCCGTCAAAGCCCGTAGCCGTCTGGCGCGTTGATATAAAATGGCCGGACCTAATGTTTCTGGTAAGAAGATCTAATGAAGGTTAGATCTGGGATCATTGTAAAGGTTCTCAAACGTGGGAGACAGGACAATCAACGAACCAGAAGCAAGAAACACGGCGCAGCAAAAAAGACAATTAGCCACATGCTCCAGTGCCACCCTTTTGACGTGACGCATAAACTGGCCAACGTTGGAGCCACGGTAGGAGCGGACACGGCACATACTCCCCAGATCCATAACCCGCTAGGTAGGTTGACAAGATTTGTGATATCTGCGAAGGAAGCCGGTCCCGTTGCCAGACACGGTGACCCGAAGAAGCCTTGGGCAAAGCGTAGAAAGAGAAACCCGGGGACATTATTGACAACGGCTGCGAGTACACTGACTATCAAGAAAACGGCAAACGAGATCACGTAGGGTGGGTTGCGGCCTATAGACGGTTTGTCCGATAACGGACCAAATAGCAAGGGTCCTATTCCATAACCCAGAAGAACTAGGGCCATGCCAAGTGAGCTCACCGATGAGGGCACACCATATTCGGCCTGAAATGTCATTTCTGCAGGAGTGAACGCCGCGGACGACATGTAGACAACGAAAGTGTAAAAGTTTATCTGGATGTACACCATGATCTTGGTCCAACGAGGCCAATTATGCGGATTTCCCGGGTCGTCGTCAGAATACCAACCCACAAGTACCATGCCGTCTGTGGTAGTTTCTGGAACGAGCCATTTCGAAGCAGGTTTCTGATCGGAAGAATCACATTCTGCGTCGCAGGTGTCAGATTCCACGTTGCCAACGGCCCTGGAGGTATGAAATTCAGCCTTTCGCTTCTCATACTTCTGCGATAAGTACTTGAAAATCAAGTCAAAAGAAACACTGACCTCGCAGCTGTTGAATATTCTGGTGACAGACAGAATCCAGGCTCCTCTTCCGGAAACCTCAAGAGCTGACCACCAGAAAGCCAATGGATAAATCTTCCTAAAGAGGTACTACAGAATATGCCCGCCATCACGCAGATATTTTATATGCTGCTTGTGGTATCTGGAATGATGGACTCAAACTAATAGTCGACAGTGATGGCCATAAGTACTCGTACCGAAAGGACAATCTGAGACAAGAAACACCAGCAAGCGAAGCACAACTGCAGATGAAGGGAAAAATCCAGATCTGAATTGCAACGTCTTGGCCATTATATTATGGCGCTGATACTGGCTACTCCACTTTATCAGCCCCACTCCCATACGTTTTAATTTATATTTTCCGAGACAAAGTACCTCGGGGGCCTTGTTCTTTTCCCACATGTGCATCAATAGCACGCTCTACTGAATCGGAGAGTGGTATCGATGAGTTTACAGTTCTGCATGGCTTGGAATTTCTACCAACCCAGGATACGCCTTTTTTCCGCTATTTTAGAGTGTATCTTGAATGAGGTCCGCTTTGAAAATACAACCAAGAGCAAAATGTATCAGAATTACAGAAGAAGCCCATGCACAACGTTAGACCGCTCGTTAAATTGGTCCTGCTGCATTGGCCGGTTTAAAGGGCGGCCTGATAATCTGGTAGAAATCTCGACCGATCTTTGGAGCTGAACTGGACAGGCCACGTAAATACCTAGCATTCTCAGCCCACTGGGACGCTTACTCCAAAATAGAGCGATCTTCATATTGCGAATGCACGATCGTATATAGTCCACCAATAACTGACCCACCCGCCCGCATTAGCACTGTATGTGACAAATGACTAGCCAGTCTGAGATCTCATCGACGCAGTGGTATCACAGGAGAAAAGCCAATAGCGACTCGCCGTCCCGGACCCATGCTGCTAAACTCTGCCATGTAGGACCGATGAGCGATTTTGATAAGAATCTGAAGAACTATTGCTTTGTTATCTGCACGAGTCCCTTGCACTCGACCCAGCTATTAGTTGCCAAGAATGTGGCGCCTACATTTTCCTCTACGCAGAGAAACACCGACAACTCGAGTATAGGGTTCAATACGTTGACAATTCCTACGGCGATTTAGATTATTTAATATAGAGGTTCTTAGTGAGTCTGCAGCAAAGCATATTAGACAGATTAGAAAATCGAATCGACTGTTGAATGGAACTGTACAATGAAATTCAAATATGTGCCTCTTGCAGATTCTATCAACTGCAATAAGTAAGGATCAACTGCCGCTGCAAGATCTTTGGACTCACCTGATAGCTTTGTTAAGCATGCATGCGAGCTACTAGTGTTGCATACAGTAGCACAAGGACTGATATGTCGCAATGTCCTAGGTCTGCTTTTTCGTTGTTTAATACACAGGCTAGTCCTTTGCTAGCTTGCTTAAACAATATCCAACTGGATTTACCACTGAAACTGCCGGCACGCTGCGACTAATAGGTGGAATGAAACGTTTCTAAACCATGGAAAGTACGGCGTTTGCATAACGTTTCCTCATGGCTATCTCTTCCTTTCCTTTCCTTTCTTTTTTTTGGTCTTTACCCCCCCCTTTAATTACTTGACAAAATAGGGTTTATTACGTTCAGCGCCGAACCTGGTAGGTGCGTTAGCACCGACTTGGAAAGGCGTGAACGGTACAGGAGAGAAAGGACGTCCATATGGTCCCGCATCATCTATTATTATATGGAAAGCGCTTGATTTGAGAAATCTTATTTCTTTAGGGCACATACAGGATGTTGTAGCCTATCCTTAAGTGGTATAGTCATCTACTGTTGTAGAGATTTTGCTGTCTTCTCTTTGTAAAGAAGTACTTGGTCGGGATTATTGGCATGGTTCTCTCCTTTGAGGGCTTCATAGCAGAAACCACAGTATTTGCAATTGGTGAGCTGTGACTTTTACTTTTCGCCTCGAGATAGAAATACTTGACAGACATCTTCTTACGGCTCACCAAACTCTTCCTCCCAACAGCGCCCATCCATTCAGTTACCACCTTGAATGTTTTCTAGTTTTTGTCGCATGTCTGGCAGTATGCTGGTCTTCCATTGAGAAAATATCGTCGTATTGGGACCTCATATCATTTCGCTGAATTCCCCCACAGCCACATATGAAATCGACGGGGAGGAAGCGATCCTCTCAAACGTCTCTATTCCTGTTCCCGGCAATAAACGACGTATTGTTATGTTATTAGTGTATGATATCTTGCCAACCTCCGGTGCTGTCATAGGGAACGGAGATTGGCTTGTCGAGAACGAGATAGAACGATAAGTTTAAGCCATGAAGAGAGACCACAAACCAAGGCAACTTGATAAGATGTTCACATTATGGCTTTTAAGAGCCTCGGCTAAAAAACAGTATCTTCTTCCATCTGAAACACCTCGTCCTTCAAAGACCTCTCTTCAGAGATTGGCTCTCCATCTGTCGACGTGGAAATTAGCGACGACATATCTCCCCAACAAGCCAAACATATTGTTATATTAGAGAGTCCACTCGAGAGTAGGTTCCATGCCACTTCGAGCCACTGGAGCAGAAAGGTTAGGGCGAAAAATGACGAGTTGGAGTTCTTGATTAGATGGCCTAACTAGAAACAACGGGTACGTAGATGAGGTCCTTTACATAGTACTTTTCAAACAAAATATCCTTACTGCCAAAAGAACATTCTCGGGAAAAAAAGTAGTGCCATGCACTGCGGCGCAGTGAAGCTGCGTAAGTGTGACTTTGTCGGTAACGCAACAGTTAGGTTCCAGAGTGTCGGGCCTGAGAAAGCACGATAGCCTCAACGTAGTCTCCGTCATTCTGTAGGCCTGATTACATATCTGTGTCTCCGTAAGATTCTCAAGGCTATGAAGGGCCGTAATTATCCCTGGGTAGACGGCTGAATTAAAAACGATACAATGAGAAGCATTTTCCTTTCCACGATTCCCATGGTATTTGATGGGACCTTGGTAGCCTATGAATTGTGAACATACTTCATTCTATTTTCTGTGTAATTGAAATTACTAGATAGGTATGTACTTTAGTCCACACCGAGGCAAACGTCAAGCGCCAATGCGATTGGATATGCCTTTTCTAGTAAACAATGCATATTTCTCTTTTGCCCACATTTCCCCTCTTCATACTCCCTCGAGATATACACTCATGTATTGTAACAAGGGAATCATAATTTCGGAAGAAAGTCTGAAGGATGACACTGCAGCTTACTGTATCACTAGCTTGAAGCCACTGTGTAGATCGATGATTTGTTTTTTTCTTGAAGAAAAACCAAAATTAAGACGAGAGCCTAGAATCTCTTCACCTCGGCTATCTTCCGCAGGATTAACTTGTTAATGCAGCGTGATACTGCCGGGTAAGGTTCAGGATTTTCTTCAGCTTGAGATATGGCTAGAACATGGTCACAATTCCGATGGTGAATGGCTGGGTGTCAGTTCGATCCTTAGCCTCATACTAACCGAGACAAGGCTAAAGATAGAGTCACAATTGTTGGAGTGATTCATGGAACAGTCGGTTGTCGGAGGCGTGGAGGAGGCCGGATCAACCACCAGGTATAGTGACGTGAAGCCGGAGAACTGATGTAGTTGCAAGGATGTTCGGCGTGTTTTGGTCCTACCTTAATGAGCCTGCTCGGCATTATTGGTCGAGGAACCGGAGTCAAGTGGAGATGCCGATCAGCCTTGCAGAAGAAACGGAGACCAAATCCTGCCGAGTCAAGTAGCGTCAGGCCCTTGTCGGGGAGACTCCTCTCCCCACGCGGGGAAAAAGTCCAGCCGGTAGCCCTATTTCAACCGTCGGAGATCCTTGGTACCCCTGAACATAAGGGTTATGAGCCGCTTGGGACAATCGGTATGCGGTTGTCAGTTAAGCCGGTCGATCGTGTGGAATGCTTGGCAGGAACCACTCTCGGAGGTAATTGGACATGGCCCGGACTTGGATTGTCTTGTCCATATCCCACCGGATTTAGGAGTTGTATGTCAAGCATTTGAGACCAAATACACTCGACGGCCAAATCCTTTGTTGTCCGCATTCGGCCCGATTATACACATGCCATGCAATCATTCCGCGGACATGATTTCCATAGGTACACGAATCGGAGAACGCCGTCCAGCTAGGAATACCCAGCCTGGCTAAGGCGCCCATTCCTTTCGAATCCGACATTTCCTATCAGCCCAAAGTGTCTAGTCGCAGATAACATCACTGAAACTAACCTGTCATGGTTTGGTACCATGTGTGGATCCACCGTTCCGGTACATCACACCATGATCCGAACCACAGGAGGGCGAAATCGATTAGTTCTGGCTCAACGTGCCAGGCACAGTCATATGCGACCAATCGACGAGGGTCCCATCCGTGTCACAAATCCCCAAGCGTGTCGATCAAATTTTAACAAGATACGCCCTATTCCTTGTAGAGAATTTGGCCTTGTTGACCGCATTGGTCTGAGTGTGCCCGATATGTGGATCCTGTGCATGCATCTGTTTCTAGGTACATATTTCCGGCGCCATATTGGTCCTGTCAATCGGCCACATGGAGATGCCGATAACCTTTCGTCAAGGACACAGAGATGGGCGGTTCAAGCCGATGTACATTAGACTCAGTATGATCAACATAACCCGGGATGTCCAAAGTTGACTAGGCAACTCTGTAGTTGATCTCTTACTTGTGTTTGCATGGACCCCAGACCCTCTATAGAAATTGTCCGGCTCTACTCTTTAGGAACTTGCTAGGATACTGGAACGATCGCACGGCATTCGCCATATGGCAAACATGCATGACCACCTGAGGCTCAACTTAAGCAGGGTCCCTTTGATTCGACAGGCTAAGTGAGATCTTCGCTTCGTATGCTACGGAATCTGTGAAGATTCCGACTTTCTTTACTGTATTATGCAACGTAACCGTCTCCTTACTCGGCAGGATTTAATGTGTTTCAGGCTTTTTTATTGTCAAGTAATGGCAGCTGGAAGGATCAGACTAAGAGAAGGTGGATCGCCAACGCCATCCAGCCAATATCTGGACACATCTGTGAGGAATCAGCTGCAGTAAGTTCTGTGGGCGTCAGCCCAAGGAAGCTTGTGGAGGCTTTTGGGGACCGCCACGGCGGATATTTTCTTGTCAAGAAAATTATCTACTAGAAGTTGTCTGGGAGAGAGATATTGCAGCCGCATACCTACGCTACTGTGCAGGCCTTTCCCATACCCGGCAGACATATAACGTCAGAACGGCATGTAGAGCAACGGTTGCACCCTGGTAACTCGTGGTTGACCCGATGGTCAGTCACCCCAGTAGTTTTCTAGACCCATGGGAACTATAATAAAAACATTTGATTGGTGTACTGCAGGGCGCAGGGTAATATATCGTATCCATCGGAGTTGCGCAGATGTCCATTCTTTTCCGTCACTAATGCCGGTGCCGAGCCACGCGAATAGGCTCAAGCTTATCGGCGCACGCCAGGGTGGATCAGAAGGTCCAGAAGGATGCGGGAGAAAACCTCGTGAAATAATTTCCCTAGTCTATCAGTTTCTATTGGCTAAATTTTATGATTCCTGTTGGTTCTTTATTAAAATCCTGCCATTTTCCCTTTTTGTCGTTTCAGCAGTCATCTCGCAATCCAGGTCGCCCCCGTGGGTGGGTACTAATTAACACTCCAATACGAGTGGATTTAACCCTTGGTACTTTTTGTTCAATGCAGTCAGCAATTAAATAATGCATAAAAATTGACCTTCAACAAAGATATAAACTGAAGCCTGTCTGCGATCACCCTGGGTGCATTGGATCTTGGAATCATCAACTATCAGCGCATCGTCAGACTGCGGGTTAAAATAGACTGTGATCGCTCTAACCGAGACGACAACCAACCTATTTCTACGTCTTCACCCTCGTTAATTGTTTTACACTCTGATAGGACCCATTTTATTCCCCTTTCTGTATCACTTCCACGTGGAAGGTTGTTCACCGCAACATGCCTCGTGCCCCACAGAAATGGACCCCAGAGGAGGACAAGCTCCTCTGCCGAGAAGTCCACAATCAATGTAAGTCATGTCGCAAAAGTGTTTCATACATACTGTCTCTAACTTTGTGCCGTGCTCCAGTATCTGAAGGCCGAGTAAGAGACTGGCGATCAATCGCAGACAAGATTCCGGGTCGGACGAATAAAGACTGTCGCAAACGGTGGCACAATGTGCTTTCCGGCGGGTTAAACAAGGGATACTGGACGGAGGAAGAGGACAAGCTGTTAACACACGCGGTGCAAATTCACGGAGAGACGTGAGGATCCTCTGTTGCCCGTTAGGAAATGAACCCTAGACTGACACGTGACTGCGATAGATGGACGGTGGTTGCAGATGTCGTCAAAACACGAAGCGCAGATCGTATGTTCCTTTGGATCTTCTTTTTTCTTTTCCCACAGTTCAATACTAATCGATGTTGTCTGCAGAATGTGCCAAACGATGGAAGCAATGTCTTGACCCGCAACTGGACCGCAGTGAATGGACAGAACTCGAGGTAGGTTTGCATGTCCATGGAACATCGATGGGTGTGATCTTAATACGAACGACAATAGAACCGACGATTGATGGAGGCATGTGCCGTCAAGGGACGACGATGGAAAGAGATCCAGATGGAGCATTTCCCTACCCGGTCACGAAACTCGATTAAGAATCAGTAAGCAGAAGCCTCGGATGGAGGATGGAATAAAAGACAAGAAGCTAATTAGATGGCATTATGATTAGACACACAATTCTTACCCGGCGATATAACAAACTGAAGAATTTGCGAGAAGCCCAGAATGCTTCGAGTGTGGGGACTGGAACTGAGGATTCAAGCTTGTCGCCGAGCTCATGCGAGGACTCGGGAGACACTGTTGACAGTAGTGACGATGATAGTGGTCTTGGGAGCGGAAGCACAGAAGGAAGCAGCGGGCTCCATGATCCTCACATTGCCGACGATGATGTCTCGATGAGTATAAATCCCACAGACGTCTTGCCATCAACGAATCAAGGGATCCCTGGACATCATGGCTTTATACACGGGCCAACATGGGATATGGCTGGCACATTGTCGGGAGACCCATGGGGACTGCCTTCGGTAGGTGAGACGGATAGTATGGGATTATTCCTGAATGGTATGGTGCCAGAACTTCACAGCATCCCACCGGACAGCATGCATGGTTTCAGCTTTGCGGATGCAACAAGCGGCAAAGACTGCATTTGCCCAAGTTTGTTATCACCAACCGAAGAGCTTCCCAGTGACTACAGTCAAGGAGACAATTTCTGCGACGACCTGAGCGTATCAGCTATGGACACAGAAGAACAGACACTCGCATCCTTGCAGGAAAACGTGACTCGTGGGAAACGATGTGCCAAAATAGTATTAACGGTGGAGGAGCCCGATAATAATACGGTCGAATCACTGGTGCAAATTGCATTCTTGAGCAAATCACGATTCCATTTCGCCCGCGAGTGAAGTGATTTCCCCGGCACTAAGTGGGAGTTTTGAGGGTCGCGGTATTTCCGTCGCTATCACGGGACCTTTTTTCGGTGGTCTTTTTCCTTCGGTGGCTTTTCTTTAGTGTTGTTATCAGCGAGTAATGGCGTTTCTTTATGTGACATGTATGAGATGAGATATGTGATGGGACAAGTTCCATTATCTTGGACATGAGCTCAGCAGATAAACATCGATCATCTGCTAATTACTCTGTCCCAACTGTACCTTACACGAACTTCTGCGGATTATTTTGTTTTTACGATAGATTATTACCTTGGAGCATTCGGCGAGGCTTTGGACCTTTGTGATTTATATGCAAACTTGACCTTCCTTTCTTACTGGGGAACTATCTTGATGTATATCGATCAAGCCCCGCAAGCTCCGGCCTTACGCTGGGCCAAAATCAACCACACCATTAGAGGTTCGTTCCATGCGGACTTCCACAAGATTGTCCTAAGTTGTCTTGGTTTCACGATGGAAAAAGCAAATCAACCTAGCTTTATTACAGAATGGTTCGCGTACTTGAAGGGAGATGATGACACCGTGAATTAGGAACATAGTTCAAGCAGGGTCCCTGCGATCCAGGATCATTGATTAGCCCGTCACACTCCAAGTGCAACGGGAGATGGCCATGACTGCACGCCGGTGGGTAGTACTATTCGTCTCAGTTGGGTTCGTAGGTGGGCCTACGATGGGTACGCAGGTGACAACTAAGACATCGCAATATAAATTCCCTTATACAATACCAGAGTTTACAATGGTCTAGAAAAGGAATTTTGCCGCTGTTGACGCCGCCGTCACATGTGACGGCGGCTACACCGCGGGGAATTGATTTAATTAAATAAATGCACACGAATTCCTCCAGCCTCGAATCCTTTTTGTCTTTGAAGTAGACCCCCAACTGCTTCTCTTCAACCTACTTTCCATGTAAGACTACTTTATCCATTCTGTCCTGAGAAGACTATTTCTTCCCTTGTTACGGTCCTACCTTTTCCACCTACAAAGCCAGAACTCTGCCGCCAACCCTGTAACGCACTAACTCGACTGACCGAAGCAAGAACGCGATGCCACCGCTGCTGGACCTGCCAAATGAAATTCTCCACCATATTGTAGGCTATCTGGCCCTAGAGTCAGATATGAATCTGCTAGCCAGGACGAACCGCCATCTTCACAGTTCAATCAACCCCTTTTTGTATCGTTTCAATGCCCTGCACAGACAGATGTCCGCACTCCTCTGGGCGGCAAATCATGGGATAGCTGGGACGGCCCAGCATTCAGTGAACGCTAGTGGCGGAGTTTCAAGCAATGTACAACTTGGGATATTCTATGATGCACTGTCAATAGCAGTGCACGCAGGACACACAAGTATCGCGAAGGCTCTTCTACTACAGGAGGGAATCGATCCGAATTTCCATTATCAGAGTGTCGATCCTGATGTCCAATATCAGAGTGAAGAGGATAGATTTTGGGTGACGTTTTTAGCAAGAGCAGCCCAGGCGGGACATGTGGATATGGTGGCCCTGTTGTTGTCAACAAAAGGCATCAACCCGAATCTAGGGGATAGCATGGGGAGGCCCCCAATTGCTTATGCGGGATTCAGCAGCCAAGGTGCAGTGGTTACACTGCTGCTTGCGGCCCCAGGCGTAGATCTTAACTGGAAAGATCAACATGGCCGCACACCACTTTCCTGGACAGTTAGTTTCGGATCAGAAGCAACTGTGTCTCAATTCCTATCTCGACAGGACATTGATGTCAATGCGGCTATACTTACAGATGACTTGTTCCAGAAGGGATGGACCGCCCTGATGTTCGCGGCTAACAGGGGATATGTAAAGAATGTGGAGCTCTTGCTTAACACACCATATATCAATGTGAACCACCAATGCCCCAGAGGAGAAATGGCTTTATACTGGGCAGTGCAGGCCGGCTCTGAAGCTATCGTGAAGCTTCTACTCGCAAAAGGGGCATATCCTGACCCCAGAGACAGTCATAATCTGTCTCCTCTCATCCAGGCTGCCTTGGATGGCCACTTATCGATCATGAAATTGCTATATGAAGCAGGCGCTGACCTCAACACTACCACCGGCACTGGGTGTACTGCACTTATTTTAGCTTCGGACGAAGGATATACAGCTATAGTTGCTTTTCTTTTGGATACTGGAAAGGTGGACCTAGCAGTGCAAGGCGAAGAGGACAAGCGTAATGCTTTGTCGCTAGCTGCTGAAAGGGGACATCGAGAGATTGTTGACCTGTTATTGAAACAGGATGGCCAAGGGTTTCCTAACGCAAGGGACTATAGGGGACGATCGCCATTATCATATGCGACGGAGCATGGTGACCTTGAGACCATTAAAATGTTGATACAGAATACATCTGTAATTGATACTAGGGAAACAGATGCCCACGGTCAAACACTCCTTTCCTATGCCGCGCGGCACAATAATCCAGAAATCCTGAATCTGCTAGTGTCAGGCACCAAAAGTACTAGATAGAGATACAGTCTTTTGACATAATGCTACGGCTTGAATTACTATGCAGTGAGGCTCTGAGATGGAGACCAGGAAAAGCCTAACGGTCATTGATTTCCAATATCTAGGAGTACATATCACCACAACAATAACTTCTCAGAACGGGGATTCACAGCAATGGCTGAAGAGGTTGATACAGAATAATAGCAATCGGAAACCCGAACGGCCCAATGTATTCAAAGAAATACTTATCAAGTTGACCAGTCAATATTCAGGTCCTTCGCAACATGTTTGCAGGGAACGCTCAAATTTGATGTGTGCATTCCACCGCAGGGTTCCTTTGGTCCCACAAAATCTGAACCTTTCTTGGAATTATACTTGCCATATGAAACCATATGCGTTCCGTGAGGGAATATGATTCTCACACCTCATTCCGTGATTTTCAGCTTTTTCAAGTACTCGTCTGCTCCCTTAATTATCACCAAGTCCTCTGCGTGGTACAGATCTTCCTTACTAACGGGGCCACAGGGATTCGAGATCTTTCGTGAGTTTACCTGGTTCCAATATCGCTGAAACCAGTCCTTCACGGGTTTATTTTTATTGCTGACTTTGTGACTTTTGTCCAATATCTCATCGACGATTCCTCTGCCACGGGGCTTGGAACCTACCGCGACTCCAACATCTGGGATAAAGAGCGCAGACACGATCACATTCCCGTTGAAGTAAAACCTGTCCTTAATCTTCTCGTAGCCCTTTTCGGCTAGGTTTTTGATCTCGTCTGGAGCAAGTTCCTTGGAGCCCATGTCTTTGGCTGCAATGAAGCGGTAAAACGTCCGCTCCTTCCAGGCCGAATTGAAAGACTGGTCCACCTCATTCTCCTCTTTTACACCTCGGCTGACAATGCTATGGTTATGACCTTCTAGGTGGATCGCCTCAAGCGCGGTGGCTAAGTCCTCCTGATGAACATCAGGAGCATCGCCATCATCGTTAGGCTTATCGGTGTTGGTTCGTGCGATAGCTCCGTATCCAACATGGGTCTCAAAATTGGGGTGTTAGGACAGTCCAGGAAGCGATTCTGCAATCTCTCTCCTTGCATAGGTTGGCTGGGCGTCATAGCGTCCGATTTCTTCTTGGGGTCAGCGTATGTGGCCAGATGCCGAACTATATCAAGGAATACTTCTTACCATCGCCGAAATCATTGCCAATAGACTGGCCTTCCAAGGGCTCACTGTCTGCAGTTGGCCGTGTAAAGACTGAAGAAAAGAAACCGCTCACAGCCAACACTGCCAGGAAGTTCGGGATAACCCAGCGCATTGTAGGCAAGACAATGATGTATGATGTTCTCAAGTGGTTTTTGTTGTTTCGGGGTAATGGTGTCGGTATGTGGGTGATTTTTGTCTGTCATGATGATCTTGTTCGTAGAGGAAAAGGACGATATATAAAGTTTAGAGATGCCTTCATAAAGCCACTACCCCCAGGCAACCGACCTTGAGCGTATAGCTGTAGGGTCTGTCCAAATCCGCGAAAACCAACAGTTGATAGGGTTTGGCTGATCGCGAGGCGAAGTGATTGGCCGTTCATTAGCCGCCGACAGGGATCAGTTTTAGTATGGATTGGGCCCCCATGGAGACTATTCATGTATGCGGTAGCCTTGTCAGGCAGGGGCTGTAGCCCCTAGAAATAATACATACCATATGATGTTAGCCATAATGATTGGTAGTTGCTCTGTGGTCCAACAGCCCTTGGTTTAACCCTAGTACCTGAATGATCAGGAACTTAGAGGCGTAAGGCACACATGTTTCAACTTTATTCTTTCCGTCAGGTATTCGAGGAGACATGTGACGAACTCCCATCTATAGAGATAGAACATCTAACATTAGCTTTGATTATAGCCAGACAGGATGCAACCACCAGGGAGGTGGAGATGGGGTCCCTGCGCGCCGATCCAAGTACTGGAGAATCGGCCGATATCTAAAAATAATTGATATACTGTTGGCTCAGAGGAATCATAAGAAATGTTCAGCCTAGCTATACATCATCCTGAACCCCGAGTGTAGAGTGATGTCATAGTGCATGTGTTGATCTACTCCATATAGTTCATACTAGTTAGAGAGTTTCTACTCCTACAGTGCCATTCCCGGATGTCAGTACTTGGACCTTGCACGAGGTCCATGCCACTCGTTCTGTATATGAAACAAGGAGGCCTGGGCCATATATGGCAGCCACCAAAAGATCCCATGCTTAGTGTTGGTCAGCATCATACTCTATTGAAATGAAGGAAAGGTAGGAAGAAAATATCATAGGTAGAGTAGCTATTGGGGGTTGCCTGATTCTAATCATTTCATAGAGAGAAATACCAGCCGATAGATATAAGTACGCTTTGGATGTTCAAAGAATTCATTCCGACATCTCATCATTCTCGGTTCTATCACCAAGCCTATCCACATTTACGATTCCATTGCAAAATGCATACCAAGTTTCTTCTTACAATCTCTATTATAACAAGCACTCTTTTTTTCTCCTCTGATGCTGCCCCTGCACCGGCAGCTGATGAAGGTTTAGTCATCATCGGCTCCCCCCCAGTCAGGGCCAATTGGACTGAATCCAGCTTCTTGCAATGTGTTAAGCAGCTAAACGGCTTTAAGTCAGCTAATGTCGTGGATGACAACATTGCTTTCAAGTGCATTGGTGTGTATGGCAATGGTGACTTGAGCCTCCATGCTCCCAGTAGCAAGAATGCCGATAGCTGTCCAGCAAATTCTCTCCCTTCGACCTCAGAGGAAGTCGACAACAAGAGCTGTGCCAAAGAACTCTCGAAGAACTTCGAAGAAGCCGCCCCCTTTCGTGCTGCCGTTGATTCCATCTGTCACGACCTCGTCGGAAGTTTAATGGACAAAGGAATGAACCATATCACTCACAAATTCACGGATGCCTCTTCTAAATCCGATTCATGGCTGTTAAAGAACAAGAAGGTCCTCTTGGAAGCCACGATGAACCTGACGCCGCAGACCCGTGCTGCTCTAAAAGCTGGCAAGGTAGCCAAAGCCACGCTGGATACTCTGTGTGAGAACGGATTAAAGGAATTCGGCACTAAAGGGCAAGGGTGCACACAGGAATTGAACTACTAGAAGAAGACCCTTGGTATCTCGCATCATGGGATCCCTTATGACCGGGCCACGACAACAGGCGTGAAGGATGGTGTGGTTGATTTGTTTGTGGGCAATGCCGTGAACAAGATTGGTACTATCGCCCTGTCCTGGTCCAAGCCTAAACAACCATAGACTTGGTTTGTTAGCTTCTCTGATAGCCTTTCCCGACCTACAAGGAGTGATGGTAGTTACATTGATACCATGTGGTGTTCAGCTGCCATTGCCAGGGTCTATATTCAACATATAGATCCATGACAGTACTTTACCTGACAAATCGCACTGTTTGTACCTAGCTTGTTGATTTTTCCCGCACATGTCACGCGTCAACACTTTTTTTCTTCTCCCCTTACCGCTTGAAATTCTGATTAGGTAGCACCAATGTTCCTTTCTTGCTCGCGCGGTCACACTATATTCAGTAAAAGCTAAACCTTAACTGCGTATGGATTACGCAGCACAGTCAGATGTCTATTTCCAATCTAGGTAGAGTAGTGATGATAAGACAGTACAGCCATAGATCGAAGTTGTGGACGATATCTACTGTCCAGGGTCGATAGGCCTGTCAACGATGTAAGGATATGTAGGGGTCTTGATTTATAACCGAAGGCTTTTGTACCTAAAGGCTTCATTCAGGATCCCCTAGAGAAAATCCCGGTATATCGTCTGATGTTCGGCCTCCAAAGCCAAACCGACCTATGACGGAAGTCATTGGTGTGTTAAGTGGTGAGTGGTATACTTGTGTAGGATCTGGAGCAGCAGACTTTGGCTACTATAGCACCCGAGCTTTCATTAGCTAGCATCGATATCAAAACAACATATATAGGGTAGGAATGCATGCGACATTTTATTCCTCGCGCCCAGCGAGGGCATTGTCTCCTTGCTAAGGTGTGTGCCAGGAAAGAACGAATCACGAGTAGTGATTGTGAGCTTGACTACTATGGTGTAACTACAAGAGATTATTATTCTCCATATCATGACCGAGAGAATGGACCACATGTCAACGGTTTAAAATTGGGAAATCACCGGGGGCCGAGCAGAAATAGGTAACAAAGTATCACGTTCTCCTCGGAGATAATAAATATAATAAATAAGATCCACTGGTGTGTGAGTGTGTGTAATTAATTAAACCCATTGCGGGAAAAAGAAAAAAAGAAAAAAAGAAAGAAATGCTCCCACGCGGATTTGAACCGCGGACCTCATGATTACTAGTCATGCGCTCTACCAACTGAGCCATAGGAGCCGTTATGGAATACTGTGCATCTTATTATCATAAACAGACCAGAGCTATCCAGCCATCGACAAATTTAAACCATCTTCCTCTCCTCTCCGTCACCGTCAGGGTTGATTAACACAGCCATTCAACTGTCGCAAGTCCCAACACCATACCAATCACGGTCTTTGCCATGTCACTACCGGTAATGGACAGTCGCAGTGATGCATTCGGGGTGGGCGTGCTCGTTTCACTCGCGCTTGTGGTCGTAGCAGGGGTATCGGACGTGGTTGTCGCCGACGCCGTTGGCACATCGCTGGATCCGCCAGTGGCCGTAGAGGAGGATTGAGTTGACCTCGTTGATGTCACTGTAGCGTTCGTTGCAGTCGTGGTCGAATTCGATCCGGTCGAGAGACTCTCAACTTGGAAACCATGGATGGCTACCGACGACGCTTTGGAAAAGCGCTCGGTCGCCTGTCCCACAGCCTTGCCCGAGCAGTCGTCGGTGCCGTACAATAACATATTTATATTCTTCTCGCCTTGCGCATCGATGGCAAATACCATTCCCTTTTCATGATTGACAGTGATACACTTGGAGGGCCCGTGGCCGGATTCCACGTGTGTTGTGTTGCTGGCATCTTTCCACGTGAACTCCCACGCAGCAGTGGAGGGAAGAACGGCCAGGGCAGAGACCGATAGAGGGAGCAATGCTGACCACTTCATGTTGATGGGCTTTTACTGGCCGACAGGACACTCGAGGGCGTGTGCGTAGGGTTGGAAGTAAAACGGGAGGCGAAGAAGAGGAGAACTCTTTCTGCTGTCGGGGTGGAAGCGTCCTTCCTCCACTTTTAAGTATTCGACAGTCTCGACTCTTGACTGCGAAATGACTTCCCCCAGCACGGATGGTGAACTGCAGATCCTCGTATTCATTTGCCGAACAGCCACTCAGGAACAACGCTGATCATCAAGTTTTCTTGGCGTAGGGCATTAGCTCTGTATTGATACGGGTTGCCAGGAACAAGATGGCCGGAGAACCAATGTCAGGGGGGTCAGTGGCGTAACTTATAGGGTTACATTGCGTTAGTCTTTCTCTGGCGTGTTAATGGGAAGGTACTGAGTGTAGGATAAATTGATTCGCACGAGGGTTTGCGGCTCGAATAATATCCTTTTTCCCCCACTATGATTGTGGATGTTGTCCAAGATATATTTCTCGTCAAGGACGGACACCAGCTAACGAACACTCTAGCACAACCCAACTACATAGGCAATTACGGACCTAATCTCGTAAATGCATAACTTTGGAGTATCTAGTATAGATTATTTTGCAATCCATGTAGGGAAATGAGCATTAGGATATCTTGAAGGCGGTCATTTATAGAGGCTTTCTAGGATCGACGCGACCTGCAACAAGTAACAATCATTCATGATGGATTTCCAGTGATACGGCAGGATTGGGAAACGTTGACTAAGCATCTATTCACAGCGCCACTAGAATAACTGTAGAGCCCTGCAAAGTCCTGGCAAAGTTACGCCCCCCTCGAGAGAAGCTTCCAACAACCTTTGTCAACAAGTCTGCGAATACGTAGTCAGGCAAATGGCTTCGCCTACACATCGCACCGAACTAATTGCATGAACAATACGCTGCTTGCCAGGTAATAAGCCTCCGATCCAAACCATATTCCCGAAAGAGTCAGGAATTTTAGCATATTCCAATGTTAACGTCAATGTGGTGACCCGACGGTTGCGCTATCCATTGCGAGTATAAGCCGAATAGGGGGGCCGGTCATTCTAGAACCTCCCCGTAGAGCTTGGATCACCTGCTCATACCAAAGAATACTTATTCAACAAAAACAATAATCAAAACAGCTACTAGATCCCTAGCTGTTCGCTGTCAAAGCCCCGGACTTTTGTGTTGGGCCGACTTTGATACTAAACAAGATTCTTCCCGGGGGGTGGGGGGCAGCAGAACCCTGATTAGAGGGACTTTTGCTTGAAAGTACTTACAAGTACAATTCGTAGGGGTTTCACTTCTGTTATGAACCTTCGTCCCCCAAAATAGAGTCCGTTCAATCCCAGGGTTGGCCCACCGAGGTCTTCTGACTTTAGTCACCGGAGAGCCACTCTATTATACATAGAACACACATGCCTTCCAAACATAGGGTACCCAACTATATATTTTGGTATTGTACCTTTTACATTCCGGAGATCGCCTCCTAAACACTTGGTGACAGTGCTAAATGTCTTTAGGTTGTTTATTTTAGGCCCTTTCAGGTTAACCAACTACATCCTTGTCGTGGGTTCTGGGAGCTACTGCTGCTGACTAGAAAATCGATTGCTAGATTCTATGCGCGCGGCATAGCCATCCCAAAAGTGTTCCAATATGTCACAAGAGTATGATATGGAGCACTGTGAACCAGTGAGTGCTTACATAATGGCGCCTACAGAGGAATTGGTCACTAAATGCCCACCGAATTCCCGCTATACAACACCCCCCTTCATCACCTCTCTAACTATACCAGATCTACGTAATATCCTAAACGCTTGCTCTTGTTTCAGTCGGCGAGCTTGTAATTGTGAACGTCGTAACCACTTTCACCACATCCCTTATTGCTCACTCGCTCTATTTTCCACCTCCAATTCAACTTTTTGCGAACCGATTCATCCCTTGTCGTTTTCAACTTCCACCCGAGGCAAAGAGTTTCTCGATATGAGGAGGATCATCTCAGGATTGAGACACTCCATGCGAGGGTCTGCGTCACCTACGCCGGGCACGACCCCAGATCCAGCTCTATCGGCGACAGCGGGTCCAGTTGGCCCACACTCGACTATCTCCCAGTCTAAAGGGGCGGGATTAGTACCCGTAACAGTAGACCCGAGGGGAAAGTTAACTGGCGATATCATCTATCGTAATGCACCGGTAGAAGACCTCCCACCCGAAGTTCGACATCACCTTCTTTCTATGCTGGAACTGGAAACACTGAGGGCGCTACTTTATGCGTCTCCTGTCTATCACCAGCAATATCTGTTAGCGCGCAAGCGCTTGCTCTGCAAAAGCTTGGAGACAACATTGCGCACCGCTACTATCGACGCTTGTGCTGTTTATCAGTCTGGCCTGGTCGACTTTCCTCACTCGCGCACTAAAGAGAAAGTCAATACGTTTCTTCAATCCTACCAGGACCAGCGGGGTTCATCCCTGTATTCAGTACCGAGCAAAACTTGTAGCGTTGATGAGCTCGTGGCCTTAGCGGTGTTCTACTTCTCAATCGTCAAACCACTGGCACAATACTACACTAGCTGGGCGCTGGGCAATCTTGCCACAGAGACCGGTAACCCACGAAGTAACGAGCCTTTAAGCCAGGTGGAGGAGACACGACTAATACGTGCCCTGTATCGGTTCCAGCTCTGCTGTAACCTGTTCGGAGCTGGCTGCCACAAGTCCTCACAGATGCAAAGACTGAGCTTCGACTCTGTGGAAATCGGGACGATATTCTTAGACTTATTCGAGCCTTGGGAGGTCGAGGAAATCTCCTGTATCTACACCTTCGCCAAGGAAAGATATAACCAGATCTTTAACGACATCCGCTGGGATGTCCATGAAGAGAACCCCAAGTTTGAAGGACAACGGCCACCCACCCCTGAAGGAGCATTTGACCTAGATAATAGTTGTTAGTCCCAGCCCTCCATTCCTCTGCATTTCCCCGCCAGCAACACCCCTTTGATACTCGAGAGCAACTAACTCTATAACAACAACAGGGATCAGGGATAGTCTCCTGAAAGGAACAATCTCCTGCGGTCTTGGCCTCTTACATATGGTCATCTTTAAGATGAAGGACCACAAACATCTAGTCACGACGATGCAACAGCACATATCGTGGCCGGCAGGCAATTTCCTCGAGGGTGAAGCCTTAGGCGAATCAGCACAATCCCAGCGACGCCAGGATCACCCCTCGAATCGGGACTTGCGACAGGAGAGAGGTGACCCGCTCCCATTCCAAGGAGATGAAGTCCCCGAGACAAATGGAGTACGTCCACCTCTGGCCTGGACCCTGATATGGAAGGGATCGTACAGCAACCTATACGGATACTACGTGCAGGATACCATCCGCCGCTGGGGATATGTTATTTGGGATGCGACGCGACTCGACCGCACCGGCGCAAGAGAGCTTTTGGCACGACAGTGGGAGGCGGATTGGGGGGACACTGATCCAAGAGATAATCTGCTGTAGTGGTGCGATAGCCGCTGAAAGAGCAGCTTGGCTTAGGTACTTTGTTTCGAGAAGATAGAATCCTTCTGGAAGTTAAGCTTTGACCGATGAAACAGTATTGTTGTTTTTAGGGCGTTTTTCTATAGTGAGGCCCAGCCACAACTTCAGTCTCTATTTCAACCTCAACATCTCATTTTCATCTCGGTTCCCTAACCATGAGACAGGCTAACCTAGACCAACTTTTTAGAGTTCGGTAGTGAGGACTTACGGGATCATGAATTCTTGATCTCCTCCTTGAAGGCCATCATGCTCTCTATGAGATAGCGCCGCTGATGGAGGGGTACGCGATAGCCTCTATCATCGCAAATAGCAATAGATCCTTAGATCGAAACTCAATAATCGTATCCCCAAAAGGCTAGCGACCAGACAAAGTTCCCAGATTGCCATATGCACGGGCACCACACCGACTGAAGTTCTGACGCCATCGCGAGTGACCTGGTAGTTGCACGACGCGCAAGCGATACAAAGAAGTACCACCGACGATCTGATATTGCCAATGCTCGCGAGCTTATCCAGGAACTGCCAGCTGACAAGAAGGATGACACGAGTCATGAGCCTTCTCCAATGAAACTGTGACTTGGCAGAGGCCCAAGCTGCCAAAGCTCGCCAGCTTCGGTCTCGTGGTAAGATGATCGCGATGAGTGGAAAGCTGGGCTCCCACATGGTTGGGCATCACCCCGCAGTCGTTGCATTAGTGTTGAAATAGTGTTAGAGTATCACCAGAGTTTAACCCCGGATTTTGTGGCTCGAGCAGTCTTGGCAATGTACCCTGATGGAAAACGTGCGCGTTGATGATAACGATGATAGCTCTCAAGGACACCGCTCGTTGTGAGAGTAAAGCATCGTAGAACTGTGCAAGAGCTGCTCATCATAATCTGCTCAGAGGTCTCCATGACATGATGTCACGGGCGATATTTAAGCTTACAAGAACCCCTGCTACTTGTGGAGATATTCTGATCTCGTAAGTTTCTAGGCCGCAATTTCTCAGTGTTATTGATTTCCTTTGACCTAAGATTGATACCGACCACCTCAAAATGTCGGCATCAGACATTTCCGACATGAAGCAACATGATGCTCAGCATGTGGAGAGTGTCAGGAGCCTTGTCACCATTGACAATATCCAAGTGCTCGGTCTGAGTCCTGAGGATACGCAGTTCTACACAAGCTTCTCCGCGGAACAGAAAAAGGCACTCTTACGCAAGGTAAGTCTTCACTATATGAGCGCATTGGGACTGAACTAATCTATACCACCTGACATCAGGTCGATATTCGCTTGGTGCCAATGTTGGCCGTGCTTTACTTAATCTCTCAGATTGACCGAGCCAACATCGGAAATGCAAAGATTGAGGGGCTCACGGAAGACTTGCGACTAAGTGGCATCCAGTATAACATTGTACTGAGCATCTTCTTTGTCCCCTATGTGCTTCTGGGTAAGCATGCCTTACAATCTGACAATTCATACGGCGCTAACCAGGATATGATTGCAGAGGTGCCAAGTAATATCCTACTCAAGAGCTTTTTCAGGCCTTCAGTCTATCTGGGAATTCTCATCACTTGCTGGGGAATTGTGATGACCCTAACAGGCATTGTGCAAAATTTTGCTGGTATGCTCGTCACACGTCTCCTCCTGGGTGCCTTCGAGTAAGTCCTCCTTCTCCAGGCTACCTACTCAACTATGTATATCGCTCATGCTCCTAAAAGAGCCGGATTCTACCCTGCAGCAGTATATCTGTGCACATTCTGGTATATGCCCAAGGACCTCGCCTATCGCGTTTCCATCTTCTACTGTGCCAGTGCGCTTTCTGGGGCTTTCTCGGGTCTTCTGGCCGCCGGCATTGCGCAAATGCATGAAATCGGTGGCCAGGAAGGCTGGCGATGGATCTTCCTGCTAGAAGGACTTGCGACGGTAGTTCTCGGCGTGATGTGCTTTTTCCTGCTCATTGATTCACCGAAAAGATCAAGCAAGTGGCTTAGCCCCGACGAAATCCGATACCTTGAGCTGCAACATTTCATAAAAGAAGGGGGTGATTTCAAAGACCAGAGAAAGAGGGTTTCTTGGGAGGAGCTGAAAACCGTTTTTCTCAACTGGAGGTTGTATCTGCTGGCGTATATCTTGCTCTGCCAGTCTGCCTCCGCGTACGGTTGGTTGACTCCTCCTCATCTGTGGCTCGCGTCGCACTAATCATGGAATATATAGGCCTCAAATTCACCATGCCTACTATCACGAAGGCCATGGGTTTCACCAATACGAACGCGCAACTCATGGTTGCGCCCCCGTATATTGCGGCTGCCATCTCCGCCATCTGTTGCTCGAAACTGTCCGACCTCTTCTACTGGCGAATGCCCTTCGTTGCGATACCATTGATGGTCGTCACGATTGGCTACTCAATTGTTATCTCGTTCCATGGACAATTGAAGGAGAACATTGGCCCTTGCTACTTCGCTATGGTCCTTGTCTGTATCGGTCTTTACCCGACCCACCCTGCAACCACCTCATGGTTGGCCAACAACCTGGCCCCATCCGGGCGCAGAGCCATTGGCCTTGCTCTTAGTATCTGCATTGGGAATACCGGCGGCGTTATCGGTAGTTACATGTACATGGATAAGGAGGCCCCCACGTATTATACCGGGTTTGGCTTGTCACTCGCTTTCGGTGGCTCTGGTTTGATTGCAGCGCTTCTGCTGGAGCTTTCATATATTTATGGCAACCGAAGGAAAGCAAATGAATCCGAAGCGGAAATCAGAGAGCAATACACGGATGACCAGCTGTTGGCGATGGGTGACAAGTCTCCATTATTCAAGTACACGCTGTGAGTGGTGTCGCATGTCGGGTTTTGCTTTTCTTCCTAGGCCCAGCACGAATACTTCAGGGTTCGCAATATAAGTACTGTGGTTATTCTCCGAGATATTTGATAATGACTTATTATGCGGTTATTTCCATCAGTTCCTATCAGGGTGCCATAGGATGCACAACAATTTGGCCGAATACATCACTGCAAAATTCCTAGCTAAGAATAGCAAGCAGACTTTCTGGTGAGAGCACTTTGGATAATCGCTGCCAACAGTCTTTCGTATGGAACCCCATTTTCTTCGGCGCTCTTCGCCAGCGGCGAATGGCCGGGAAGAAGGCCGGATATAGGATTCAGCTATATGACATTAGATAAACTCGTCTTCGTTAAGGTGAGATCGACCTTGGCAGGCTTACCTCTAGAATGTTAGGGACAGCATCGTGCTCATCGGAGTTGAACCGAATGTCGACCCGCCCAGCATCACGGCAGCCCAAGGTTCTCCAAGCGTCCAATGCAACCTGGCAGGCAACCTTGACCTGTGGTTCAGTCATAAGCCCCGGGTCATTCCGTCCTACCAGCATGTTTGCGTCACTACACTTGCTTTTTCTGCTGGCAAACTCTAAGCCGCTGGACCTGGGGTTTTGCCATAGAAGCTCGTTGACGCCAACCACACAACTCTGGACACCAGTTCCTAGAATGCTCACTGAAAGCTCCCGTCCCGACAGAAAAGGTTCCACCAAGATATCTTGGTCGGGTAATTTTGATCGTAGCTTTTTGACTGCCGATTCTAGCTCGGCAGGTTCTGTCACTTTGTTAAATCTGTCGATTCCCTTAGACGATCCTTCTATAACTGGCTTTAAAAAGAGTGGGTAGTGCGATGACATATGGTTAAGATTCTCAAGGCTCAGGTTCTGGTCCTTCCGTGAGATCACCGAGAATGGAGCGGTGGGTATGTTATGATGAGCCAGAATAATCTAAGTGTCCATATGAGTTAGCAGGGCCGTGGTCTTCAAGTAATGGCCCAAATAGAGACGATACCTTAGTATGGGCCTTGTTCTGACAAAGTGCCATCGTGGCAGCGTCAGAAAATGTGTAAAGCAATTGATAGGCGTCTAACAGCGCTGGAACCTGGGCTTCTCTGGATGGTCCATGAAATCCTTGTGTGATGTTAAATACCAGATCCCAATCCTTATATGTGCCAGCCGCTAGGTGCTTGACAAGAGATTGGATTCCTGGGACTAGTGTAACATGATGCCCAAGGCCTCGCAGGGTAGTCAGCACAGTATCGGCTTCACCATTGTGTGGTAAAGCCGCACATTCTTCTTCTGAATAACCTTTGCTGTGGAAGGTCGACCGTTGTTCGGCGATTAAGGCTATATTAAGAGAAGGTGTATCAGACATGGCCGGCCGCGAATAGCATCCAATATCGGATTGAGATGGAGTAGGAATTGAAAACTTCCAATTTACACCTCAACTACATGCGCTATTTAAAGGGTAAATCCGGTACAGCTTATATCACTCTTAAATACACTATAGCCTTCCTCTAGAAAGTCAGGAGTTGATTCGGGGTAACCCGCATTCGGATAGTGGCCAAAGTTAAATTAATGAAACCTACGTAGCCATGAGCTCAACGATCTTGAGCGCTCAAGGGATTGGAATCGTGAGGAAAAGCCTGTAACTATATATTTAACATACTAATAGAGATATATGAATAGTCTGGTGTAAAATCAAAAGGTCCGATTGTTTCCTTCTGGAGCTAGATGGCATTTTGTGGAGACCACATTTTGCATCTAGTACATCTACCAGCTCAGCCACTCTGTGAAGTTCAAGATGAAAAAACAAGCTCTAGCCTCCACTTGGGTGGAAGCTGGATCGTGAGCTACCCACACTATGGGGGCGTAACTTTTGATCTACATCATCGTTCTCTACAGTGGGGCCAATCACGCCCTTCTCTCTGTCCCATACAGAGTTGTCATCGGGTCAGGTTCGGGTCCTAGAGGCTAGAACCCGGGCTGATTTAGGGAACCCTGCCTACCGCGGAATAAATCGACGTTCCGGACAATAGCGATTTCTGACCGAAACCTTAGCATTTTATAAATTATATTAAACCACGCACTTATTTAGTATCACTCTTACTCTATAAAATATACTATATATAATATATTAATACTGAATTTATTTATAATATAGAAAGTTTATATTTAATTAGGATTTTTTTGATATTAGTAGTAGTAGTGATAGTGATACTAGACAGTAAATACTAGGCAGTAGGCAGTAGTAGTAGACGGTGGTAGTAGACGGTAGTAGTAGACGGTAGTAGTAGACAGTAGTAGTAGACAGTAGTAGTGAGAAAGCTAAGCTTAGAGGATCCTATTATCTGTAACTCCTAAATTTAGGGGCTACTGTACGGTCTGTACGGTGTACCTGAACTCCTAAAGATATAAGTTTTTAAGAATAATAGAAAATTATAAATATATTCAGAGCTAAATCAATTATTTAAACTATTATAAATAGTAGATACTACAGTAAAGCTTTTAAATAGATTAAATTAACTGACTTAGACTAAGATATACTGTGTTGGTATTGGGAAGTTTGGTAATATTTTACATTGTCCGGAACGTCGATTTAGTCCGCCGTACCTGCCACTATCCCTGATTAGGTAATATACTGCTTAGTTATCAGGTGCCTTAACTAACTATCTATAGTTATATGTTTAGAAGACTAGATTCCAGAACCTTAAACTGATTTTTAAAGCTCTACATCTCTACTAGTTCTATATAGAAATCTAGAAAGAATCTAGAAAATGTAGATTTTTAATCATGTGATGCCAAGTAAAACCCGCGCAGGTTTTCCAGGCCAACTCACCGTGAGTGTCTGCATACATCATGCCAATTTAGCAGTTCTAGTATTGGAACTGTTCATCAGTGAGGTGGAGAGCACTATAAAACAACAACAAGACCCATAAGATGCATTACGATAGGCATGTCAAAGCAAAGTGGTGTGCAGCATATAGCTATACCACTCGTTTACGTCCTGTGGTCCATAATATCAGCAGACTTGCTACGATAGAGTCTAGCTAGCCTTGAATCGAGTAAATGTCGAACAAAAAGAAACAGGCACTGGGCGAGATCCTCCACCTGGGCCATCCTTGATTCAAGTTCGGCTTCCGACAGCAAGGGTTTTTCAAGCTGTTGTGTTGCGCCTGTGCATCAGAAATGTGTCCAAATTGAAATATAACTTCCTCTATTGAGATCTAAAAAAAAAAAAGAAAGAAATATGTAACACAAAAATAATAATGACAACAGTACGCTAAAAGCATTCTAATATAAAGAAAAGTAGATCATATATCCAGAAGCCCCTGAACAACCTCCTCCACTCCGTGAAGCATCTCCTCCATCGGTTGATCAGAGTCCAGCGAAATCACATCACTTTCAGACCCAGATGGACTCTCCAACGTATCCAACTGCGAGTCGACCATAGCGGAGCTCATATAATGACCCTCCTTAGCAGACCGAGCAATGAGGCGTTCCTTGAGCTGCGCCCGATCCTTGATGGACAACATAAGAAAGGTAACATTGACGGGGAAATCAAATAGTCGCGACAAGCGTCGTAGTTCGTCGCGGTAGATAGCCCGGAGTGCCGAGCATGTTACCACCACCGCTGGTGCTGCCGAGTGTTGAAGTCGGTCCATTACCGCTCCCCGAATATGAGCCAACCAGTCCCACCGGTCGCTATCGGTGAGAGGAATATTGTTGGCCATCCGCTGTCGGGATACTGGAGAGTGGAGATCGTCACCTTCAATGATGGGCATGCTAAATCGTTGCGCCAATGCCTCGGCGGCTGTACTTTTACCGCAGCCGCAGGGACCTGCCAGGAAGATGACCTCACGGGACTTCTTGGAGACAGATGTTATATCCTTGATTGACCAGCATTGGTTTCGGAAATGCCCCATGAATCGCGACACAAACTGTGCATTGAGTCCTCCTGCTTGACGCAAGGCTGGTGCACCGGCCTGGGCCTTCTTTGTGTCATAGAGGAGGACTCGACTAGGCCGATCATGGTCGTACTTGCTAGCGAAGAACTCGATTAACTTGATCGGAGGATTTGCAGCTGGGTCTGGGTTAGACTGACGCAAACGGTTCAACCACTCTCGCTGGGGCAATTGCTCGAATTCTAGCCCAGCAGTTTTGAGCAGCGGAAGCAGGTCGCGAGTCCAGTGACTGAGGGTGGGATTGGTCAGGTTGACGATGTCCGCTACGTCCGTTCCCAGTGCGAGTTCAATGACGCTGTTTGCGATGACATCAACAGGGGTCCAGGAAAGAACATCGTCTAGTTCAGGAAGAGCTTTGATGGTCTTGCCCGTCTGGAGGATCATCGGAATAGCCTCTGTAGCATTCCAGATGCCATGGACGGTATCCGCAACAATTTGGCCCACACGTAAGACGCGGGCAGCGATGTTAGTGTGTTGCGCGGCGCGGTTGACAATGTGTTCTGTCACGAGCTTTGACTGCGCGTAGCCCATGCCCTGGGCGTATGACAAGGACTCCGGCAACTCTTCCGGTACCCAGTGGCCTGGGGTCCGAGCCACTGTGCTCACAGACGAGCAGAAAGAGAACTTTGCGGGCATAGGCGCCTGGGAATCTAGACATAGGTCGAGCAGATGGCGGGTCGCAGCAATACAGCTATCCTCGAAGCTACCCAGAGACCAGTTGAAGTTGACGGACCAAGCACAGTGGATCACTGCAGTCAGAGACTGAGTCAACTGCGTGTAAGTGGGTTCATCCAAGCCGAGGCGAGATGCGTTGGAGAGTTGTGCGGGCAAAGCAACAATCTTGCGTTCATCAGCGGGACTTAAGTTGTATAGTAAACCCCGATCATAAAGACTTTGGCGCACTCGGCGAAGGGCAGAGTGCGCAGAACTTGCCCGAACCAGGCAGAACACGGTATGGACCTGTTCCATCTGAACCAGCTGCGCCACGAGGTGAACACCCAGCGAGCCCGTGGCCCCGGTCACAGCAATACGCTCTCCCTTGACCGCTTGCAGTACTGGTATATGCGCCTTGAAATTGTTGCTGTATTTGTCAATAAGCTGCGACATCTGTTCCTCGATGGGGACCTGTTTGCCGGCGTCGAGGCCTAGACGGAGTCGGGTGATTTCGTCTGCCATGCGTTGAATAGAGGGGTGTTCAAAGACGAAGTTTTGGGATAGTCTCTGGCCGCCGATGTTCAGCGTCTTGGTGATTATTTTCCGTAAGCGAATCGACTGTAGGCTGTCGACACCAAGACTGAATACGTCGGTGGTATCCTCCAACACAGCAGAATTGATCGTTGGGGCCACTTCCAGCAAGCTTTCCCGGAGAAAAGTATTCAACTCGATTCCCTCCAAGACTTGATCACCCGTCGCATCGCCCTGCTCATAGACCTGTTCAATCTGCTCTTGGAAGTCGCGGTAGAATGCAGAGCGGATCACGGTTCCCTTGTCGGTTGCGCGATATACCGTATTGGGAGGGAGGACTTGAATCATATCACGCGAGATGTGAGCATAGGAGGGGGAGTCCGCGTTGCACTTTTCGATGGCAGGAAAGACGGCATCAATGACCTCTTCGTCAGTCTTGTTCACAGTATTGGCTGCGCGGACGAGGAATAACCCTAGGCGATCCTTGTTGGCACCAAAAGCAATCGCCTCGCCCACGTCCGGATGGTTACGAGCCACGCCCTCGATGATGAGAGGGTTAGCCTTTTCGCCATTCTCCAGCACAAGTGTATCATCCAGGCGAGCGTAGTAGCGCCAGGCATTGGGCTTGGATGGATGCTTCTCAAACAGATCCTTTGTCGCATAGGATCCATCGGGGCGGTTGCTCGCCACCTTCGATGGCCAACCCTCCAGGACCGAGAGTTCGTAGATCCCAGGGAATCGCTCTTCCCACCGGATATATGGCAGCAAGGAGGGCCCCGGTCGAACATAATCCCAGTCCAAATCGGAGCGCTCCCGGAAGGATGTCATCAGCTGTCCCGTTTCCGTTGTTCCATAATGGGAGACCAGTAATGTGCCGTTCTTCACAAGCGTGTCGCCAATTGGCTTGGGACAGGACGAGCCACCAAACATGACCAGCTCCATCCGTGCCAAGGATTCGAGGCCCTGTTCTGACTCGGAAAGAAGTTTCAAGGCGTATGGGACGGCATAGAGCACTTGAATATCTGGGTGTCCCTGCAGCGTGGATAACAAGCAAGAGGCCGTCAATGGTAGCTTCGCATTGTACATGTAAATTAGCTTCTGCGAGTGAATTGCTCGGAAAAGACAGCTAATGCCATGGGCATGAAAGAGGGGCAGCGTGATAAATCCCTTGAGACCGAAGTTGTTGGCGTAATTTTTCAATGCACCAGCATGCGTCTGATAGATCGGCTTAGGGTGTCCTGTTGAACCGCTTGAATGAATGATCCAGCACACGTTCTTTGCCTCCGTCGGTCCGTCAAATTCGCTCGCCTCAAGGACCAGCTTGCCGGTGATGGAGCTGTCATAGTCCTCGCGCTTTAACACCGGTTGCACGATCACACCCGTCCTGCTGCTTACGTTGTCCGCCATAGCCTTGAAACCGTCCTGAGCGATGAGAAAGGAGGCTTTGGTGGCATCGACCAAGCTGACATAGGCATCCTCAGCGATGCGCGTCGAAAGCAACAGCACTGTGTGCCCCAGTCTCGAAATGGCCATCAATGTGATGAGGTATTCAAAGTCAGAAGGGCCAAGTAAGCCCACCACCTGCACAGGATCCTCTGATGACCGACGTTGAGGAATTATCTCCGCATAGTGAATAGCTGCAGCCTCCACATAGTCATGTAACTGCGATCTCAAGTCAGTATTGGGTTGAGTGGTGTCTCTGGTGACTCAAAAACCGTGTGGGGATAGGCTGTGGGTGCGTACCTGACGAGGAGTGTAGTATACATAATCGATGTCCTTGGAAGGGTATGCGACAATGGGTTCATCGGCTGCTTTTCCATTGGCTCGCGTGAGCAGGAGGTCATGGATTGTGTAGATTTCTCGTTCAGGCTCCTCGTACTCGTCGTTTGACGTTGCCGGGGACGAGACTTCCGGAGAAGCCGATGCAGCCTCCGACGTAGCCGGCGAGGATAATACCGGCAATAATGGCGCTGTGCAAGCCATGGTAAGCTGGTAACTTAGTTGTCTATCTATTTCGGTCTCGCTGTGTTTGCAGTTGCGCAGCCTTATAGGTTTATAGCTTGGGGACAATTCCGCCCACCCCACAGTCTGAAACACCACTGGCCATCCCACGTCTGACGAAATGGTTAAAAATGCGGGGCCTCTCCAGGTGCTCCGACAGGAAGCTCACGAGGATCGTTGCATAATCTTGTTGGAGTACCCCGTATACTCGGTCGACTTTGGGGTCGCTGCTTTTCCGCCTCATTTCCGCGTTCAGGCGGAAATCCCCACACAATATCGTCCGCCAACCCCCACCACCAAGGAAAGACTGGATTCTCCAGACAATCTGATTGATGAATGATTGTCCTCGGCTCTTTGCTTGCTATCATTCGGGTTTATCTCCGTCTTCAGGCCGGCAATTGTATGCCTCGCGACAAGATAACCGCAGGGAAAACCCCTCGTTTAGTTTGCAGAAAATCCGCTGACTTAAAAGATAATCCGAAAATGGTTAACCTGGGTTTCGCTTTTCCTAAGGTCTTAGATGAATTCCTCTTGGCTAACCGCCGAGCTCCGTAGTATGAGCATGAGTAACTCTTGGCTTAAATCATATCAGCCTATTAAATCCTGCTATCAGTTGGTTCATTTGGGGTCAAACACAGTCTCAAATGGTATTATCGTTCATTCACTTAAGCTATATAAAAGCATTTAGGCGTCTGTAATACGTGGTGTCCAATGAAACGCCATCTGGCTGCCGAGCTTCCAACGTTGCAAAATGCTGGCTCTGCAACCTAGGGTTTGATTTGGAGAAAGTCTTTGTCAACCAGAAGTATCACTATAAAATACTCTTCAAAGACCCCTGGAGCGTCCGGACCTTTTTAGATAGTTGATTGGGATGATGATGCAGTCGTCACGGTTGGACTCTGTGATGATATATATTTCCAATTGCAATTAGTACCAAAGGGATATATTAAAATACTCAAGTACGCGTTATGATGCCTGGAGACTCTCCGTTATCCATCCTTATACGATGGCCATATTGACCTTCTAATCCAACTTCATTCCACTAGTCTACTACTACTAGAAGTTATTGCTATACGGGGTATTCCACGTCTTCTGTCTTTAGCGGGACGCCACAATTGAATCTACAAGCCCTATGGGGCTGGTGGTTGTTTCGGGCGCCGTGATTCGTGAATCCTGCTTATTCAGCGGGAAACTATTGCTCCATTACCATAATCGGCTCGTCTCGGAGATACGCGCAGTTCAAATTCAGCCGATCTCTGTTTTTTTCCCCTTGAAATTTCGGTGATGAGTCCGACCACTCTGATAGTGTGCAATAGATGTGTTCTATCTCCGATGTGTAAACTAGTGCTGCTACTGTGCTCTCTAGTTCTGTTGTAGCCACCATCAATATTCCATGGCGAAGGGGTATGCTATCTGGTTGCGTTACGAATCCTCGCTGGAGTGTGATACTGTGCATTACCCTTGAAGACTTTGAATGTCTTCATTGGCCCCTGACGCCACAAACCTATGGTCAAGCTATTGGCTTCTAGAACTGTGGCTAATGTCGGTAGCATTAGCGTAGATCCGTATCATTGCGTAGTTTCTTTGCGCAACTTTCCAGCCTTGCGTTGGGAACAAGCAGCCTGCGCAGCTACGTTTTGGCATTCAGGTACTGCCAGCATTCCTTCCTCTCTTCTTTCAATTTACCTTCCACATGCCCTTCGCTCTCTTTGTCTTTTTTTTGATGTCTTTTTTGACAATAGGTTAAAATGGGATGACACCGGATCTCGTCCGGGCCCTACAGCTCGAGGTATACGTAAGTTCGAAGAAGCTTCGGATCCACATAGTGGGGAAAGCTTCAGCTACGAAATAACGTCGTCTCACGTCTCGCAATACAATAAGCAGTTGCCTAGACTAAGACTTGATCCATTGGCGATGATCGATAGTGGAGTTTGCTTGACGGCGACTTTTTAAGACCGACCACTTCCCCTGTTGCAGCGCCAGGAACAAAGGAACAGCTAATACAACTACAATCACAAACAGAGAGCATCATGTTCGGCCAAGGTCTCTTCAGTTGGTTTGGCACATCAAGAACAGTGAGCTCAGAGGAGAATGTTCAACCCTCATGGGACCCGAAAACTTTGACCATGACTCAACCCCAAAGCCCAACCGCCCCAACAACCGATCATGTTGTCACCTATCAACCTGTACGTTTGCTGCACGAATATAAACCGATATACGGAGTACGATCATGTGTAACTGACGGCCTTTTAATAATAGACACCCACGGAAGATATGCAATTACAGTTGCGCGGTGGAGGTGGGCCTGATGACGAGTGAGCAACCCACTCCTTGAATCTGTTACCTGCCGCAGAAGACTAATGAGACTGCGAGCAGTTGCTGCTGCTGCTGCTTCTGCGGCGATTGCTGTGGCCCCGATGGGCCACCAGGTGGACCAGATGGCCCCGGCGGAGGACCTGGAGGACCTCCTGGTCCGGGAGGCCCCGGTGGTTGGTAAAGCTAATGGTTGTACAGGGTAGAGTCAGCGTGTATATTATTGGCATTATTGATTAGCTCTTTGATCTTCATTTACAGTACATTGTCCCAATGTTTCACTTAGCTCTATTTAATGTCATTCATTCTATTCATTTTCGTGTACATGTCTGAACATGACTAATAAATGTCAGACTGCTAACCAGACTAGCAACATCCAAGCCGGTGGATATCAAGGAAGGAAGCACCTAATATCAACACACCCCGTTTATACAGTGAACTTGGTCTTATTCACAGGACCTGCCTCTAGTGCCGCTTTGCGGACAGCCTCCTCGCCCACCTCTTCGAAGATATCGTAGCCCCAGAAAGCGGGGAAGTTGAAGCGCTTGTGGCGTTCGAGGGAAGAAAGACGGGCGAACGCATCTTCGGGTAACTGCTTCACTTGGAGATTGGCCGCAATACGAGACGGCGTGACGCTCTTGGACAGGACCACAGTGCCACGTTGGACACCCCAGCTAGCCAACAGCGGACCAGGGTCCATGCTAAGCTCTCCGGCAATGCTATGCACCAAAGGATCATCGACCGTACGGGGCTCTCCAGTCTGGTTATTGCCCAGCGGCGAGTAAGCCTCCACAATAATCTTCTTTTCTTGGCAGAAGCGCAGAAGCTCCGGTTGTTGCAGGTAAGGATGAGCTTCGATCTGATTGGCGGCAGGGACAACGGAAACCTGGCTGAGGAGCTCCTCCAAGCGACGAACGTTGAAGTTGGATACCCCAATGGCGCGGACCTTGCCTGTCGAGAGCAATTTCTCCATGGCTTTGTAGGTGGTGATGTAGTCGACATCTGCTAACTCGAACACGCCATCTTCGTTTAGAGGAAACCACTTGTTACCGGATTTGAAAGCACTGTATCCGTATTAGAATTCGAGAAGTTCATTGCAGGCTTCATCATTGGGACGGCAACATCATACCAGGGCCAGTGCATCAGATATAAGTCAAGATAGCTAACACCAAGATCCTTGAGCGTCTTGTCTAAAGCGGCCTCGACATCCTCTGGCGCATGTTTCGTATTCCAGAGCTTTCCGGTAATGAAGATCTCCTTCCGAGGGACCTCAGACTTGCGAATTCCGTTGCCAACTTCCGTCTCATTGCGATAAATAGCAGCACAGTCAATGTGTCGATATCCTTGCTTAAGCGCCACCTCTACGGCATTCTCGACCTCGAGAGGTTTGGCCTGCCATGTGCCAAACCCTACCGCAGGGATTTTGGCTCCGGTGTTGAGCGTGAAGTGTGTAGAAAGCGACATTGTGGGATGGGGGAGTGTTGTAAGGAGAGAAATGGAGAGAAGTCGTAAGTCAATGTACAGAATTGAAAATCATGAGGTTGATAAATACCAAGCACTTAAAGTATTCAACCCCCAAACATCTTTAATCCTTCGGGGTTCCCAACTGGGGAAGTGGAGAATTCCGCCTGGCGACAAGATAAGCGGAAAAAAATAGCGGAAAAAAATAGCGGAAAAGTCACCTACGTCTATGACGATTTACTTCTCCGAACGAGATATTTTCGTCCGCTGCATGATAACCGGATATAGTTGAACTAACTAAAGTGCAGTTCCTCATGATGATAGGAGGATCGAGGAGGTCTTCGGCAGCTGCACGGCTAAAACTCTACCCGGCCTGTTTCGTGCAGCTGCTCTCAGCCAAGCAGAATCTGTCGAAGCTTGATGGCTAAAAGCTTTCACAGCTGCAGCCGATCCTCAACGATGTATCCTTGGCCAGGCTTGTTGAGTAGGTTCGGAGTCTCTCCGTAGTCCCCGAGCCGTCATCCAATGCCATTCGTCCACATTGAGATGGATGTAAGAGAAGATAGTCTGTACCCGACCCTCTCCCGTCTCCTACTACCATTTGAGTCGAGCCTGTCACAAGTCTGGGGTTCATTTGGAGCTTGGGGGCGTGTGGGGGAGCGTATGCGGAGAAAGCCTTCATATATCAACCCTAAGCGGTGACTTTGGACGAACGTACTTCTCTGTCCTTTATACTCTGCTCCCTCTTTTAGCCCCTCACATTCCGTTCAACTACACAGTACCCCCTGTAACCAAGCCACAGACGAGACGGGGGAGGAAGATAAATCCACCATGGCAGAAATAGATTCGAAATCATCTTCTTCCCATGTAGAGACCACTACTAAGCCACTAAACCCTGACGTTATCCAATTTGAGGGACTTTCGGACGAGGAAACTTCGACGTTGGAAAAAAGATGTGAGAACGTTCGATCAGATCTTATTTAACAGTACTGATTAAAACAGTGGTGCGCAAGATCGATCTTCACCTGATTCCGGCTCTGTTCTTGCTGTTTATCTTCAACATTCTTGACCGATCAAACATTGCCAATGCCCGCTTGGGAGGGCTACAAGAAGATTTGGGCCTTTCTGACAACCAGTACCAGACAGCTGTGGCCTTAATGGTAAGATATTGATACATACTCTGTCTTCCTGCCATGACTAACTCGTTTTCACGTGAACAGTTCGTCGGCTATCTTCTCGGCCAAGTTCCAAGCAACATTATCCTCACCCGTGTCAAGCCGTCGCGGTATATCCCAGCCGCCATATTTGTGTGGGGTGGGATCTCCATCTGCATGGCAGCAACAAAGAACTATGCCGGAATCTTATGCGTACGAATCTTTCTAGGCTTTGCTGAATCGCCTTTTTTTCCTGGTGCTTTGTATGTCCATTCCTGTCAGATGGCGGTTTCTATCCCCTGCCCTGCTTACATTTGAGTTCCAGGTTGTTAATGAGTTCATGGTACAAAGCCTCTGAGCTTGCAGTACGTGTTGCCATTGTCTACTGTGGAAACACCGTGGCAAATGGATTTGGAGGCATGCTGGCCGCTGGTATCCTCAGTGGACTGAATGGCAAAGGTGGTCTCGCGGGATGGAGGTAAGCGCAATATGTCATGACAAGACGTGGTTCCATCGGCTCATTATCCTTTGTTTAGGTGGCTCTTCATTATCGAAGGCGCTGGCACTATGGTGGCTGGAATGCTGGCAGTCGTTTTACTCCCTGACTTTCCTCGCTCCGGCCAGCGAAAGTGGTTAACGGAACAGGAGCAGCGTTTTGCTGAGTGGCGCCTGGCTGTCGCAACAAATAATGAGGTCGATGAGAATGGCTCCATCAAGCAAGGATTGAAGGATGCGGTGACTGATCCGAAAGTCTGGGCCTTGGTCCTTATTCAGATTTGCCAGCTAACGTCCCAAACCTGGACATATTTCTTCCCGGTGAGTCCTGCCATCGCTTAGTTGTCACCAAGCCTCTGCTGATTAATGGTGTCTAGAGCATCGTGGAAACGCTCGGCTTCGGGAAGATCGTTACCCTGCTTATCACAGCGCCAGTGTATGTCTTTGGCTTTCTCAGTGCTCTTGGAAACTCCCTCATTGCCAACCGAACGAATTGCCGAGCCATTCTCATAGTATGGCCGCTCTGCATTGATATCGTGGGCAACGTCATGGTCATCAGCTCCCAAACCACAGCGGTCCGGTATATTGGCATGTTCCTTATGTGCATGGGGTCCTACAGCGCCTTCAACGTGGTCCAAGCCTGGATCGCCAGTACTATTCCGCGTACCCGAACTAAGAGAGCCATTGTTTACGCCATGGTCAATTTCTTCGGCAACTCGTCCAATATCTATGGCTCGTATTTCTTCCCAACCAAGGACGCGCCGCAGTATCGGCCGGGAGGCATCATTCTTTGTAGTTTTGCTGCAGGAGGGATTTGTTTTTCAATTCTGTTGGCGGTTTACCTCCACTGGCTGAACACTAACGCGCGAAAGGCGGAGGAGGAAGATGGCCAAATACGCTACAAATACATCTTCTAGACAATCACAAATGGCTAGTCAGGTGCTGCAAAGCGGGGCTTTGCTTCTTCTATAAATATGGATTACTTGTGAAGATTATACAGTGGTTCTCCTAGGCCTTATGGCTCCTTATTGATCAAAGCTAAAAGATCCATCACGTAGAGACCTACTCTGGGAATAGTTAGAGCCTTATTCCTAGGACGAATCCATGGTATATCGCAGTCCAGGATCGAGTTAGAGACGAACCTCCTTCACATAAACCATAGTATGTACATGACGGAAGTCAAGGTTATCCTGGCATGGCTATATCGGTCACTATTAGCTTGAGAGATGTTAAGACTAGAAAGAATACGCACTGATTGGTAGACTATCCAACTGTGACCACAAATCAAGAATCAGGTCATTGTCCAGAGTGAAAGTATCGAATAATGGGAGAGCCTGCGTATCAACCGGAAAGGGTTCATGGTAGCGAGGCTCAGGGTGAGAAGGAGGAATAGCGACTGCCAAGTTTGAATTATCCAGGTTCCTGCCCCTTATCCTGGGCCCGCCTTGATGCCCCGGAGGCACATTCAATGGGACTGGGTCGCACGGTGCTCCTAACCGCTCAAGCTCTCGCCGTAGACTCTGTAGAATAGTCCCGTACTTCCAAGACGGCGCATTCCTAGCCGTCGCGTGCGTCAGATGATACTGCGCGGTCTCCGCCAGGATGTAGAGAGTCGATTCATCAAAGCCAAGGCCATTATTCAGACCACCCTCAGTCGCGACATAGGTTTGGCTCAACGGTAGAATTCGGTTACACTGAACTTGGATCAAGTAGATGTATATAATGGACAAGGCGTTAAAGGCTATATACTGCGAGTACCAAAAGGCTGGGAAAAGCTGGTTGTCTCGGGCAAAGGTGGTGATAAGCTCAACTGTGTCTTTGGCCGCCGTTAGACACACATGGAGGTATTGAACGTAGCTGGCCTCGCGATCCGTCCAGATCTGGCCATAGTTCCGCAGCAACAGCGGCCGAGTGATGAACATCAGGGCATGGTATCGCGCCAATTGCAGCACTGTCAGTTGTCGCTTGAACAAGGGAATGAGGCTGCTGGAATGGATGACGCCGGATAAGAATGGCGGCAATTCTGCCTGCCATTCCGCGACTCGCTCGCACAAAACTCGGATGGTATTAATTTCCTCTTGATCAGTGATACCGGCCACCACGTACGGCTCCTTGGCGGCTTGAGATAGTACGCGGGCGAGTAGGGCATGGAATATAGCTGCGTCCATTACACAGTCTCGGGTTGGCGGCGAGATACGATCCGAGGAGATATCTTCGTCGTTCACACGCGATGGTAATCGCTCGTCTAGATCCTCATCATGCCATAGACGGGGTGTACCCAACATCAAGCTCAGATATTTATCCAACGTATACGAGCACCAGACAACACGGCGTTGGCATTCCTGCTCGATTAGACTCACTTCGGCCGTATCCCTATTCCGCCGTCTGCTGTGAAGGCCGAGTGCCATGATCAGTTGAATGGTAGTTCCTAATGTGAACCACGCCCGATGGGCCCGTGATGAGCTGAGCAGATACAGAACTATTAAGAATCTGGCCTGCACCGACTCTAATCGGGGTGCACCACTTTCCCGTGACAGTAGATGATCTGCCTTCGTGAAGTACAACTCACTGGTCTGCCAGCCGATTTCGTCTGCATCGGTCATACGGCCTTTCGCATCCATTTTAAACATAGTGGCGGTGCTGAACACCATCAGCAGAATGGCTTGACCTACACTCGTCACACCACTGATCTGTTCGCCGTCCGGTCGTCCGCGCTGGTAGAGACGCTGGACCGTTTCCTCCACCGTCTGTTGGTGCAAAACCCGGTGCGTCGGTGATGCAAACTCGAAGTATCGATGAATTAGGGCTTCCGCCGTCTCTACATCTGGCCATTGGAACTCGGTCGCACATGTTTCTTTCACCACGCGATCCCCAAATTGAAAGATGGATGTGGTCCGGCCGTGACTGGGATCATGCGAAGACCCGATCGCATTTGATGGAGGAGTTGGTAATCCCACCGCAGCTCGATCTAAGAAGGAATGCGCAGAGGTTGGCCCCCAGTAGCGATCCGCAACCTCCGTCTGCGGGATCTCGGGCTCATGATCATGATACCTGGTGTCAGTTATGGACGGCGGAGAAATCACGGAGGTGGGCGCGTCGTGGAAGGTAGGCGGCCGTACATTGCCTGGTGAGGTGTACGTAGTTGGGGAGGAGAAAGATAGATGGCTATCTGCTGGGTTGCTGTCTGTCGCTCCTCGGAGAGATGCATGATGTATCGTATGCGAGGACGGAGGTGGGCTCACGGCTACGCCGCGATTATAGGTGGTATTGTATGTACAGACCTCCTTGCGTTTGACGCAAGGTCTACAGGGGAGATTCCCAGTACAGGCTTTCTTCTTTCTCTTACATGCATCGCAAGCGCGAGTAACTTTACGCATCTTCCGCGCCGAGCTGTCGTCGCTGGCCAGCATTTCCGCCTGCATGTCCGGAAGGGCGGAAGGAAAGCGGAAATCACTTGGCCAATATAAAAAGAGGGCAAACGACGGATATAGAGAGAGGGACAGGGAAATAGCGTGCTGGCGTATCGGATAGTGACCGATAGCAGGTCAGATTTGCGAACCCTGCATATCTTAGAACAATCAATTTCCGTTGAGGTTGAAGTTGAACCATTTTTTTGACCTTCCGAAATTAGGCGAGAACTGCCAAGGCGGGTTTGAACCGAGGAAATCATTTAAATCAAGTCATGACGAGGCAAATGATCTGAGAATGATATATCCTGAGTATGATCTTCCCAGAGCGTGGGAGGTTCCTGTAATATCTCCAAGCGACGATTATCCTACATAACTCTTTACCGGTGCTTACATGCTTCTTTCTCTGCTGGGCCATTCGCTAGATAAACCTGTTGTCGCTTGTGTCTGTACGAACAGATTCACGCGCCACGGATCTATTTCATTTTCTACACCATCCTGGCGTCCTTGTCTCTTTCGGCTCTATTCATTCCCCCAGTCAAAGCACATCGATCCAAGTCGCAAAGGTATTACCATAACCTTCCTTCAGAGTCGTTTCGGAAAAGCGTCGGAATGTCGGTTGACGCGGATTTTCGTCGGATTTCTCCACAGTTACCCGGTGACTCGCTCGGATTTCCATGGGAGTACAACAAATCGCAACTAATATTCGCTATAGCATAATGTTCAACGTAGATCATGAGATATGGCTGAGTAAAAAGAAAAAGAAGTTTAACTGGAGCAGATATTAAGTTATAATGAATTGATATCCTACCAACAGGCAGATCGAGTCGAGCGCCGAAACAAGAAAAAGAAAATGGAAACCCATCGACGGAGTCCCTTCAAACGGAACATGATCAGTAGTCGTGATCCACGCTGTTATGCGGTACGCAAAGTCCTGGGAGTAGTCTCTGTCGAGCGCAAAGTAACCGTGAAGTTATAGTGCAATGAGTGCCGAGTCCGGAAGCAGAAGGTATACACTGCCCAGTTCATTGGCGCGTCTATGGTCTGATGGACATTGCGCAGTGCTCCAAGGATAGACCATCTTGTACTGACTGCAGTACATTTGGTCGACTCTGTACATATCCTTCCAAACAAGTGCGAAGCCCTTTACAACGCTGGTATGTGACTTATCTGGAATCGCGCTTGATGGACTTCCAATCCGCTTTCAAGTTTCTATTCCCCGGAGCGGAGCCGGATATGCTGCTGGAATCGATATTGGCCGCAAAGCGCGGATGGGAATCCCATCATTCAGAATTATATTCTTCTTCCCTGCCTCCATCACCGACCTCTACGGAAACCAGCAACAGCTCATGTTCGGTACTCCAATCTGACCCACTTATGAACGCGACGCCAGCCTCCCGAATAGCATGTAAGGATGACATGTCTCCGGCGGGACTGAGCGAGAAAGATCTAGATGCTATCGAGTGGTCCATAGTGCCGAATGACAGGATTCTTCTCGATATACCATAACGACGCTTTTCTGAAGGCGACCGAAAAGCAGACGACCACCTAGACATTTAATTTCCGACCCTACTTGCCAGATTATACCCCCTCATTTTTGCACTGCAGTTGCAGTGTCCGTCGATATGAAGATATGCACAGGACTTGTGATGGTGATGTTATTGGTTATTCGCTTTATCATGGTCGATAGATAAGGGCTACAATGATCCGTGTATATTACAAGTTTGCAGCCAATGTCATATGTGTTCATTTAATTTAAATCGTCGCTGACGAGGTGCGCCTATCAGGTCTCTGCATCTGAACGCATGAATGCTGATCTTTGCTTGACTGTGTTCTGCAGAACTGGAGCTAAGGTCGATGGTGTGTTTTAAGTAAACTAAACAAGTTGCCAAGCACCCACTGAGGATCACCAAATCCGCCACGTTCGCCGGGATTCGGCCAAGGAATTCGGTAGTTTGACAGTTCGGAAGCAATTTGTCCGAAATAATGCATATTCGCTCACTTACGGACGGTGAGGCACGTAGATAGGGCAGGGGATTGATGTATACGACACTGATAGAACGTACAAGTACTTATAAAAGTGGTCCTCACCCATATTCAACAAGTAGAATCGGCGAACCACCGTAATAATTCTCTGTTTCACCATGTACCCTAAATCCCTCCTCTTAGCTACCGGCCTCCTGGGCTCTCATGCCCGAGGTGCTGTGCTCCCTCGCGCAAGCATCGACCATGATGCCGTCGTGGGATTTGACCAGACGGTCCCCAGCGGTACCACGGGTGAGGTCTACCTGGCTTATCAACCGCATCTGTATGTGGTCAATGGATGCGTCCCATTCCCAGCGGTAGATGCCGAGGGTAATACGAAGTATGTTTCTGCGTCACTCCTGCGTTTTTGAGATAGTTACTATGTACGCAATAAATGATATCATTCCTTGCTAATCATGGTCAACAGTGCAGGCCTCGAGCCTACGGGCGATTCCAGTGGAAATTGCTCTAGCAGCACCGGGCAAATCTATGTGAGGGGTGGCACATCCGGGGACTATTATGCCCTCATGTACTCTTGGTACTTCCCCAAAGACGAGCCATCCACTGGCCTCGGCCACCGCCATGATTGGGAAGGTGTTATTGTCTGGTTGTCCGACTCCACATCCACGTCCGCGGACAATATCGTGGCAGTTTGCCCGTCCGCACATGGTGGCTGGGACTGTTCGACAGACGGTTACACACTTGATGGCACTAGCCCCTTGATTCAATACTACAGTGTCTGGCCAGTGAACCATCAATGTGGGCTGACAACCACTGTCGGCGGGACACAGCCCCTGATCGCCTGGGAGAGTCTCCCTACTGCTGCGAGTACGGCGTTGGAAGACACGGACTTTGGAGACGCCAATGTCCCATTCAAGGATGCAAACTTCTCATCCAACCTCGAAAAGGCCACTTTTTGAGACGAGATACGGCTGTGTATGGAAGGAACTCCGTCATGAGTTGCCTAGTAGTTGATTAAGATTGAGATCAAAGGGAATGGCCAAAGGGAATTGTACGGTTTAGCAGGAATGCATGTATCTAATCCCCGAATATGTCAATTACACCTGAACGGGAGCTTTCGCGGCTTTCGTATGCCGGGTTAATAAAACAGCAGCATCCCAACACGAATCATGCCCCAAGGTTGTTAGCTTTATGTGGAGCTTCTCTCGGGAAATGGAATAGCGTCGGATAAACCGAGGCACGCATGGTAATGCACCCAGCTAACAAGTGCCGAACGCTAGGTAGACGACTAGTCGGACCCGTGTCGCAGATCCGGATAATGTTTACGGTATTGGGGATCCACAGTATATATAAGATATACTTATAATTGCGGGGTACCCCAGGTTTTCATGTCTATTACTGTTGGCATTGAACGTGCAAAATGTTGTCCTTCGTGAAAAACGCTGTCTTCCCACTTCTTCTCCTTTCCCAAGCCGGGTATGGAGCGGCGGCTTCACCAGCATATCCAACTGCACCCGAATTGAGCTTCCTCTACACTGCCTATGTGAAGTGTGAAGGCACGCTGATGGAATCGCGTGGTCCTCATGGGATCCGCAAGGCCATTCCCATTGTCGGAGGAAATTTTACCGGTCCTCATCTGTCAGGTAGCGACCCCTCGTTAAGGACACAGGGATCACTGGCTAATACTGCATCAGGGGAAATTCTCGATGTCGGTGCTGACTGGGGATTGACGGACCCCCAAAGCAATGTCTTTTCGGCGGATACACGCTACAACCTACGGACTCATGATGGAGAGAATATCTTCATTCAAACCTCGGGCCCGAAGTCTCCCTCTGGCCAGCTGCATCTCCGCTTGGTTTTCGAGACGGGCAGCGAGAAATATTACTGGTTGAACAACGTCCTGGGTGGGTTTCTTATGTAGTTTGCAGCACGTCTGCTTCGCTAACGGGTTACTTTAGCGATTGGCGTTTTGACCAATGTTGAGAAGACTTCCAACTCGTCATTGCTTCGCATCGATGCATGGAATGTAAGACAGTCTCGTCATGCAATGGTTCTATTGGAATACGGACTCTGACCTTGAACAGTTTGCTTCTGACTGGAATGCCACGACGACGACCCTGGCTTGAGACTGACTAGGAGGGTTGGGTCATGCGGACCTTCAAAGACACAGACTCAGATAGTACTTGAACCTACTACAGATATATGAATGAAAGATGGATTTGCAGCGGGTAGTGTATAAGTTATGACTGTTACACGGGTAGAATCCCTAGTTCAGTTTGATATCATTCTCCCCGACGACGCATAGGTTGACAGTTTACTATGGTCTATCACTGTCCTCCTTAGAACAGGATCAGGCCAAGCCATTAGTAGAATATTCCCACCGATTCCACCATTGCTCCACCATGATATAACTATTTTTATTGGACAAAGCCCCGCACTGGCAGTGGGGACTTGGTCCACTCGAAGGTCTGGAGGATTAATAATCAGGTTACATGATCGTTGAAGTTATAACTAAACATGCTTCTAGATGCATGTACATACAGTGATTTCAAGAAACAGATAGCAAGATGGCTTCCTTCAAACCCCGAAATATCCTGCTCTTCGGCGCCACGGGAAACATCGGCTCATACATTTTGGATGCCATTCTTGCCGCGCGGGATGAGTTTGACCGGGTCGCGATTTTCACCTCACAAACTACCGCAACTTCTAAGAAGGATTTCTTGGATGACTTGAAACGCACCAAGAATGTTGAAGTCCTCGTAGGTGACTTGCAGGATGAAGATACCGTGAGAAAGGCTTATGATGGTATGTCACTGCTCTCACCATCACACCCCTGTTCGTTATGGAACCAACAATTAATAATCAAGGCCATGACGCCTTGGATCTTAAAGAAGCGTCCTCCTTGATTGATTGAGAGTCCCATATTGATGGATACTAGGGATCGATACCGTCATCTCTGCGTTGGGCCGGGGCGCAATCGCGTCCCAGATCCCTCTCATCCGCCTTGCTGACGCCTCGCCTACTGTGAAATGGTTCCTCCCCTCGGAATATGGCACAGATATCAAGTATTCCCCTGCTTCGGCGCAGGAAAAGCCGCATCAGCAGAAATTAAAGGTGCGGGCGTTCTTGGAGAATGAGAGCCCCGCCGAAGGGGTGGTGTCCGATTTAGCGTACACATATGTCGTCACAGGCCCATATTCCGACATGTATGTTCATTTTGTAGGTAATCCGATTGCGGGTGGATGGGACGTGAAGAGCAAAAAGGCGACGCTACTAGGAGAGGACGGAAGCGCGAGCGTGAGTTTGACGACGATGAAAGAGTAAGTCTCTCGGGTTATAGCTAAACAGCCACTGCAATGGAACTAAATGGCTTCGGATATCTAGTGTTGGAACTCTCGTGTTGGCGACGTTACGACACCCCGCCGTGGCTTTCAACCGCGCCCTCAAGGTCAATTCGTTCACGACCACCCCTGCCGATATCCATGCCGAGTTCGTGCGTCAGACAGGTGGTCAACCGTGGAACAATGTTCAGTATACCTCGCTCTCCCACTTGCGTGAGGCAGAGTCGGAGACTTGGAACGCTGGCAAGCCTGAAGCTACGGTACTGACCCTGAGGCGGATCTGGACCGAAGGGGGCACTTTATATGATCAACGAGACAACGCCTTAATCGGCGAGCCGTCAATGCAGACACTGGAGGATGTGGTTGCCCAGGAAATCAAACAATCGTCTTAACTTGTGTAGATAAATGGCGATAGAAGCGAAACAACCTTCCGGACAAATTTGGATTCTACAGATACTTGAGGCTAATGCATGGTATTGTCTCGCATTGAACAGTTATAATACCTGGTTGTATGTAGTCTGGTCTGACGACAGAGTGAAAAATATATATTGGTTGTTGAAACACGTGAGCTTTGTAGGGTCTAGTCTGTCACGAGTACACACGCCGTAGGTAAAAGGAGGAACACTCTGAGTACCCTGGATAGACTCTCACTCTCGCTGTTACTACAATCATATAAATGCAGCTATCGAAGATGACCATGGTCAAGCTATTGTTTTCAGATGATCTTTTGTTGACAATATCACGTGATTATATTGCAAACGTTCTTTTTCTGACGGTCACACCCTCATGTAAGATGGATCAGAGACGATTTAGACAAGACTGCCACGGTGCCCAAGACCCTAAGAAAAGCTGTACTGAAGCCCAATAAACTGGACATTCTCTACCCCTCCTCCCTCGAGTCTCTTACTCATAATTTACCCCGCCATCGGGTCAGCCACTGGACCCACTTGCGTGCGTCATTAGCAAGATTTCCCGCCAACAAATCTCCAGAGATAAACATAACAACCTCCATCCAACTCACTAACGAACTCACCATGGCGCCTCACGAAGGACTAGTACACCCCAAGGAATATGACATCAAGGATAGCAATGTGGAGCTGATCGGATCCGATCTGGACCATCGCGTCAAGTACAATTCCGCGGCCACGGAGCCGGCCTGGAACAACGGGCAGATCGGACAGGAGGCCGGGCTGTGGATCTGGCGGATTGAAAACTTCGAGGTCGTGCCCTGGCCCAAGAGCCGGGCGGGCGAGTTCTACAACGGGGACAGTTACATCGTGCTGCACTCCTACAAAGTCGGCGATGACAAACTGGGCCACGATATCTTTTTCTGGCTGGGCAGCAAAACAACCCAGGACGAGGCGGGCACCGCGGCTTACAAGACGGTTGAGCTGGACGAATTCCTGCACGGAGCGGCAACCCAGCATCGTGAAGTCCAGCAACAGCCATCGGAGGATTTCGTGTCGCTGTTCCGTCGCATTACCATCCGGTCCGGCGGTGTGGCTTCAGGTTTCAACCATGTGGAGGAAGAAGAACCTGAGGAGGTGACAACGTTGCTTCGTGTTTTCAAGCATCCAGGCGCCGGCCGGATCGACTCGATCATCGTGTACGAGGTGGAACCAACCTGGCAGAGCCTCGATGACAAAGATGTCTTTGTCTTAGACAAGGGCGACAAGATCTGGGTGTGGCAGGGAAAGACCTGCAGCCCGATGGAAAAGGCCAAGGCCGCTCAGGTTGTGAACGACATGACGCTGGCGAAACATGTCGATGTGGAAGTGCTATCCCAACTGGAATCGCGGTCGAAGATCTTCGTCGACCTGTTGGGCGGCAAGGAGGTGGACCAACTCTCCTTCCAGGCTCCACGTCCCGTCTCATTCTCCAAGCGATCCCAAGATCAGAGCGGCGCCTCGCGTCCATCCAAATTATTCCGGCTCAGTGACGCCTCCGGATCGCCCTCATTCAATCTGGTCAAGGATGGTGGGCCAGTTCGCCGGTCGGACCTGGACGGAAACGATGTATTCCTCTACGACGTTGGTAGCCGACTGTGGGTCTGGCAAGGATCGGGTGCCAGTGAACGCGAAAAGGCCTTGTGGCTGAAAGTCGCCCAGGCTTATGTTCGTCATCTGCAACAAAACCAAGACGATTCCGACGCATACCTGACCCCGATTTCCAAAGTTGTGGAAGGTTACGAAAGCCCGGCATTCCTGAAATGGATTGAGGTTTAGATAGAAGCGGAGATACATCATGTATAGATGCCCTGGCAACGAGCAGACTAAGGATATATTTCCAATTGATTAACCAAGTCGATAATTTCCCACGCAGATATGTGCGGTCGACAGCATTCAGGAGGGCCTCGGTAGCGAATGTGATGATAAGATTATTTTTGATCAAGAATCACATGAACTCTGTCCCTTCAGCGAACTATCTATGAGTAAAGTTCTCAGTGTAGCCATACGTATTGCCGAAGGGACCGCAGATAGTTGAGAAAAATCTAGAAGACCACAGTCACCAGAAAGCGCTAAGTATCTAGATTCTAGCTAGAGTATCCACCTGAACAACACCTGGTATCCATGCAGAAGTCTGGACTCCTATGTACAGACACGTCTGAGTCTAAAAGCGAGTATCTTCGGAAATTCAGTGAAATTCCTAGCAGCGTATTCACGCGATGGCTCGCGGAAGGTATCATCGAAGTTCACTTCCTCAAGAGCATCAAGGATGAGGCCTGCCCGAAAGAACGGGGCAAACAGATCTTGAAAAGACCTGTGGAATGACAACTATCCGTCTATCATTAGTGCATTGAAGTGCGAATCTTGATGCAGGAAGAGTTATACCGGCGGCTTATGCTCACTATCATTAGAAAATAGGAGTTGCCGGGCCGGGGCAACGTTCTGATACTGGCTCAAAAGTATGGACCGATCTATTACGCGTTGGCCAGTCACTGGGTCCTCATGAACTGTGATCTGGCGCCTTGCGCCACTCGTGAAGAATAGAGGATGAAGCACAGTAGCAACGAAACTGTAAAAGGTAAACATGTCAGAACGAAGAGCAGCTTTCCAAGTGCCAGTACGTGAGTCAAATAAAGGTCGGGCGAACCATCCGTCTTGCTTCAAAAGGGACATTAAGGATACTGCTAATGGTTCAAGATCAGGAATATCCATAATACCCATGTTCATCACAACGACGTCAAATCCGTCTTTCTGCAAAGTGTTAGCCCAGGTATCATCGTTTAGTTCGAGCTCTGACGGAAGGCGTTCCAAGTGTTCAAATAACGACGAACCAGAAGGGTACCCCGGCCAATAAAGTGCGCCCACTGATCTTTGTTGGTCACATCTAGAAGTTCGAACGAAATCGTGCGTTCCTTGTCCAGCCTTCCTTCCTCGTACCAGGTCGCTGTTCGCGCCTTTGCATGCTCCAGCATGGCTCTTGCGCCGTCCGTCGCAACCACAGAGAATCCTTCTTGAGCAAGCCATCGCGCAACCAAGCCATTTCCCGTCGCGAGATCCAAGGCACGATTCCGTTGCTGTTCACTGATCATTCTTTCCAGGGCAGGCAATTCGAGGACTGAAAAGTAATCGTTCCCGTCGTCACCCATGGTAGTATCCCAGGATCTAGCATGGTCCTCCCAGGCTGCCAAAGCCTGACCCTCCATGCCTGTTGGTTCCATAGGGTCGTCTTACTTGGAGCAAGAGAGATAGCTTTATTCTCAAATCCCCTCCCCGGCAACACTTAACGGTCCTGGTAATTTAACAATCATCACAGTGTGAGTCAAGGTCTCGTATTCCATTGCTTGGCTTTTCTTGGCCGGCAGCGGTATATCGCATGTATACGACCATCAATCAGACATATCAACATTTCAGAGCCAGCGGTGACGTCCAAGCTATATCCAGTTATGAAGGTATATGCCCGACAAGCGCCCGTTTGGCACTGTGGCGGGAGAGAATAGGGTCCTGTGGAATAAAGGTACGCCTAATTGTGTACCTGTAGAGAAATACGGGGTGCTGATGACAGGGCCAGGCAGTATTTCATGGACTATGTATGGGGATAGATGCACGCTGATCACTATGCAAGCAATACGACTCATGCGCGTGGTAGTACGATGGATAGGTAAGTAAGGGTGTTCGCTAACATCGCTTCTCGGTCTCCTTTTCGACTCTTTTCTTCTCCTCCACCCCGTTCAGGCGTGGCCCACCAACCACGAACATGCCCAACACTGTGTGCTGAGTTGAATCTGAAGGGACATGGGTTGCTCGGGGTCCGCATACACAAAAGACAATGACAACAGAGGGTCATTGTTGCCGACCGGTGCGACGGATCCCCTGGTCAACCCCAGGACGACAGATAAGATAGATCAGAAACATCATCTTGGACTGGTATCGACAGCTCTTCTCCTGTAAGTGTACATATTGATCGCACCCTCTACCCCGTTCTTCCTCAAGTTGTTTTCTACAGCGGTGGCCATCAGTCTCGTACATTTTGGTATGTCTTACCTTTCCACTATCTGATGTGCACGCTAACGTGTGTAGGCGATGCATACATCTTTTGAATGGATGTGAACCAATATGAAGTCGCCATGACCAGTTCCTTCGTCGCAATAGGCCTTTTCCGGCTTCGTAGAAGGTCCTTGGTGACCAGGCATCAGCTCTGTGTGTGGACCGTGGTGCCTGTATCTTCCTGACGAGCCAGTCATAGCTTCTCCCATCGCCCTTCCTGCCCCCAGAGGAAGGGGATACGGATACCAGGTTGCCTTATTAGTTCGCGCCAGTCACGGCTCTGAGTGCTTTGGGGTTGGCGATACTGCATTGGTGGCTTCGAAGAAGGTTGTGATGGAGCCAGAAGTCTTACGTGGGAAACGAATATTGTCGTTCCACCAAGAAACGTACGTGTGTAACTACCTTAGCACTTACTCACCTACGAGAATTTCAAAGTAAACCACATCAGAACGACAGTAGACCTTCCACGCTTGACGGCAAGAATTCAAATTTTCCGACTGACACTGACATTTCCACGCCAAGTGACACCCACGCCTCTTCCTGGGTACCCGTCCTGTGCACAGCTCACGGCTCACGCGTCTCGATCTAAGTAGTCGTTACGGCCCCTTGCAAAGGGGTCCGTCTGCTCCATCTTAGACGGCTACAGCATGCATTCTGCCTGCTTTCTACAGAATGAGGATTTCCCTCTAAAACGAGTAAATCACAGTCCAAGCTCTACCAGAAAGACAAGCGACACAAATTCCCGCTCGTAATCCGATGAGGGTCATAGAAGTCAAGACTCACTATCATTGCTTGACAGAGGTAGAAGACGAGTCTTAAGACTGAGAATCGGTTACCGATCGTGGATTACATGAAGAGGGTACCCTATGCCAGGGAGACTAATTGATTCCAAGAGCTTATCTTTCTAGAGAAGTCGTCGTAGTTGTCATCATGAACATCAGTGTGCTACGTAGATGCTAGAGTATACACCTGAACCTATATATATCTCAATTCATCCTAGAGAGCATTCGGCATCAGACCCCAGATCCACAGAGTGCCATCAATCACCTCCTTTGCGACGCTGATGTCTCTGGTTCAACTGATCATTCAGAATTCTTTCACAGCATTGCTCTGCGAGAACGGACAATCCGGGACTTTGTCGATTGAGGGATTTGCACAGAGGCCCGCAGCCTTGACTAATGACCACCCCTGTATAGAATAAGGAGATAAACCCTTCACTAAACGAATAGTCCATATATCACTGCAGGATTTGAGGTATGCATATGGCATGTAAAAGTACCCACCATCACCCCATCGAGCCCCCCATGAATTGCGAACAATGAAGACTTCTTCATTGTCATCATCGTCATAACCAACCGCTAAGAGGCCATGACGCCCCTTCCACTTTTTTAACTCAGCAGGCGTTGGCATCTCTGCGAGAGGATCAGCTATTTGAAATCATTGCAGTTGACATAAATTACCAACATACTCAGGGTGTAGCCATAGTCACCACCAATCCTTTTCAATCCATCACTTGGTACCAGCAGGAAAAGAAACGGATATCCCCTGTCAAGGCTATCTTTGAGCTTTTTCCTTTCTTTTCCAGGGAATGAAAAGTATTTGACTGTGGCATGCTGATGAGCACGTTTCTGTGCCCGAGCAGCTGGCTTCTTTGCCGCCTTGGCCCCGGGGACAAAGTATTTCGTCTTCGCATTATACTCAGCAATTTTCATATGACCAGTCTTGTTCTGAACAGACGCCGTGACTATTTTTTTGCAAGCGATTTAATACCTTCTCGGAAAGACATCCCGAGATTTTTGAGGACAGCATCGCGGTCATCAGGATGGGTCATTTGGCGACCATAGTACCAAATAAAAAGCCTTGACGGTGAGAAATGTAAGTTTTGCTTCATCGAGATAAACTCATATGCACCAGCGATAGCGTTGGCAACACAACTCGCTGCTTTGAGTTGGTCGTATACCGGTGGGCAAGAAGGCCTGAGGTCCACACGCCGACGCAGAGTCCGGTCTTCCGCTTCGTAGATATGGTCGCGACTATCCGGGAGGTCAGGGCATGCGCTCTGGAAATGATAGAGACCAGAACTAGTTGATGGTTCCTGGTGATTTTTCTGGGAGGTCGATTAGCTTCATTTCTCCAATCCTGAACAAAAGAGTGATCTCTCCCACCACACTAGATTGATCGTGGTCTTCACCCGATATATCAGGTCGGCGCCTTCTGTTAAGCTGGCGTCTTTTATAAGCCTGACGTGTTTTATTAGGCTGGCGTCTTCCATAACCATGGCGTTTTCTGTTTCGTCCACCGTGAAATCTTCGGCTATGCAAAATCAGATCCCAGATCAAGCTGCGTCAAGTCCCCACGACTCACTCAATACGTCGCAATATTCTAGCACTACCATGTCCAACCCGGCGCACAATGTTCTTGTTTGTGTCGTAAACACGATTGGTGAGTTTCTGGACTGCAGACGGTAGTACTTTGTTGATGCCAATAGCATTAGAAACACCATTTTGGGCACGGCGCGCGATTTCAAGTGCCCCGACTCCTAGTTTGGTATTACACTCGGTGGCATCGGCCAGAGCTTTGAAGAACATTGTGATTGGAAAATTGTCACAACAGGTCAATGGTAAGCCGAAAGCCGGGGGTCAATGTAAGTATTACAAGTCTATTGACTGTCCATTTATACTGTTTCACTGGACCTAATGAACCCATCTCGAATTAGCTTTAGGAGCCCAATAGGGGTCGGGGGGTTGACCACGAGAGGGACACTGCTAGCTTCTATAGGCAGGAATTGGTAAGATCTGCTACGAGAATCCAGTCATTTACGACAGCGGAAAAGACCCTGTGCCATGACGCCATGCACAGAGTCAGCTGGAATTCGCAGTGGGGTGAAACATCTGGACCCACGGTGGTGGTCGATCAGGCAGCCCAATCTATCTCTCATCGTATACCCATTTCTATACGTATAGCTTCACCCGCTTCACATCCGGCAAGCTATCCAGCGGGGATTGAGGGCTAGTTATGGCGAGTTCAAAGGAGTAAGAATTGTCAAGCGGCTGGGGACGAGATGCAGAACTACACTTTCGAACAGACGTGTGAGGGACCACAATATGGGCTGTAACTATACGCCGGCGCAAACTCTCTCAGCGGAACCCGTGCAAGCTCAGCAGGTGTTGCATGCGACCCACGCACTAACTGATGCCATAGGGAGGCAGCTCTACTAGGCCCAATAAAACGAAGATGTTTGCGATCTAGTAGCCTATGTGATAGGTCTGAATATGGGCGAGCAACTGGCAGTTCCACGGTACCAGCAGATTTCCGCACTTCGCAGGGCCATGGCTACTCTGCGTCAGCTGGCTACTCTGCGGTAAGGCTGAGCTGAACGCGGCCTGGGCCGCCAAAGTTAGGATCGGCATTGTGCAGCTTAATCTCGCAACAAGGATATGCACAATTTCTCCACTTAGCCAGCTAACACCCTCAGCCAGCCAAGGACGAGAACTTCAGCTACACAGTCAGGCACGAGGAGGGGCCAGCCTCACGATGATCGATTAGATATTGTAGAAGTAAATTCTGCCAGCCAATGCTTTCGCGGCATGGACTGGTGTAGTGTCTCTTTGACACTATCAGCAATTAGAAATGACCCACCATGTACAGTTATGAGATCATCCCAGTAAGAATAGGTCTCTGTCATGATGTGAGTACTACTTTTTCCGAGCCATAGTATTATTTGTTGGACATATACCTAATGGCAAGGTGACCAATCGCTTATCAGAAGGATTCTGTGAGTGGAGAACGATCCTACATACCGAAGGATTGTATCAAGAGCACATGCATACATACTGCTGCCATATCAGTTAATATTTGTATGTCCGTATACACCAACGTAAGATTTGCAAGATCATTTCCAGTTTCTTGCCATGAATCTATGCTACTGGTTATTTGATCAGCAGTTGGCTTATTCATAGTCATTTTTGGACCAAATTCATGGTTATTACTGGCCCAGCAGTAGGTATGGCATTGTCAAACTTACACCAAGGCATTTATCTATCAAATACCGCTCGAGATAGCTAGAAGAGGTAAGAACCAAGGTAAATCACACATGAATAATAAATAGCTGTATGGCACTGATGCACACCAGCTGAGCCTTTACCACTTCTATGAATCACAGAATCACAAAGAACGAAGATTTTAAGAGCTACTTCCATTTAAATATGCATACTGATTCGAATCCACCCCCTATTCGAGCTGGATATAGAAAATACCTGGAGAATTAAAGGCTAGATCTGAACTCCAGAATCGATCATTCTTAAAAATCATTTAATAGGTGATATCTCTAGCGGGATATGAAAGGTGGGCGTATAGCGAGGGCGGATTAGGAAGCTTTTTTTTTTTTTTTTTTAAGTTATCTAGTCTCCAAATGTTGGCTATGTAGCCATTTGGAAAGCGGCAGGCCTCAGACTTTACACAAGCTAGTAAACCCTACCCAATTTGTCGTTAATTAAATTAGAGACCAGAATTGCATCTGCCATCTCGTGGCCGGATGGACTTAACCCGCCATCCACAGAACATTGGTTCACGAATCACAGTGTTGCCACCAACGATCTGCAGGTTATTTACCTTTGCATTGACTAGATTCTCGGCAGCTTCCACTAGGAGCAGACTAATTATGGTTTTGCGTCGTCTCTTTGATCCTGAAACTCAATATCCCTGCTTTTGGACGATTGAGTACATCGAGCGATGACGTCATCCACCACGGGATGCCACGTACCCCTACCTAGGGCTACGAAAGTAAGTATAACCGTATAAGCCCATTCTTCTTCTGCCCATAGCGTAGAGTTACCTTGCGTTTATACTGCGCCATAGCCAATATTGACACATCCAATGTGTATTATGCTCGCCAGGCCTGAGCCTTCGACATTACATACGTATTTACATCATCTTGACTACCCGTCGATGTCCGTACTTGGAGGCCATTGGCCTACTTAAAACTTGGAATTCACAGCCGCCAAGCTACTATGGCATTCGTAGGTAATGACGAATATGTGACACCCCTGGCATATTGTTTTAAAGCCCCCCAAACGTTCCCAGCGTGGATTGGCGGCTATTGTCTGCTGAACACAGCTATCTTGTGCATTGTGATGTACTATTTGGAAGCGAGAATACCCACTCTTTATTATCCGGTGGGAGAAACAGCTATACCTGAGAGAGATCGATCTGGTTAGTTGATTGAAGCGAGTTAAAATGCTCTCGCGACATCCTGGCATAGCCCGGTTACACGCACGTCTAGCTGCTCCTGGTACCACGAGTTCGAGGTGGAATGTTGTTAGACCGCCGGTGGGCTACGCAACAAATACGGCAAAACGATCTATGGCCGGTCAAGCGCATTTGAAGGAGAAACTGCCAAGTACTGAAAAGAGCCATGAGCGATTTCGGGAGTTCTCACTGGCAGGGAAGGTTTTTGCGGTGACGGGTGGAGCACGAGGGCTGGGGTTGTCGATCGCGGAGGCGTTGGTCGAAGCTGGTGGACGAGGCATGATTTCGCGAATGTCATTTCTTAGGATAATACTGACCTTTTATAGTCTACTGCCTGGACAGACTACCTGAACCAGACGAGGAATTCCGCGCTGCTGAAGCACGCGCAAACCCGGACTTCGGGGGCTCACGACACTACCGTCGCATGGACGTGACGGACGACGCAAACACTGAAGCTGTCATCGCCGATATTGGAGCAGAGAACAACCGCCTCGACGGGCTGATTGCAGCCGCAGGTATAAACCACGTTGCTCGCGCCATCGACCACCTACCCAAGAAGGTTGACGATGTCATCCACATCAACTACACGGGCGTCTTTCGCAGTGCCGTTGCAGCCGCGAAAGTCATGCTAGACCGGAAATGCCACGGCTCGATTCTCCTCGTGGCGAGTATGAGCGGCATCGTCGCGAACAAGGGGATGGCGTCTGCTATCTATAATTCGTCGAAGGCCGCAGTGATCCAATTGACGCGAAGTCTGGCCATGGAGTGGTCTGAAGCCAAAGCAGATGGCACAGGCGGGATCCGCGTAAACTGTCTTTGTCCCGGACATATTGAGACGCCGATGGCGAAAATGGTTATGGATAAGAATCCAGATACGCGCGCTCTTTGGGAGTCTGAAAATATGATGAAGAGGTTAGCGAGGCCGGAGGAGTTTAGGGGGATCACTTTGTTGCTCATGAGTGATGCTTCGAGCTTCATGACTGGCAGCACTGTGGTTGTTGACGGTGGCCATACAGCTTGGTAGATTCTGGAACTGGTTTGAATAGACGTATGCCCATAGTGTACATAGTTGGTGGTGTACCGCGGTATACGTACATTCCGAAATTAATGATTGCCAGTTATATTTCAGCTCCTTAGCGCATGTCAGCCGACTTGTAAAAAGGCGAGAGATAGCACCTTTATTCCTCCCGACACAAGTGGCCACCCGAGAATGGCATATATACAACACCCTCGCTGGTAAAGAGTGGTGTCGAACAGAAGGAGGCAGATGCTATAGCCTAGGTTATGGACGACCTGGTTCCACTGGGCCCTACCACCTGCTAAAAAGACAGGCAGGCTCGAACCCTGACCCTACAGCAATGGTTTCTACCCATACCGGCTACCTCATGATGCAGATTAGTAAGAGATCGCAGTCAGGTGAACTATCAACTATCGAGTCATCAGGCGAGAAGCATTCTTGGCTTGTAGATCTTGGGTCTCAGGTGATGAATCAACAGCCACGTGGATGCCCCACCGAACAGGCCGTATAAACTACTACTACTAATTTATGAAGGAACCCAGCCTACCAAGTAACATGGATCACCACATAAATGTATCATGGCGAGCCCTTTTTCTTCTAGCACCGTAGGTCTTGCCTTGATGGAAACCACCCGTATTGATTCAAGATGTATATGTTGACCGGTCTAGAAGCATCAAGACACGCCCACCGACCCCGGGAAACCCACCATAGTGTCCCCACGTGCCAACCCTGACCCAGACCTAGAGGCCCAAAACTACAGTACCTTTGCCTTTCCATATGACCCTTCCTCACCTGAAGGAGTTCCTCCCCCGCGGAAACAAGGTGGGGGAGGTAGCCTCTCCTTGGTAGTGTTCGGGCTCGTCATTATTGGTATTGTGTTGCTTTTCGCACTTTCGTGAATACCATGTCGATTTCCGGGATCCTGGGATTATTGTGGGGCAAACTGGCTGTCTGATAGTAGATGGTGGTGAAACAGCAATGGGGGTCATTTACAATGCCATGGACGGGGAAAGATTGTTGCTTCGTGTGGTTTTACGTTGAGATAGCCATATGCTTCACATATCCAGATTTCAAGATCAAAGATAACATGGCATAGGATCTTTAATCAATTGTATTGAGAGAATCAGGGCAGCTTGCTAAGTCTGTGTATATGGCTTGTAAAAGTTGATCCTCACAGGAGATCCGGCGCCTTTCCAGGTGGATGTATTTCTTGCCCTTATTCTGTTGGCGTCATGGGGTATGCAAGTCGAACCAATCTGGATCGACGCTTTGCGACTGTATTACCGAAGTCGTGTTGGAGCCTCCCAGTTTCCACGTTAGTTTATCACCAACGATGCCGTGGTTTGAGATACAACCTACAGCTCCCATCTTCAAGTTGATCAGGTGGCCTGAAATATACCCACATCTCCCCGAAGTGTCCATGAGCTCGATCGGCCATTTCGCTTCTGGCAGTAAAGGCTTTTGGGTCAATTTGGAGGAAAATATGAAAGAAAAGTGAAATGCGTCCAACAGTAGCATTAGTATAGCCGTACTTACCTTTCCCCCGTTTATTAGCGTCTCGCTGCCCAATGTTGGCTCTGAGGCTATTCCTTAGAACTCTGAGCATGTTTCAGCAGAATGAGCAATACACAAGTCAAGCATTGGCGCTTATATGAGCCTTCCCAACGCCAGATTTGTCTGGATCAAGGTATGTGTAAATCACCCGATCCACCCTGCTGTCCAGAACATGAGATGCAGTAGCAATGAATTTGGTAACAAAAGCAAGGCCAACACATTGGCATAAATCAGACTATCATTAACATGAAGACCACATAGTTATACGGCCTATCGATACTTACACACTCATTCCTTTCTTCCTCGCAATAGCTTGCATTAATAACTCCTCTTGTTCCTCCAGTGACTGGAGGTACTGTATTCTTTTTTTTTTCGCTTTCTGACCGTCAGAATTTCTTTTTCCAAGCTCTCAATATCCATGTTCTCATATTGAGTAGCTGATCCTTTGTCGCCACTGTCTTCAGGGCTCGATAACGGGCGTGTATCTGCCAGAGCCTGATATTGGACATCGTCATCGCCAGAAGGCTGTCCCTGTAAACTCCCCACAGGCCCCGACCCAAGCTCCCTAATATCTTGTACCGAGCTTCCTGCCTGTCCTTTCAGACGACGACGGTAAAACTGCCAATCCGTCCGGTAAACCAATAGGCTGTCCGCTTAACTCATAGACCGGTCCTAGTGGATTCTCAATGGCACGACCTCCCGATTCATATATGGGATTTCCATCAATTTCCGATGGCATGCCGCCCGCTCTACTATGACACCCTGGCGCTGGACCCACAGAAGGCTGGCACTCTGCAACTTCCGACCCACGCGCAAGAGGTTTGTTCCTCATCCTTCGCCGGTGCAGGAACCATAGCAAGGCAACGATCAGAATCACCACTAAAGGGACCGCGACACCAATTCCAACTTTCGCGCCCGTCGAAAGGCCAGAGGACGTGTCCTGTGCTCCGGACATTTCTGACGCTGTCGCTGTTGTTCCTGGTGTGGCCGGTTGTGTTTCGCTGGTCGTTATTGTTGGTGCCTCCGTATATTTGCTGGTGCGATACGTCTCGGTAGCATCACTTGTAGTCGTTATCGTCGTAGGCTGCGGGTCAGGCCCGGTTGAGGTCTGCGTTACGACGACAGTTATCGGCCCCGTCTCAGTTCCGGTCCTCGTGAATATAGATGTTTCTATGATCTGCCTTCTATGGAGACCAGCACGCATTGCCATATCATCCAGGAGAACTGGCTTTGTGTCTATCTGATCGCAGAAGTCGAGAAACTTGCGCCGGTGTCCCTAGATGCCACTCATCAGTGGAACTGCACCGGGATATGATGTATGATTTATGCCGTACTCACATCCTTGGTCCGGATCGCGGTGGCAGGATTTAACACAGGATTCGAGCTCCGGCTCTGTGCCAATTGATGTAAGCTGCATGCAGATACATGTATAATCTGAGTATACGCAGGTGCGGTCCAAGCATTGAGAATAAACGCAGTTTAGCTAAGGAGGGCAATTTTAGCTGTCGCTTGCTGGAAGGAGAAAAGAAATACACAACGGATTGACCTACTGCGCATGGGGGGGTGGCAGACCGGTCCGTCGCGAACTGTCGTGCTTGCTCATAATCTTGGGTGATGGAGTCATCATAGTGTCTCAGCGGAAGATATAAGAGACTTCTTAAGGAATTGACCAGATGCTGGATAAATCTTCTGCCGTGTTGTAGTTGTTCGCTACCGGTGTTGGAGTCATGAAGTGCCGTTACTTCGTTGTAAAGGGCCAGAAAAGGAACCACAGAATAAGGAAATAAAATTGGACGGCAAACTCTCACACCAGGAGAAGAAGGCCATTCATATCTCCGGGATCCTAAGGGGACAGACCCCTGCAAGCGTGATAGTCCGTCGTCGGACCGTCTAGACGTTAGAAAAGCCTACGGCGAAGTGTCGTGAACTGGAACTGAAGCCCCAAGGCACTGTAAATGCTCCAAGGAGTCGGTCGGTCACTACGTGAACTACAGTAGATGACAATACGTGTGGCTACAGCCCTTGCACAACTCTAAGTTGATGTGCGAGGAAGTTGGAAGACCGAATGAATTCTCGAGCTGTATAAATCCCCAGCCCCGCGCATCGGGCAGAGATCGTCGGTCTACGTAGCGCTCCAGATCTCAAAACTCACCTCCCTTTTGCCGAAAACAATAAAAGATGATTTAAAAAACATACAACAGCATTAGTGTAACGGCGGTATACTATATAGGTGCCCCCAGGGCATTCGGGACTGTTGATCCCGAACTATATGACCTTTTGGTCTTGTGGAATATCGGGCCCTGGCGATATCTCTTAAAATTAATTCGGGATCAACAATCCCGAATACCCTGGGGGCACCTATGTATATAGTATACGGCCGTTACAATTATCCCCCCTATAGGGAAAGGCTAGGTTACAACGGTTAGGTTAGGTTATGCCAGTCTAACCTATATCCTTCAGCTTATTACAACAAAAATAGAGGGAAAAGAGAAAGAGTTTATAATACTAATATTACAGAAGAACTCTTATACTACAGTATGCTTTCTTTATTTGAGGAAATATATATAATATATAATTAGTGGCTGGGATTTGTATAATAGCAAGCATGGATAACCCAACAAACAAGAACAGAGTGTCTTATAGAGAGCCTCGCTTAGCTGTTCCTTGTAGGTTATAAACTTCCTGTTCATCCTCAACACTCTAATCTCATGCCTTCACTACACACTACTAGCACTATTGCAGATATCAATGATGACCAACCTCGCAGCCCCACCCAGAGCAATATTGCCTGCGCCGCCTCGTGGTCCTCATAGGTCTCACACCCCCGTTCTCCACAGCGAGAGAAGGTCAAAGAGGCGGAGCTTAGCTTGTACATCATGTCAACGAACGAGAGTGAAGGTATGGATCATTTTATTGTGCCGATTTGCGCTTTCACGCTATTGCTCACGTTGACAAGTGTAATAGTCCGCCTCCCTGTGAAGCATGCGCTGCGTCGAGGTCCGATTGTTCTTTCGATCCTCTAACTGATAAACGGCGAAGATTAGCACAGAAGGTCGCCCAGAGAGATGCAGAAAACTATCGATATATATCTATGTACCTAATCAATCTCCTGCGGTCTGGGAAGGAAGGGGATTTGAACAACCTAATGAGGGAGACGCAAAAAGACTCAACCCTTGATTCCGCTCTTGCATATTTGCAGTTGAAGTTATCTCAATAAAAGAACTGATTCCTCTTTTTGTTTGGGTCTGCAGGCTCTCTGAGTCTGTTAAATATACTATGGGCTTGGGAAAAAATGATGGAGACTATTTGTATTCTCCTCACGGTGAACTTAAATTACGAAGCTAACTAAGCTATGAGTAAATTTATACTTAATATTCTATTGTTGTTGATCTATAGCTAAGGGGTTATTGGTTATGTCCGGAATTGGCCTGTGTTTATACTTATAGGCCAACTAGAATTGCCAGATAGCCCTCTAGTGTACTCTCTTTGTAGTTCTTATAAGTGTAAAGGTTATGTATGATGAGAGAAATTACTGTTAGAAGGACTGTCTAAATGCAGTGACAGTATACTGATCGACACCTGTGGTTAATATAAGGAAACCCTTGAGTGGGTTAGCTACCGCTGCATCCCTGCATATCCAGCAAACTCTTTAAGCGGCGGCAGCTTTTCCCAACAGATGGAAATAAGTTTAGAAATGGTTCTGTTTGCTACAATGAATAGATTCATGGGAGGTGTTAGTTACTACAGGGATGGTATGGAACGAGTTGCATAATGTTGCACGATCGTACAGTAGCAGCGTCAGCCGCCTTCGCGTGAACGAGACTAGTGACGGAGGTCCTTCCAGTAATTGTCACTTCCAATTAGACGTGTGTACTTCTGTGTATCCTCTGAAGATCTCAACCCACTGACATATTGAACCCTGTGTCCCCATGGAGGCCTATTGGAGTCGCCGATTTGGGTTCTTTCTGGAACATCCTCCTATTCGGCCCAAGGCATCACGGCCAAGGTAAGTATATAAGGATCTGGCCGATTACTTGATTCGCTGGTCTTTTACATATTATTTCACTTTCAACATTCCTAATCCATGGCGGCCCATCCACTATGAGGGCATTCCAGCTTGCGGCCCTCAGTGGCCTCCGCGGATTGATTACGGGTTCTTCCGGTCGCTAGGCATGAAATTCCAGCATCGATCGATGAATAAGGAGCCATGGATGCTCCGTAGCCCGTCAAGGTTTACTATTTAGAACCAGTAAGCCCGGTTGGATCCGACACAGACACGGCCTAGAAAAGCGGATAGGCTCCGCCAGCCACAAAACCTTGCGAGCTCCTCGTGGGGGAAACTGCTTTTTAACACCCCTCTAGCGCACTGGCCGGTATGCAGACCCGTAGATAAAACTTCCTACTGAGGCATCACTTCCAAAGCTTCAGTCGAGCATACTTGCTGCATATCGATGGCAATGAAGGACCCTCGGTGAATATTCGAAAATGTCACATCTTAATTGCAAAGTAAATTAGATTAGACAGTCGCTACATCGACGTCTCTTGACCATCACATTTAGCATGCCGAGACTCCAATCTGGCCCAAACCTCAATAGTTTACTTGAGAGACTCCGATCAGCACTCCTGTTCCCTTACAGGAGGTCTCGCTCAGTAGGGTAGACATTAGAATTTCTGTATGAAAAAAGGGAAAGATCGGCTGTTGATCGACCGATCCTGGCAAGCCTACATCGATAGATCAGCTTGATAGGGGGAAAGTCTCCACTTTCTAATCAGTAGTAAGTAAGTGATAGTTTCTCTCGATTAAGTATAATAGTTATATAGTTAGAGTTGACAGATAACAATTAATAGCGAGTAAGTGATGGCTTCTCTCGATCAAGTACAACAACTACGTGGCCAGGGCTGACAGATTGCGATCAACAGAACGTAAGTGGCACAATAGCAAATCCTGAATACCTAGAGCTAACAATCCACTGGTAATGCGATTGGTTCTTCGGCTCTTTCGTGCTTATTGAAGACACCGGAAACGGGAATCTGATTTTGGTATGTCCCGATCTGTTCCCATCAATGACGGAGCAATTTTCGTTCAGCCTTGATGTAGGTTTTTTCCTAAAGTTGTTAGGTTTCCCTACATTCTTTTGCAAATGCAGAGGCCATTTCACTATTGAAATCTCCGAACTTCACGGATCCGCCAAATAGTAGTTCCTGCGATGTTCTCAGCGTAGAAAATTGTAGCTAAGCTAATAGAAGTAATAATCGTGCTGTATCTGTCCCTACTAAGGTTAGTCCTCTGCGGTGTAAACACGGCCTTCTGTACTATGGCTTGGAGAAGTAGGCGGGTCTTGCTTCATTATTGGGGGAAGAATCTAACTATGTGATTCCACAGAACAGTAAATAAGAGTGCGGAAACCTGAACTCGAAAACCATTACAGTATAACAAGTGTCGGCGGTTGCTCAGTTCTCCTTCAGTCAGATAATGAGAAATTAAATAGGCTAAGACAGATGAGGAAAAGGGAGAAGAAGCAGCGGAGACAGGAAGGAGGTCGGAACATACGAAACAAAACAAAACAAAAACTATACTTATGTACACAGTACATGCCAACGCCTTGAACGTTGGCAAAGGAACCACCCATACATTTTGAACTGTCAAGCACTTCGATCCATTTCTGGAACCGACCGACTCTGACGTCGCTAAGCATTAAGAAATGTACCTTGCCTATCACCTTGGCCTCAGTGGACTCCCTGGAAGCACCAAGCTTTCTGTAGTAAAGCTACAGTACTGTACTGCGAGATGCAGAAGGGAGAAGTTGACACTTTGCCAGTTGAGGTGTTGGTTTGCGCTGTTGTATGTTTGTCTTTTCTTTTTTTGATATCCTGGTTGATACGCTATTCTGAATAACCCTCTGTCCACCCACCTTCACATCAAAATGCATGGATATTGTGGTTGTCTTGGTGGTATGTCGGAAGTTCGACCTACCATAAGACAACGGACCATCTAGGGTCTCATCCTAGACCTTCACATCACCCATCTCTCTTGCACTCCTAGTAAACACGAGCAATAATGAATGGGATAGTAACTATTGGCCTTAGAATAGTCCGTACGTAACGTATCTAACAGAATGGATCTCGCAATCAAAGTTGGCAGATGGAAACCCGCCTCCAGAAAGAGCCATCCAAACGTAGCTGCACTATAATGAACAAGTACCACAGGTGTTATTCTTTGCCTCCCCTGTATAGTAGCACCGAGCCTATTTGTGTTATGGATTTCCCGAAACTCCCTCCAGGATGTCGACACAATGATGCACAGTCATTATACGTGATCATTGAATCCGTGACGCAAATATATGGAAACTTAAGGTCAATAGGGAGAACTTATATCAAGTGTAAGCAATCAGAGCTATCCATCGATTGTCCTTAGATGGGTGGCTACCTGTGGATAGTCTATTACTTCACCGGGTTTGCCTGTCCGAGCAGTTTCCCAAGCGTCGCGCCTATCACTTTGTCATTGCCGGACACCCCAAGGTCTTTCAGTGCGTCACGAAATTTGTCCCCCTTGGCGATTTCTTCTTTTCTCGCCTTTTCATTCGCCGCTTTTTCCTCCTCCGTAAGCGGCCGTACCTCTTGCCCCTGCGCAATTCGCAAAAACTATTCATTCCCCCCCGTTAGCCCTAGCCATATAGCCATCCTCATTAAGTAGTAAGACCTACATCCTTTGCTAGTTCTTCCCACTTTCCACGCCTAGCCAAGACTTCCGATCCATCCGTATTCGCTGGAAGTGCCACCGCTGCGGCCATCAGATAAGCAGAGAGGAAGTAAATGACTCGCATTGTCACTTGATACTGGCTTAAGGAATTGCGTGTTGGAAAATAGATAATACTTGCTTCGCTTCGCTCCGCTGTGCGATAAGTTAATGTCTACCAAAATGTAGCGAAGGGTTATGCCTACTTATATATAATGTTCACTTACTTTTTGATAGATAGCTAAATGTAGATCATCTTCTAGAGATAGTAACTCGGAGGGTTTCCGGAGACGACCAGAATAGGTCAGGGTGGAGCTAGCCCGACGCATTAACAGGTGGCGCATGTGCATCGAGCTGAAATTCATAGGGGGTTTGATACGAGTCTCTAAACTATTGGCATTCGAATCTTGGACGTCCCTCTTTTCTTTCTTCTTTCCCCCGCTCCTTTTTTTTTTTTTTTTTTTTTTTTTTTTTTGGGCTTTCGTGCCAATCATCATACGTTTACACCCTGGCTTCATCCCGTGCACCCTCACCGGTCGATCATGACAGCAGCATTCAGGGCTGAGAGGCGCGTGGAGTCGATCTTCATCTTAATATGGGACCTGGCAACTTGCTTGAGCATATGGAGTATTTCGATGCTTGCTTATAGACATCGGCAAAACCTATTTTTTGGACCCACCAGGACCCATCCAAACCCATTTGATTACGGAGCATGTATCAGTGGTCGGAACCCGCCACTGATATACATAAATAGTCTGAATGAGGATGGTCTTGGCATTTGTGTACAGAGTGATACCAAAAATGGGGTATAAATCGTAGATTTGGGTCCACACCATGGACTTCTGCCGAAGTCTAGCATTCAGACTAGTACCGGGTCTCGATTTGACTTACCCAACAGGAGGAACGATCGGGTCGCCATCAGAACTTCCTCCGTCCATCACGGCTCTGAATGCACCTTCTTATACCTGGGGCGATCCTCCGGGAGAAAGCACCAATGGCAGCACAGACGGAGCCCAATCATTTCGGATTTCGCACATCGTTTGAACCGCCCTCTACCAACAAAAAAAAAAAAAAAAAAAAAAAGAGGATGGAACAATGTAGGGGAAACAGTACTTGAATTACTGTAGCTATCATCTTTGGGCCAGTGAAGAGGATCTAGTAGACCAATTGGACTACTATAAAATTGGATATTGGGGACTGGAGCGGTATTTCTAGGGAATAGATGCAGCACCAGCATAGCTTCCGGCGAAATGTTCGTTACTCCAGAGATTCTCTGTTGGCTGTGGTCTAGCCGTTGCACCCTTGGGATATCACTGCGAGACATCCAGCTATGGATGGCTAGGTATCTTCTTAATTGCAATTGGCAGCTCAGATCCTGCTTGACTTATGAGAAAGGTCCAATGAAATGACTATTCCGTGATCGGGCACTATTCCACTCGTGACAAGGATTCGAGATTGTTCATTCTCCAGACTCCTGCACTCGAATCTTCGTTCAAGTTAGACCGACCGACGAATATTGCCATCAACTCGTATACCCCCGCTGAATGGGCCCCACATGGCATCTCTTGAGAAGAGGAAGTCAATTAGATTCGTCTCCCTATTATCTAATAAAATCAATAGGTCTTAATGAGGGGCATTCTTCGAGTCATGTTTGCCGATTTCAAAAAACTGCGTGGCACGGAATCACGAGGTGAAGCTGGCACTTTTGGTGCGGACTACAAACTGAGGATGATCATCTTGATCTGCAGAACCCAGGACCCAGATTTAAATGTGGCCCACAAATTTCAGCCAGGGATAGATCTATTGGGCTTCGTGCCCCAGAGCAATACTGAAGAGTTCGTAAGCGAAACTCAGAAGGCTAAGTCTACTCCATAATAATATTGTTACTTTCAATAAATCGCCGATCTCAATGAATTGGTATGTATTTGTTACAGAATCCTATTTTATTCAGAGTATATATCTATAGCTATTCAGGATTAACATGATCTACTATTCTATATTCTGCTGAGCTGAACTGAGTTGAATTCTAATTCAATAATTCTTTATTTTTTTTTCGCTTTTTTCTAAATTATTAGCTCTGTATAGCAGTATTGATTGTAATTTATATATCTCCTACTCAAGAGTCTAATTCTTGATCTTAAGCGAACTGCTCTACAGGGTTTAATACAATTGTTCCCCACTCGACTAAAGTATATATAAGCGGGCCGATGGCCTCGAGATCGACAGATCTATAGAACTGTAACCCCAATAGGCTACGGTAGTTATAGTTATGTCTATCATGATTATTAATTTGAGTACTTACCCCCTATCTAGCAGATCATAGGATGAGGACGGCTTGCACCCAAAGGATGATTCTTTATGTGAAATATTTTAGTACAATTCTAGAAAAAACATGTTATAGAATTCTAATTATATTCAATCTCTTTAGTACTGTAATACTGAAGTCTATTGCTCTACGGCGCTCTGTAGGCATCCCGCCGATTAGATCATGGTACGCCAAAAGAGCGTTTCCGGGTTGGGGATTTCGGGTAACCGGAGCCATTCTTCTTTGGAAATTTTTAACCTGGTTGGAAATGTTACAAGAGGCTGTTCTATATCTCGCTTCTCAACATGAACTCGAGTGCCAATATCTAAATTTTGAAAGGAAAAGTATGCCGGACCGACTTTCTGCTCAATGATGGTCCTTTAAATCAAAGTATAACGGAGGTCAACAGTTTGATCATCTCGGTAACATCCTCCAACTCGCCAATATACATGACGTGCCTGTCAGGGCGAATGAGGACAATACATCCCTTGTCTTTACTTATCCCATATCCGCTGTATGCTTCGCTCAAGGTCCATGACCTCGATTGATTATTATCCACGAAGACCTGACCAAAGGGATCGCCATTCTTAAAGAGGGACGGGGGCAAGTCAGCCATCTCGACATCATCCCTGCTCGCGCTATGGACGACCAGAATCTCGAATACATCCTGGGGTGAGATTTCACGATCACCCAGACGTCGGGCAAATGCCTCAGGGAGCTCTAGCACCTGACCGACGTGTTCCAGACGGCGTAGCTGCTCCGGTTGCGATATCATGCCCGCAAAGATGACAATCCGGTACCGACCGTCACTAGGGAATGATTTTCCAAAGTCAACTGATTCTCCATTCGCATGTCTTTCCACCGTCTGCGAGGATAGACGCCTGCCTATAGGCATGCCGGGCGCCAAATGTTGCTTAGAAACAACCCAGCCCCCGTTTTTAGCCACAAGCAAGCCAGCCTCGTACTCGATTGCCGTAGTGCTTGAAAATGGAAGATTGTCCCGAAGCTGCTGATATGTTCCGCGAGCTGAAAAGTTCGCACCGATGGGCGACTCGTCCGACAAGGCTCTATCAAAAGCGATGAGTTGATTCGTCGTTAATCCCCGCTCTTCGTCATACGTCCTCAGAATAGTAAGGGGAGAGATTCCCTTCACAACGTGCGCAAGTTTCCACCCCAGGTTGTATGCTGAACGAAGTTAGAGCAGATCCGCAACGCATAAGAGTAGATTTACCGTCTTGTATACTGAAGTTCATGCCGATCCCTGCTCTGGGAGAATGGACATGCAATGCGTCTCCAACGAGAAACACACGCGAGTGCTTGGAAGATGAGCTTGAGACACGACGCCTGGTCCCAAATACTCCACACCAATCAATCTGAGTCACTTCAATCTCATACGGCGCAAGTATTTCTCTCAGTGATCTGAGGATGGCTTCCGGAGTCGCTTCGGACCTGCTAGGAACTGGGGCTGCAATGCGTAGCAACCCATCCTCCCGTGGCACAAAACCCGCCCCACGCCCGTCCTTCACAATCATCGATTGGATCCGGATATCAGCTGTCCCCTACGTAAGCGTGGTCCACGGATGCTCGTTGGTGGGAGAGATGTCGCTTACGAAAGTTCGACGTCGCAATGCAATCTAAAATCCCCCCAACATCCTCTTCGCGGTCATCTCCGCAAAAGTCGAATCCCAACGCGCTGCGCGTCCAGCTTCGGCTTCCATCGGCCCCGATGACGAACCTGGCATGAATCACTTCTGTCCTTCCTTCTTTACCTGTAACCCCGCGCTTCAAATATGGCTCGTCTGCCGAGTTATAGTTGAAGTCCCCCGGCTGTGGTATAGTATCCGAAGTGGAAGCTGCGGCCAATTCTTTGTCCGTAAGATGACGTACCGTCAACTTGATAGCGTGCGCCTTTGGGTCATGTATGCCCTCCTCGTCAATATTGATAGCTGTGGCCAGCACGCCCCGTTCGACTTCGAGTCCACCGAGAGCTTTCATGCCGTCCAACAAAGCGCGTTCCGTGTTACCTACGTATCGTTAGACGGCGTCCTATGAAGAATTCAAGAGATCGGACCTTGGCTAGTGTGGACGAGATGATATTGACCGAGGTCTGGGGACCATTTCGGAAACCGAGCCACACGCTTCAACGGTACATCCTTGGTACCGGCCTACACTGACAGCGTTAGATGACGTCTAGGCCACGCGAAATGCACCAACCCAAACTGTCATTTCCACCGACGGAGCGGCCTTTTTGTAGAGATCGTCTACAATTCCAAACGAATCCAGGATTTCCAGTGTTCCCGTCTGCATTCCATCGGCATGGCCTCTGAACACTTTTGTGGCGCGGGCATCAATGATGCGAGTCTTCACACCGCACCGCGCCATCCACAAGGCTGCCATGAGTCTGTGGTGAAAGGTATCAGCAACGAATCCCATACATCCATGCCTCTTGGCTTGAAAGGGTATTTCTTACCCTGATGGCCCTGCTCCGATAATGACCACATCGGTGGTGGACTGTAAAGATCCCGTCATGATATTACTACAAAGGGTCGGTAGGGAAAAAGAAATCCTAAGTGTCAAAAGAAGATCAACGTGGTAGACCGAGCGTATAATTGTGAGATGCGAGATGCGTCTCTGGGAATGGCATGGTAGTTGCACGATTATATAGTCGTATTCCTCAACAAACACTCGGATCTTCGGCAAGCATATATCTCCGTCCGGTGATTGAGGGATTAAGCATATTCGAGTGTTGCAGTTCCTTCAGTGTCTCTTTGGATGCTTGTTTCAATCCAAAACCGACTGGAGCGGAGGTCCGGCCATCGTTCGTTGCCCGAAGATAGTAAATACGTGCTAGTTATATAGTTCCCGGCACGGGGTGGGTTAAAAATGCGCTTAGTCAGCGCAATTCTCATCCCGCGGCGAAAGTCTACTTGGGGAAGACTCCACCGCACGGTCTGTAACGACGAGGTCCGTCTAGGGCTTTCGTATCAGCGTTCGGGAATCGGACAACACACTTCCGGGGCAGACGGTGTGCCTTGGTATGTACAAAACAGCAAGATACAGATGCCGTGACTTCTCGGTGCGTCGGCCTCTGTCTCTATTCACGCTTCTCGTCTTGTCTCTTTCAACCTGCTGTCACCTTTGTTTCAACCGATTACCTAGACCCCCGACCGTGGGAATCAATGGGAGGTAAACAGCGGAATTCCCGCAGGCGACAGCAAGGCGCCAAGGCTTGCGATGCCTGCGCTCGAAGAAAGGTAGTCCAAAATATGTCCTCGGCTCCGAGAATTTCATTTGTCTAATGTTGAAACAAATCAAACATTAGATCAAATGTGATAAGGTATCTCCGAAATGCGACTGGTGTACACACCAGGGCACCCCTTGCACGTTCACTAGGAAGTCACGGACGCGGCGAAACGCCCATATCACCAGTAGCCAGGTTTGTATATCTGTATTTGAAACCGCAAGAGGATTGACCTGATTGGTGCCGTACAGCAACAGGCTGCTCAACTGGAAGCGCGGATCTCGTTGGTGGAAAGTATCCTCTGCGATACATTGACGAATGATCTCTCAACGGGGTATGGTGCGAGTCAGGGCCAATTAATGATCGGCGTGGAGCTGCAGTGTTCCCCGTCTGGCCTTCTTGCATCGCCCGGCAAGGGGAGGTTGCCTGGCCTCCAGCACGGATGGCTGGACTCGAAGTCCGCTTCGATCATCCCGGACGCGCAGCAATTTGTACGGTCAGTCCTGGGTCATTCGGCGAATCTGGAGGCTCTCTTCCGACCCTGTACGCCATGGAAATACTATACTCCTGAGTACGGGAGCCTGGAGACACCGAAACCAACGTTTCTGGAACTCCCAGACGTGTGCATTATCAATGACTATGTGGCAGCATACCACAGCTCATCGGTACACTTTATTCTTCCCGTAATCGACCGAGATCTATTCCAGAGCACTGTCAGCCTTGCCTTTTCAACCTCATTCACCTCAGGGGCCTGGAGTGCCAGAGCATGTGTTTGGGCCTTTCTCTGTTTGTCGTCGATATGGAATTTTCCCGTGGCGCATCGGCCGCTGGCCGATGCCACAGTCCTCGCGAGGAAAGTTGAAAGCTACGTACCTCGTATACTTCACGAAGAAACTCTTGACGGGCTTCAAGCTCTTATAATGCTGGTATGTGCTCAATGCTACCAAGTCCTTGTGGAGAATTAGTCCACTGAACTACTTCCCGAATTAGATGGCCTTTCACAGTTTCTCCGGGAACCTTCAGACCGGACTCTATATTGATTCTCTAATAAGCCGACTGCTCTATAAATTTGGTGTACATGTGCATCGTCCGCAAGGGTCGGCTTTGGGGCCATTTCCCCACGCGAAGGTTTCGTCCCAGGTTGATTGTCACCTCCGGAGTTTGTTCTGGACGGCATATGTAATTGACAAAGAATTATCCATTCGAATGGGTCAACCAGCCGCCATCCAGGACGAAGCTTGTGATCTCACAATTCCCCCGGGATATGGTGACCTGCTCAGCAGTCTCCCACTGTTTCGAGGGCAGGGTCAGACGGAGCCAGCTGGATACTTATATCTGACTGACCTACGATTGATACAAATCAAAGCTCGCATATATGATGCAATCTACAGTCAGCCAGCCATAAGCAAGGCTGATGCTGACCTCTTCAAGGTTATACGGGATTTGGACGAAGAGCTTGAGATGTGGAGGCTTTCACTACCTGCACAATACCGACCCTCGCTTTCATCGGCCAATCAGCAAGTGACGAATATAACCCCTCCCTTCATTGTTCATGCCATCAACCTACAGATGGACTATTATCATTGCGTAACCATGATCCATCGAGCATGCGCTCGATCCAAGGTATGGCAGAGTAGTAGTCCCACTGTGCCCCAAGGCATTCTCACTTCCTTCAAACTTGCGGTGGAATCGAGCAGAACATGCCTCAATCTTCTAAAGGCTTTATTGCCGAGATTGCCAGAGGGAACATTCTGGTAGGCCAATCTAGCTTTGGAGCTCAGGAAACAATGCTTACCATTGTTTCAGGTGTTTTGTTTTCCATCCATTGTCCGCTTGTCTAACGATATTTGGGAACATCCTCCTTTTTCCCGTAAACTCGGATACCGCTCAGGATTTTGCCCAGCTCGAGTCTGCAGCGTCCTTAATCAGGGCACTCCCTATGAGCCCCAAGCAAACATACAAGCATGGACTGGTGGAATTTATCACAAAACTCAGTGAACGTGCAAGACAGGCGAGTCGCGAATCAGGTCTCTCTTTTGTTACGACTCATGGCCGAGTATCGGGCTTTTCACCTTAGCAGTAGATCTCAACAATACAGGCGCAATATTCCAAATCTCATGGATCTTGGGTATTTCATTCTACTCATGTCGGAACAATGGCCAACTCCCATCCACTGTTGGTAGTTCGATACAAAGCAAAGACATTCCAAGCAACTACGAGATCTTCATCGCGTCAGGATGGGGCCTATAGAGATTCAACACCCTTTCTGGGCCTGGTCCTGGACGTCGTAGACTCCGATAACTGTACAATCGATTCAGAAGGGAGATCCGTTAGACGGTACATGACTAGTACGGCTAAGTCCGCTTGTGGACACTGGGTTTGGTGTCGATGATAGGCAGAGCAGTGAATGGAGAATACTTCTCGGGATTTGTCGTCTTGGGGGTTACTTGAGTTTAATGCATTTACTGCTGCTTAAGGGCGGACTACTCATCATATATATCAAGAAGGGTTAGCGAAGCCATGCGCTGCCCCGTTGAGTATGGGCTTACATAGAGCGTAGACTATGGGAGGCATTGCACAAAGCGTAGAAATAAATACAGTGAGACTTTATTCACCCTCTAGGGATTTCGTGTGCTGATGCCGTCACATTCGCCTAGGTCTTGCTTCATGTACACAGGAGTCATTTGCTCGCTCGGGTCTCGATTACCAGAGTAATCAAGTGAAAGAAACTTCGCACGCCAGCCTACGCCGAGTGCCACCTCCGACAACGGCTCTATGAGAAACCCAATGTGATTAAGGAGCTCAGACTTCAGTTGCAGTGGCTCCCCATCACAGACTTCGCGCGTCACCCCATGTGGCCAGCCAGGGGGTGTTTACCTGTTTCCGTAACAAGTGCCTCGTGAGTGAGCCAGGCATCGTATGAGGGGCGTAAAATAGAGGGCATTAATACTAGTGAAATCTCCTAGGCTATGTTGCATACCGTATGAGAATGCTTTCCCCTGCCTATGACACGCTGTGATGCTTCAAATCAAGACAATATCTATGTTTAGATCCGAGCACTCTTTGCCACAATCTTCTTCCTCTTTTTTCTATAATGTTAGAGTCAACAGCATTATTTCACTTGTGTCTCCAATAGGCAGTTATATCCATGGAGATGTGTAGCTTTTCCTATTACATTGGCTAAAATGAAATATCCTACAGCGACAAGATATGTATATATATATATACTCTACCTCATCAAATTATTCAGATCGCCCGATTTCCGTCATCCCTACGCCTGATCCTCCGCTCGAGGAGTTAAGAGAACGTCACTTATATTGCCATAGTTTTAGTATTATCGTAGGGAAATACGTTAATATATTAATATATTTACTAGTTAGTATACTGGTATATCTACTGGCTGGCATACAGAGGCCTGACTTCCTAGAATATCACCACACACTCCAATACTTCAGGATAGGACCCCTGCATCCTTGGATAAAGGTCTATATTAAGAATTAGAGAACTGCAGCTATTCAATCTATTCTAGAGTCTTTAGATACGAATCTCATAATGTAAATCTTAAAACACACTATTTTAGAATATATTTTTCAAAGCCTATCTACTATTAGAATATCTTTTCAATATATATTCTACTACTGAATTCTATATCCGTATATAGTATGATTAATGTATCCAGTAGGCTGTACCTTTCTACCTACTAATCTATATAGACTAGTAGATCAATCTTATAAATAGTAGTATAGAGCCTAACAAAGAGGGAGCAGTCTACCAAATTAATACCATGTTTAGACCTCTTTGATTCTCAATATACATGTATATATATTTATAATATAAATCTCAATAAGAGATGCTTAGTATATATACTGAACAACTGTTAGCAACCCAAAAAGAGCCCCTGAATGCGAGCTGTATTCAGGTATAATGCAAATCTCTCTCTCTATTTCTATATTTACATCCCCCTAATTTGTTCCCAGTTCTTAACTTGCCAAGGCATCTTTGCGGTGCCGGGCGCGGTATATGCCAATTCTGATGTCACGTCGCATTTTCTCGGTAGTCCTATAGTTATGCTGAAGATACGGTAACTCAGATACAGAGTCATATTAAAACCCGCTTGATCTACCGAGGAGTACAGTATACTAACAGAACCTTGTCGTTACTATTCAAGAATAAACAAAGTTGACTCGGATGAAGACTATTGTTTGGAAATAGAATAAATGAATTATTAAGATGATCTTCTTCATCCCACCGATAGAATAATATATAGCCAAATAGTCTATCCTACCGTAAGCCTACAGATGCTAACACCTTACTAACAGAGCAACCTCCTGGAGATATTTGAAGCTACAGTGTAATGGTCTAATAATATTAGATACGATTGAACAGGTTGAGTTACTTTCTGAAGGGAATAAGATGAGCCCATGGCAATCTGATAGGAAAAATTAGGTACGATTTGAAACGATAAATCAATCAGCTTGGAGCGTAAATATTCAGTCGAATGTCTCTGTATATGGCTCTAGTATAGTGAAACGAAAGATGCTCTATGTAGCCATTGAAGACGCGCTGCCAGGCCTCTTTAATTGATAGAAAGATATAAATTGTGTACCGCCGAGCCTGTGAAGCACTGTGGAGTTGTTCTGATAACTTAGCATCTTCTAGAGGAAAGCCAGTGTTTACGCCTATTTCCGTCGACACCATGCTTTGTGTATACAGCAGGAATTTAAGAACCACCTCTGGAAAATTCTCCTAAGCGTCATTTGGCTCTTGTCTCGGCGACATCAAGGACTGGTATATAAATCTAGTGCTTGTTAGCTTACCACTCCGATGAAGAAAATGGTCGCTACGTACCTTAGCTATGGAAGGCTAGAAATTATAGTATAGGTACATAGGAAATATGATGTGTCGGGTAAAGGGGTGTGAATGTGATTACCTTAGGATAGAATTCTGGCACTTCATGATAATAGCTTGTATCGGCATTGGTAGAATTCTGAGTATACGTATTGTTAAGCCTGCCACAGATCCGTTGTTAAACTCCGTGTCATAAAGGTGAACTATTCTAAAGCAGTCATTCATTGGAACATTTATACGTGGAACAGATAGCCTTCCCCGGTTGGCGAATCATACCGTCCTCTCTTCTGGCCACAATCGTTCAAACTGACAACCAGATAAACACCAGAGGAAGGGTGGATCTCCTATAGTGGTGCTGGGACATAAACAGGCCTGGAATGTCAAGTAGATTGTAATATCCTGTCAGTTAGAAAGCGCTCTAGCTGCTACGCTCCCTTGGACAACCTTGGGGATTGAAGTCTCTCTTTCTTCGTATGAAAAGACGCAACAAGATAGGCCAAGGGGAAACCTCTCTGACGACTATTACATGTATTCCAATGAATCACAATATGCACACGGTAGGAGACTTCTAAACACTACACGTGGAAAGTGCTATACTAAGTGACGGCGTTCGGCGGTATGCGCCGCTCGGTAGCTACCGGCTGGTGACATAAAATGGTCTGGAAGCTCCAAAGTCTCTTTAGAATTATGCTGCCTAAAGCACAATTCGCTTGTCCTGTTCCTGCCGCTTCGTTGACAATTAAATCACAGCCACGCCGCCAGTTCCGCTTCCCCACACTTGGCACCTTTTCCCCAAGGAGCAGTTGCAGGCAACATTCAGAATTTAGGAGAAACGTAATTGTGATCTAGCTCAATCAGAGGACAGACAATTATGGTAGCCAATTTGTACATTTGGCTTGGCAGCGTCTCCTGCGGGAGATCACCGCCTCCTGGACCCTGAGCCTTTCGCTCTTCTGGAGGCGCAGCCTCGAATTCCATGGACCAGGTCTCTCTACAAGATTAGGAATTTGTAGTCGTTAGCATGACAGCGTCGCAAAGCCCCGGCTTTGGTCCCTGGGCGGCGACTTGGCAGTTCCCCGATGGCATGGGTTGCCTCGGCCTGGAATCATATTTAAGTACGGCAAATACTCATACAGCTTCTCATCTGCGCCCACTGCATGACAATCCTATAAAACACATTCATATGAAAGATACTTCAAACCGATCATTACCCTTCGTTTATCGATCAGCATACGACTACGAGCAACTTCGAGACGAAAAGAAACAATGATGACCAAGCTCTGGATCATGGCTGGCTGTATGGCGGCGGCCTTCTCAACTGCTACATCTGTGAACACCCTTCAAGAACACAACATTCCACTCAGACTAGCCCTCGAAATTGCTCAGGGTGCAGTCCAGGACTGTGCCAACAAACAATACAGTGTATCAGCAGCGGTAGTTGACCGTGCGGGTGTCCTACGCGCCCTGCTTCGGGCTGACAATGCCGCTATTCACACACCCGAGGCGTCTCGCCGAAAGGCCTATACGGCCGCATCGTCGCGCACAGCAACCAGTACTATGGTCAAGAACATCCAAAATCCTGGCGCTGCCCAACTTGTGGCGGTGGAGGATTTCCTTATTCTCGCTGGTGGCGTCCCAATCAGAGTCGGAAACGAGACAATCGGCGCTGTTGGTGTCGGTGGTGCTCCCAGCGGAGATCTCGACGAGTCCTGTGCCATGGCCGCGCTCCAGCAGGTGGCCGAAAAGCTTGTATAAACTGTAACGTCAGGCACGATATTCTATTGGAGAACAGGAAAAGTCCACTCCATGGGCTCTTTTCGGCCAGCATGTACTAGCACTGGTCTGTTGCTTTCGTATTGGGCAATGCCGTAAGGCTGTTTTGGTGATAATGGCCATTGAGAAAATTCGAATGTACAAGAAGCACTTTTTTTGGCCTCCTTCGGTGCGACCTAGAGATACCGATGGAGACTCGATGTCCAATGTGGGTGTTAATATGGACTTTGACTTAATGATTCGGATCATAGAGAAGTTAGCAATTTGTATGTAATCTACTTTCTCATAGTTTCACGTTTCCATTTCGAGAGACATGGTCCAACTATTACGACACTGATCAGATTTAGATATTAGATGTTTCAATCGAATAACTTCTGCTGCTATACGCTTGAAGCATACAAATACAAATTCAAGGTAGATAGTCTATTTTACAGTCGGCGCCGTACAACGCTTCTTACATTGGGATCACTGCTGCTTGCAAATTACATTTAGTATAAAATTGAGTTTAGCTCAGCCTCTTGATGAGTAGGAGGCTGATGCCTAGCCACACTAGCTCTACCAAGTAGTTCGGGATGATTTGCTCCCCTATTGGCGCGACCTTCCTGGATGTATGGTCCACGTCTTGGCATAAATGCCGGCAGATGGAAATAAGCATCCTCGTAGGCGTGGCTCACTCATATCAATCGGAGATAGGCTATTTATTATCGAAGTCGAAGATGCGTCGAGCTCATTGCACTGATACTGTAACTTGAAATGTCTTTACTTAATCTACTTTCGAACCATATAATACTGTACTTCGTTCGGCACCTTATCTATAACCTGAAGCAAAAAGGAAAAGTGTTTCGTAAATTATTACGGTAATATGATAAAGAAGGTCCTGAAGGTCCAAAACAGTCTAGACCTATATGTTATCAGTTGGAATTAAGTAAGTTCAGCTTTTTCTAAGACTAAACACTATTTGGGTACTATCTGAAGATATTAACAGAGCCCAGAGACTCCTAATACTATGTTGCAAAATGGCACAGTGGTCCTCTTAACGCAGAGCACATGGACGCCAACAATGTGGCCTTGATATTTGCGCGCGCTAGTGCGCTGTATCATGCACCTGTAGTTATCAAATTCGACAACAGACCAGCTGGCAACCTCCTGGATGCCGATATCTCGCTACTGGTCTTCACTTTGACCAAAATACTTTAAGTTCACTGGCTGAATTAGTCCGCAATCACATTCATGTTGTTCAGCTCTTTGTGTTCTTTCTTTCTCATATTGCCCCATTGGCTGCCACTAGCTACACATTGTCCCCTTATCTCTTATCGATATGGCCTTGGGGCTTTGCATAACGGGTCAGGGCCACTTCTGTGTCTGACTTTTCACGTTGACGTGGCGACTGGGAGAAATCCATAGCCAGCTAGTATTGCCAAAAGTGGTTCGCCAACAAGGCTTACGGGTTCCGATATTTGAACCAGAGTTTGCCTTCATCTCGCCAGTATTGTACAGACGAGTAGAGAAGAAGATAACCCATGCCTTGGGCCAAGTTGTGCCCGAGAACGATTCTGCACATCAAAAAAATCCGCGGTCCGGATCAGAGGAGCAGGCGCCACCGCCACAAGTTGCCGCGAGTTCCGTCCGACCAGAAGGATCGGTACCGGGTTTCGTCCATGAGCGTATTTTCAACTGCCAAGACCAGGCCAGGAACGGACAACGGCTGCCAATAGCATTCCAGCTCTAGGTGGAGGTCAAGTCGAGCGGACGTCCTTCACACCTGTCATAGCTGCTCATAAAGGACCACTGGGCGATGCGAACTATACACCTGCTTGGTTCTCCAATGGCGCTCAGAAGCCGGATTTGGTCGGCTACGTGTCATGCTCCCTAGCATGTGTGGTTCAGAGGAAAGACTCATAAGGGCTTAGGGCAAGGGGTTACATCGTTGAAGGGTTGGCTGTCGCATTGCGGGAGAGATAAGAATTAATGTTGACAAACTATAATGGGGGGGGGTCATCCAACAAGCCATATGAACTTGGCATGGGATCCTCTGGCTAGTAACCTAATGAGGATGGAATGGATGCAGAACATACCTCCTCATAGGTCGATAGTCCTTCTAGAACCGTCTTAAAAAGTCTATTTGAAGCTAGAAATCCATCCACCCAATCCTCGCCTCCTTTCCGTACTCAATTTCTGATTAGCGCGAGGTTTAATGGCATGTTGGAAACCTTAAAATGTCACACCATCCAATTTGTCTTGATTGTAGAAACATATTGGAAGACATAGAACCGATAGTAGGCCATACTCCGTAGTGTAATTCCACTTCGACAGTGGAGTACGTAGGGACACAACGTGTCTCCCCGCAAGAAGTTACAGAACTGGTATGAAGACATGGAGAACCACCTTTTGAAAGGCCTCATGAGCCAATGGGAGCGGCGGGGTGTGGAACGGTGGTGGGTTCTGGGGCCTATTCTATAGACCCACATATCATCAGTGTCTTCCGTTGAATTGCTCAGGGCCATTGCAATTAGGTAACGAGAACTGCAAAATGCGGGAATAATCATACTACTCCACACTGGCGATTAGGTATTGCGGTTTCAGTCGACTGTGCCCCAAATACCCCAGGATCCACCGTATGATGGGACCGGTACCCCCGTCTCACCCGCCTTTTTGTTTCCTACATCTTTGCACGCTTTCCGGCCCTTGGTCACCTTTTCACCTATCTCATATATTGGTTTTATGTACAGAAGTCTCTTACAGCGCCCTCCCTTGATCCTATTGCCTTGCCGATAACCCACTTGGACCAGTCGCCATGGATGTTTTACCAGCGTATCCCAATACTCACGGGGTGGACAAGAAAAAGGAGGAATATGATGTAGATGCTGAAAAGAGGGATATCATGGCTGGTCAAGTTCAGGATGCATTCGGAAGTGAAGAGGACGCGGAGATCAAGTACAAGACCTTGACTTGGTGGTATGTATCCCGTCTCCCTACAAGACTGATCCCAAGCTAAGAAGTAACTAGGCAATGTGGCTTGCGTAAGTCTCTTCGTCATGCACCCAAGGGTATCGCTAATTGCTAGGTAGTTATGATTTGTGAATCTGTTTCCCTGGGTGTGTTGTCTTTGCCAGCAGCCGTCGCGACATTGGGTCTCGTCCCGTAGGTTTTACAAGGAAGGGATATTCGCATCCGGTGACTGACAGTGAACTAGGGGTGTTATCTTGATTGTGGGCCTCGGACTTCTCGCTTTGTACACAGGATACAATATTGGATTGTTTCGCCAGCGTTATCCTCACATACAGAGTCTGGCAGATGCTGGAGAAATTCTGCTCGGCCGCTTTGGGCGTGAGCTCTTCGGTCTAGGTCAATTTCTGTTTTGTATCTTTGTCATGGGAAGTCATATTTTGACCTTCCGTGTCATGATGAATACCATCACCGAGCACGGCACCTGTTCAATTGTCTTTAGTGTGGTAGGTATGGTTATTTCGATGGTGTTATCAATCCCGCGCACGATGAAAGGAATGACGTGGGTTTCATTTGCTTCGTTCCTCAGTATCTTTGGTGCGGTCATGGTTACCATGATCTCTGTGGGTGTACAGGACCACCCCGATCGGATTATTCATGCTACGGTAGAGACGAATCTCTACACTGGTTTCCAGGCAGTGTCTAACATTGTCTTCGCCTACTGTGCTCATGTTGCCTTCTTTGGCCTCATTGCTGAAATGGAGAATCCCAAGGATTTCAACAAGTCCTTACTCATGTTGCAGTCTTTCGAGATCTGCTTGTATCTCACAGCCGCTGTTGTCATTTACTACTACGTTGGCACTGACGTTCACTCTCCTGCCTTGACTTCCGCCGGACCTGTGATGAAAAAGGTTGCATATGGCCTTGCCATCCCAACGGTACGAACTGATCAATCTGACACACGGAATATTGCTAATAAGAACCAGATTGTAGGCGCAGGTGTTGTGAATGGCCACATTGGTCTGAAGTATATCTATTTCCGGGCCTGTCGCAAGTCAGATCTACTGCACAGTCGCAGCTGGAAGTCCGTGAGTATCTGGCTCGCACTAGGCTTGACCTGTTGGGTTGTCGCGTGGATCATCTCAGAGGGTATTCCCGTTTTCAGCAATCTAAACAGTCTGATTGTATGTCACCCCTTCCATAAAACTCTTTAACAACATCGCTAACGGTTCTCCAGAGTGCCCTCTTCGCCAGTTGGTTCAGTTATGGGTTGAGTGGAATCTATTGGCTGCATCTGAACTACGGCGAATGGTTCTCCAGCCCAAAGAAAATATTGTTGACGATACTCAACATTGGAATTGCACTGATTGGTCTTATCCTATGTGCATTGGGCTTATATGCTTCTGGGACGGCCATTCATAATGATGCCAGCAGTACGGTTTTTACCTGTGCCAACACTGACACCTAGTGGCTTGGTCAAAACTTTCCAGTGGCCTGAGCATGAAACTGGATTTTGTATTTTAGCCAGTGGGGTACATTGCACAGGGCATCAGTGAGAAGTGAGGTGGCAGTCTTAGCGTATGTGAGACAGCGCCAATTTTTTTTTTTTTTTGTCTGAAGCAAGACTTTATTATGTAAATAGTATATTCCCACCACAACATGATCTGACCATGTACATAAGCCGTGATTCACGCCTTGTCGGTTCTGCTAGCGAACAATAACTAGACACCCCCATTCCGTCGATATGTGATACCCACCTTGGCATAGACGTAGACGTAATAATCGTAGTTAAAACGCTGTACGTTAAGTTCATAAGAATAGACCAGAGCTTCAGGCAGAAACTAGACACAGAGATAGTGTTGCAGGCTGAGCCTGTTGGCCGCGTCATACGACCACCCGTGATTGGGGATAAGTTTGACGCCTAGCCCTTGTTCAGCCGGCTTTGGTGTGGGGGAGGTTTGTACAGACAGGCGAAAGGGGGTCCTTCTGTAGGCTGGTCCAGCTCTCTGCTTGGCGGGATCTGGCGTGGCTCTTCTAGAGACTAGTACGACCCAACCTCCAATACATTCTTAGTGCCATGGTGTATAAAGAAGCTCCTCCCATTGTACATTAGATTAGTGGACCCAGGGCAGGTAGTTGTGGTTAACCATTGGATATCTCTGCTCTTTTTATAAGTCTACTAACCTATACATTATTACATACTAGCTGGGGTATAAGCTAGATATATAAATGACTTATCATCAACTATACCCTTTACTTTCCTACCACAATCTTAGAACGTAGGTAGTACTAGTGGAGTAGTTCTAATCGGAGTTTAAAGTGACCAATTCTCGTCCCATCTCTCGTAAAATTCGTGACCTTGCGTTGCCCATCTCGTGTTCTAATATGGCATGGTACGCCTAATCTGACGTATATATATACATTAAGCAGACTAAAATAGCAAAGACTCTAGGAACTAGTCATAATCTGTATAAAGAAAAGGCTTCCTAGCGGTTCCTGGAGACCCAAACCAAAGACTCCGTGTCCGTCTCCGTCTCCTGGCGTCGGACTGTAGTCTCAGTCGTTTTTAGAATTGATAGTTCCATCGGCAGCTTCCTTGTCTTAGGCGTACATGAGGAATTGGGTGTGACATTCTGATAGGTCTCTTCCTGCCCCGTCCGGGAGGTGCCGAAACAGAAGTGGGTGACTTTACGGTAGAGCCGGCGGGCGGAAGGTAGGTTGATGCAGACTATGCCGCTAAAGCATTCAATTATGGACCAGTAAGAGGTGGCAACAGTGTCGTCTGGGACATGGAGGGTTAGTTGAGATGAATCTTGTTGCCAGGGATATAGGGAGGTACATGTGGCATTTGTGGTTGTTGCGTAGGTGATCACAACCCTAAGTCGGAGTATACTGACGACTGTTACACTACATAGGTTAGAGATGAGTTTGTCCCCGGGAGGTCAAGGGGATATCTACAAGAATCCTAGCCCAAACATGGACAGGAGCATAATCTTCTTCGACAAGCTTACAGAAAGCGCCGCTATCTTGTGCAGCGGAAGCCCGATCACTGCCAGATCGAGCGTAATATTGGTTGCCGCATTTGCGATGCCGAATGCATTGAAATTGAGACATGATCCTTCTGCTTCCCCGTGCCATTTCGTCCAGATATATGAAACTGGCAGACAGTTAAACGCGGTTCCGAAGGCATAGGCCAGGAGGTACAGGGCGTTCATGGCTATTAGCACCCAGATGACTCGTCGAATGCCTGTACTTGGGAAGATCCGTAAATAAAGACATAGGAAGGCCATTTTGGTTGCGGCGAGGGCGGGGATGTAGAGCAGTTGTAGGAGCCAAGTGAACTTCACAATGCGCGTAATATTATCAAAGGGAAGGGTCCAGATGCCTTTCCCATAGCCATCCTTCGCCACTGATGAGATTAGCATGGGGTCAAGCTTGAGAAGAAGCCCAACATACTTGGGTATTCGAGGGCTCCCATTGGAACTGCGAAGATCTACCATTGCATCAGCTTTCATTTCTCACGTCTGTTTCCGATACATACCAAGGCTAATATTGCAAAAATATCCTCTGGCCCAAAGTGATCACGCGATTCAGAGCACCGCATGACGGTAAATGTTATCGCGAGACTCATAAAAACACTTGTGACGATTGTCGTGATGTGGGAGATATCTCGAGGCTCGATCCCGCACATTGTGTTCGATGCATTCTGCGAGACTATGCAAGTCAGCGATGCAGGTGAGCTCTACTAGAGACACATACTTAATGCTTCTTTAACCGAGCACGTCATGACAATGCAGACACTGATATTTTGCTGCAGCGCTGTATCGGTGCATATACACTGGGTATCAATCGGGGAGCAAGACGACCCCCCGAGCCCGGTCTCCATGCATGTTGCCTGGAAAATATTAGCCCACACCACCGCGCTTGGGTAAATTCAGCCTACTGCGCATGGAGGCATTTGCTGACAAGCAACTCCGTTTACGAGCAGAGCAACAGCCCAGAGGCCAAAAAGGCTAGCCCTTCGCATGGTAAATAAAAAGCATGACACAGTTTGGCGCTGGGAAGACTTGGTGGACATCAACCCTTAAAATGTTTCAGCGATGTGCTTATCCAAATCTCGCTTCTCAACTATCCCCTTGGCACAATTCGCGCTGCTCTTGTTAGTCAATGCAACTAATCACTGCACTCGAATAAAAGATCGCGAACCGGCCAGGATCACTCTTTAGTGTGGCACTAAACCTGTTCATCCCGGGCCGTTGCGAGACGGTGGTTTGCGGTTGATTTGAATCGCACTAGTATTGCAATCAAAGCGAACTGATTCGTCCTCTCCCCCACTCCTGGATTTGGATAGTGGAGCGGGACCCCGGACATGACTCGTGCTAGATACCCATGGAAGTGTGCCGTACTTGATCCATATATTAAGGGAGCTGCTACCGGCCCCACGCCTTGAGGTTATCTTCAGGTAGAACTAGTAGAGTGTGGGTGGGTCTGCCTATATTAAGGGGGCTGTGCGCCCGCAGGGGTCTTTCTCTGATCGCTACTCACCTGTGCAATTGAATCAGCCCAATAATGGACTGGTTGAGACTTCCAGATAGATCCTTGCTGGGTCAGGGTGCCCTCGTCGGAATTGTCACGTACTGGGCTGTTTGGATCGTCTACACACGATGGTTTCACCCTCTCTCCAAGTTTCCCGGACCATTCTGGGCGTCTATCACGAGAGTCTGGACGCTTCTTCATGTGCTTCCTGGGGATGCTGAGAAGAGGCAGATGACGCTACATGCCAAATATGGTTTGTTTCCTCGGTGAGATATGATTGAACCACACTTATGAAATATAGGATCCGTAGTTCGCATCGCCCCAAACGAGCTGATCACCAGTGACCCGGAGGCAATCCAAACGCTTTACGGAACCAAATCATTTACAGCCAAGGTATGGCCCTCGCTCAGAGCACAATTACACTGACTGACGGACTAGACCGACTTCTATTTGGCTTTCAGACCACCATGGGGTACGCCAGAGTCCTGTCTGTCTAGAACAACGACTGATAAGAGCAGCACGATTCCCGGACCACTTCTCGTCTGAAGGCGGGAAGCAACACGGGGAGCGCCGCCGCATCGTTAGCCATGTTTACACAATGACAAGCATCCTCCAATCGGAAAAGTACATTGAGAAGTGCATTGACGTCTGGCTCGAGAAACTAGGCGAGATGGCTGACTGCAAGAAGTCTTTCGACCTGTGGATATGGACTCGAATGTAGCTATTCCTACCTTCGCATAGTTCAATTGCTGATATATGTATAGGTACGCATATGACGTGATCGGCGAGTTGTACTTCAGTAAAATGTTCGGCTTCCTGCAAGCCGGCGACGACCACCTAGGCTACATCAACGCAACGGAGGATTTGGTCCCTATCCAGTTTCTGGCTGCCAATATGCCCACCTACGTCCGGGGCTTGTTCATGCTGACCGGGATCTTGTTCCCAAAAGTCCGACGGGCTTTAGGTGCCCTAGAAAATCTGACTGAGGCGACAAACGCAATGCTGACCGACCGCCTCGCTACTCTACAAACGGACTCCCAGTCTAAGCCTCAGCGACATGACATCCTAGGGAACCTGCTCGAGATCTCTCATAAAAGAGGCAAGGAACTTGATTTCGTTCTTGATGATATAAAGATGGAGTCCTTTGGCGCATTGTAGGTTCCTTCCGCTCATGAGTGTTTGTATGGTAACAGAGGCATGCGCAGCTTTGCCGGAAGCGAAACAACAGCTCTCACGCTCTCTGGCATCCTCTATTATATTTTGCGTAACCCCCGCGTATACGCAAAGCTTACCGCTGAAATTGACGCCGCCGTGCAATGTAACCAACTTAGCATCCCGCATATTTCCTACAACGAGGCTGTTAAACTTCCCTACCTATCTGCTTGCATCAGGGAAGGAATCCGCATGCACCCAATCACTGGCGTCTCGTTCCCCCGTCACGCACCCCCAGCCGGGTGCATGATTGGCGGCCATTACATTCCCGGTAATGCGCGGATAGGCGTGAACCCCGGCGTTGTGCATTTCAACAAGACAGTTTTTGGCAAAGACGCAGATCAGTTTCGACCCGAGAGGTGGATTGACGGTGATGTTAGTAGAATGGATCGGTATATTATGCAGTTTGGGATGGGGGCTAGGACTTGTCTTGGCAAGAATGTGAGTTTCGTTTCATTTATGAGGACGATCTCCGTCGATGTTCTAACTGATGAATCGATATTTAGATATCAATGTGTGAAATTTACAAGGCCATCCCGGAGCTTTTAAAGTCTTACGCGTTTGAACTTGGGAGTGATGAGGAGATGCAGACGACATCGTATTGGTTGTATAAGCCGGTGGCGATTGATGTTAATGTTCGACGTCGTTGATGGCCTTTGCCTGCCTTTGCTAGAATGTATATTATATATTATCCAGATAAAGACTCTCTGAGGGGTACCTTGGCGCACTCAGGTGCTCAAGTAGTACTGGATTACTCACCTGGACGGATGATGAATAGACCGACATCAACCCCGAGAGCTCGACGATGCGCACAGAGCAAAGCGGACATAACCCACAGGTTCAGGTAGCCAATCAGACGCGGGATTGCATAGTCAGTCTGTGTGATACTGCTCTTATTCGCAGTGTCAGCCGACTAGTTACGACTCTGCCTTGAGTCAGCATTAGCTATATATTTGTCTCTTGACCGTGGCCTAGTGCTTCGCTGGTTCATCTCGAATTCCTTGGTAAACTCTTCCGTTATACTTACTGTGGCTATGATGTATTTGGGGATTCTATACGGGTGTGAGTCGTTCAATGGCAGTTTCAGTTGATATTGACGTCAGGATGGCCATCAGCCCGGGCTGAGGTGACCGAGCGTGTGGGCTGTGGTCACCGTGGTCACTCACATTCTGGGATCCGATGCCTTCGATGTCCATCTCCAATATGCTTACGCAACTTTGTGTTTGAGGTTGTAGTGAACACGTAGTCTCAGTGTGACTTGAGATTACTGGCAGACTCTTCACATGCGAGTATACAACTTCACAGCGGTTATCGAATTGAGCCCTACTATATCTTCACTTTTGCCGGGCTGTCAAAAATGAATTTAGGTCGTCCTCTTGCGATGCCTAGCGCATGGTCGATAATTTATGCTCTTTGAGAAATCCACTGGACTCTTTCCTATATGTAAGGGTGGTGGAAAGCAATTTTACAGGCGCTGCAGGTCTGGTCTATCTACAAGCTTTCCTTTGGTGTAATCTTCTAATCGTGATCTTCGTGCACACCTTGCAACGCAGATCATAACTCCAACCCCTTTAGCCGTGGATTGGTTTCCGTGTTTTGGTTCATTATTACACAATGAAGCTGCCTATCCCGCATGAAAACTTTCTATGGCGGTATATACTGACTGTTGTTTACAGGTTTCTTCTGGTATTCTATTGAAAAGCCGCTAGAGCTTGGTCGTCCCATCTTTTTCTCGTCAGTTCCGCTGCAGAGTAAAACGCTGTAGAGAGCTTAGGAGTAGAGCTTACGCTAGGAACTGGCCAGACAATGAGTTCGGAGCATCAATCACCAATCTGGCCAGAACATGACCCGGCTGTTCGGGTTTGAGCAATCCCCCATCTTTGTGGACCGTCGTGAATAGGGCATGAAATTGAGGGTCCAGAGTGGTCGCGTGGTCTTCGCGGATCTCGCGCTGCATTTCGGTGTCGACCAATCCCGGCTGAACCGACACAGATGTCACGTCAGGCTCTTCCTCTGAAAGGCTCAGGGACAGATGGTTCATGGCCGCCTTGCTCGCCCCATACAGACCCCATCCCTTAAATGCCGAGACAGCAGCCGCAGATGAAGTGAAGACAATCCTGCCCTTGGATTCGCGAAGCGCAGGAAGTCCAGCTTTAACCTGGAGCAATATCAGCGTTAATAACTATGGACCACATGCCTTCTTCCCAATACCGCTACCCCCTTCCCTGGCATGAATAGAATCTATGTAGTCCACTTACAAAAGCCACTAAGCTGATGAAGTTTATATCAAATCCCTGCTTCCATTGCTCCGGATCAGCCTCGGCGATCTTGCCCACCTGGCCCAGCACGCCGTGGTTCAAAACCAATCCATCCAGACGCCCGAACGATTTCAAGGCTAGCTCGACAGCCTTCGGAGCGAGAGATAAATCCGCGAGATCGCCATTAAGGATCTCAACTTGCTTGGCGTACTGGTCTTTCAGCTTCTGGAGGGGCTCGATGCTGCGGGCGATGACCACCACGTTGTGTGATTGAGGCGCCGTGAGAAGAAACTTTGAGATTGCGAGACCAATACCTATAACATGGGGAAGACGAGTGAGCTTTTCAGGGCCTAGACTGTGATCATCACATAAGCGATGGATGGCATTGATTTTCTACCTCTCGAGGCACCGGTGACGATGAAAGTCTTGGGTGACATATTAACTGGAACGGGGTGTGACCTCAGAGGATAAAAAGTAGTATTGGGAGTGTGTTGGGAGGATTCGAGGTTGATTCACACGAAGGAAGAAGCCGTATATTATTCCGGGAGAGGAAGGAGAAAAAATTCGCCATCATTGTACCCCTCATGACCCGGCACTTTATTACAGTACAATTAGAGGGGTAAGTGGAAAGAAAATACGCCGTTAGAACAAACTAGTAATGAACTATGTGGATCTTCCGGCACGAACGTTTCCAGGGACCTCCGTATTGAACAGCACGTTCTTTCGAGGTCCTGCCAGCTCCATGCCTTTCCTAATGAGGATGGTGGTTGGTCCCTAGTGCTGCCGCTTACCCTGTATTCTTTAGTGCTTACTGTGGACCATGCAAAATTGCTGTAGTAAGCCGGAGTTATATTGTTGAAGACGAGATCGAAACATACCTGAGACGGTACGCCGGAGGGTCTGTCTGTCGAGAATCCGGCCCACCGTGGGTCCGCTGCCGGCTGTTGGTTCGGCCATCGGTAGATTTGGGGCCAAAGGATGCAAGCGATGCGCCACGCCAAAGGCTATTATCTTGCGTTGAGGCTGATTTATACCGAAAGAATGAACGAAGTCCGTCCGAGATTGGGACCTCAATTTCCATCCAAGAGATCAGATTATAATATCAGCACTCTACCTACGAAAGTACTTCGAATCATTCACTTCTTTCCCCAAGCCAACTCTCTTGTTCCAGCTCAATCACACGTTTTCACAATGCGTTTGCCAGTGGGCACCGCCGTGGCTGCGTGGGCAGTTACGTCGGCCTGTCAGAGCCTGCCTGTCACTCAGAACATTTAGTCTCGGGGTGTCGACTACAAGGCGCTCAGTGAGAGGCTTTCCACCTTCGCTCAATTTTAGTACCCTGGCTCGGATGAGTTTGAGGAGGCTTCCACACGGTGGTCCAGTTTAGAGTCACCCACCGTGAGTATCGTCGTCGTTCCCGGCACCGGGAATGGTCTCGTAGAGACGGTAAGCTTTTTGTTTTCTATACATGGTTGATCAATCTCGTCCTGTGTCTTTCTATTTCATATTGACCCTTCGTATGCGATATTTTGCCCGCGCACGACCAACGCATCTTGGTTCCACCAATACATCCGCGTGACACAGGAACAGTCCGCTAATGTCACTGTATAGGTGAAATTCGCGCAGAGGCAGGAATTGCCTTTCCTGGCTTCCAATGGCGCCCATGGAGCAGTCACCACTCTAGGCAAGATGGCCAGTGGTATTGAGATCTACTTCGACCGGCCCAGCGGGGTCCACATCGCCCAGGATGGCAACACCGTTACGATTGCTGGTGGGACCAAGTCTAAGCTGGTGGCTGACACGCTGTGGGAAGCTCGGAAGCAGACCGATTAGTCTAACTGCAAGCATGGAGAGGCGGTCATCAAGACAGAACTACTCAGGGGATGCTAATTCCATGTAACTAGTCACTGGTACGTGCAAATGCGTCAGCTACCTCGGCACTGCCTTGGGTGGTGGCTCCGGCTGGCCGCAGGGCCGCCACGGGCTGATTGCTGACCAGTGCGAGTCGATAGACATCGTGCCGGCCAACGGCATTCTGATCACTCTGAACTCCAACTCCGAGCTCTGGCGGGCCGTGAAGGGAGCTGGCCACAAGTTGGCCCGGATGTGTTCCGTAGTACTAGGTCAATCCCAGCTTCTGCGGTAATGTATCTATCCTCGTCTTTGGTTTCACTATAACTTCGGCGTAACGCCGCTTAGACACTTTATGTAGTCAAGGCTCTCCCATATAAGACGCGTAGCACAGGGTCTGGCTTGTCAAATTATCTAAATACAATCACATTTTTCAGGTTTGTTTAAATGAAGCGAGCGTGTTGAGTAGCTGTTGGGGTCCTATTAAGACACTGGCTGAAGAGAACGGTGAATCTGAGAAGCCCTATCGTCATGCTCGCGACCTTCAGAGCCAGGTACTCAATCCCTTGAAAGGGGGAGATAAAAAGGGACTACAAAGTACTATATATTCCTGAAATTTCTGGGAATAGTCAATGAAAAGGATATGCCATATTCTAGATATCATATTCCACTAAGAGTTGCACTTGGTTCCAATAGTATGATCGGAGATAGAAATATGTCACTCAAGTTCAGTCACAATTAGAATCTTATTGCAGGAACTGAAACCAGACGTCTCCGCAGGTCGGGGATTGTGGCTTGGCCAGCTAAACAACAAGCGCCCTAGAAACCCAAAACCGAGTCCACACAAATAAGGCACCCGAAAGGGTCAGGCAGATACCAGTAAATAATTGCATTCTAAGATAATTGGTCCCTCCGGCATCCTCAAAGAAGCCGTCCGGCGATCGGCCCGGTTGCCAGTACTGCGAATGAAGGAATAGTGATGCAGATTCCTGCGTGATACATAGCACGTCCATCAGCATAGTAACCCAAGAATGACAGAAGGTGTCCTCACCGTTCCAACAGCCTATAACGTCTGTCGTCGGCGCCAGCATGGAGACACAAGGTGAGAAAATGGCCTGTAGTGCGCCCGACATCATCCCATATGCTACTGCCCACACGACGACGCCTGCGATACTGTGTACGCCGATCCAAGCAAAGGAGTTCACGGCGCAAGGAAAGGTGGCCACGATAACCGAGTTGAAAAACCCCAGGCCAGAGTCAGCTATCATGCCCAGGGCATAGCAACCCAAGAAGGCGCCAGCATTCAGGATTGCTGCATCGTAAAAGCCTAGGCTTGCCGAGGCGCCGCGCTGGATGGCATAAGGAGTGATGTAAAACTGGAAGGTATTGTTAGTGCATCTATCAGTTTAACAGACTGGCGCCACTAACCCACGGTACATAAATGCCTAGATTCATGAGGAAAACAGCCAATGTGAGCAACATAGTTCGACGATCGGTAAAATATTGTCTTAGAGGCAGTGACCTCTGCTCTATCACATGGATGAATCGATGCCGAACTAGTAATATAGCAGCAACCATGATGCCAAGCTGCATGAACCCGATAATACGTAGAGTCCAGCCATATGACACACCCTCAAAATTGAGAAGTCGATTTGCTAAAACGGACCAAATGATACCTGGAGTTGTAATATGGAATAAGTGATTGGAGCTTCACAGTTCACCGAGTATAATAAACACATACCTCCAGCCATCTGGCCAGACATGACGAGGCCAACGGCAAGTCCACGGCGTTTCAAGAACCATTGGGACTGGATGGCCAGAGCCGGTGTGAATATAAACCCATGCCAAGTGCCACACAAAACCCCTGGGAGAGCAGAAACTGATAGAATTTTGTCGAAACAGAGGACATCATATTGCCAAGGACCATGAAGACCGTTCCCACACCAAGTGGTAGGGCAGGCCCATGCTTATCAGACAAGGTTCCAGACCAAATGCCAAAGAAATAGCAGCCCCAAACCTGCGCGCTACCGATCCACGCAATATCGGATGTGCTGGAGGCTGGAAGGACGGTTGCCTTGAAGTAGCTCTGGAAAACGGATCCCCCGCTTAGGAACCCAATGCTGGCAACAAATGACAAGAATCCTCCTAGGGCTGTCCGCCAGGCTTGGACACCACTATCTGGGAGGATTTCTCCATTCTCAGTCGCCACATCTTCTAAGCTACCCCCAGCTTCCTCATCATTCGGAGAGAATTCAATGTGGCTGTGATTGGATCGTACTTCCTGTGCCTTCTTGTCCATCTCACTGTCTGCGGACATGTCGTTGCCTCCGAAAAACGAAGTCAGGGACTGGGGAAAATTAGATGGAATGCTTCCTGTAAATAGAATTTGAGATTGGCTGTTAGTATGCTTCCCTTTATGCAAAGCATACTCAGTAGCGGCTTTTATATGTGGAGGACCCCGGGGAAACGTACAAGCGGCACAGACGTTACTATCGCCAACACGAACCCCATAGAGAATCCAAGGTTTGTAAGGTTCAAGCAGGATTAACGCGATTGGCCATGCATGCAGCCTTTCATTCTAGACAACTCTAAGTGGCCATGATATGTTGTACTGAACTCAATTCTCCTCTTCCCCGCAGTTGCATGACGCTGGCTGGCACGCGATGTCGATAATTTCACAAGATACTCCTCTATCATCATGGTTATCGACGCGTAATGACTACCTAGATTCGCTAGAGCCCAAGCGGATCCAGGCATTTGCTATCTGAATAGGAAAGCTTATATATCTAGGTGTGGTGTGGCTCAGGACCCGTAATTCAGAAATCCAATATTCAGAACACGGTGGTTTTGCGAAAGAGGCTGCAACTGAGTTTGTTCCAGGCCGGTGCAGAGGCCCCCAATTAGGCTTACCCACACATACTATGCTGCCCCTCTCATATGTTTCTTATGGACGCTAGAGTGGGCTTTTCTTTTAGGAATATTGTAGTATGCACTCCTATATCAAGTTGGGCGACCAGGGCTGCCTATTATCCTACTAAGTCTTGATCTGGCCTTGGGTTTACCACTTGAATCTGTCCAGGATCTTCTTCAATTAACAAAATTGCGGTTGCAGCTGGAGTTACGGAAGATGGCTCCTGAAGTGCCAGAGAATTATTTAGACTCTGGACTCCATAAGCCACTTCCTGAATAGTATCAAGCGCTCCCCGCTCGGGGGTCAACATTTACCAGGCGGCTACAGATAAGGGTCGGTTACAGATAAGAGTGCATTCGACCAGGCTGTAGTAAGTTAAAGCTAAGGTTGGCGCTATTTTCCAAACCAATCCACTTGTCTGGTTGTGACGGTTAACGTTTATCAGACACTCAAAATTACAAGTTTAAAAAGGGTAAACCTCACATATAGTTATACACCAATGGTTCCATCGGCTCTGGTAAACCAGACCCTGTACAGACAATTCCCAAGGTTTGAGATAGAAATAAACGGACAATAGATCTTTCTGGATCACAATACGACTACTCTACTTATCTTCTTTGTATCTCGCGGTCTGGGCTTTCCCTGCCCTCCGAGACCCGAGGAGGTATAGTATTTAACTTACTAACCCCCTGCAAGGGAGCTGCGATAATGATCCAGAACTTGAAATAGAAAGAGACTTTCGAGGATTCCCTTCTTTGCAAAACTAAGTGCTTCTGGGGTATGTGTGCTTGGGCCCCGTGGGATGCCAACGAATTGTGTTTCGCACCCTGGGGCGAAGTTTAGATGGTCGGCACCATCTGTCTGCAAGTGTATCTTGACCCTCAACGGATCAGGCTTCCCTCGAACACTGTGGCGCCTGAACGATTCATGCTCGGTACAATTTGACCTTTCCTTATATTGCCAATTAGACCAACAGGAGCGCCAGCTGAATCAATCCGAGCATCTCCGAATGATTGTAGCAAGTCAGGTTTCTGTTCATTCTTAATTTATATAACACCATAGTCCAATCCGTGTCTTCTCATCAATAGCCCAAGACCGTATGGTCCAAACGCATATTCGTCAGGATCGTCCCAGAGTAATTGAAGCAGAACGCTAGCTTGGGCAGTGTTTCTCATAACGTAATGATTATGGATTAAGAGATGCGTGATTACATTACGCTGCTCTTCTTTCATCAAGCACGATCCAATTACCATAACGGGCCACATCAAGATACAGGAATAATTTGACGCGAGCATCTCCGGGAGATACTGTACGGCTTGATCCAGCAAAGATTGCAGGTGATGCGCGCGTATTAAGTCATGTTTGGAGAATGGCGAGACCGCGGTTTCCAAAAAGACCAATAAAACGATTCGGAACACACCCAAGGCTGTGCTGTGCCCAGGAAGCACCTCAGGGTCGGGGTGTTCTATCGCAGAAAGTTCCAAATGGCCGATGCGCATCTTCAGTTGGTCATATGTCTCATAGCGGTCGAGTGGTAGAAGGGTACCTGTCGATGACTGTGCGTCTTGCTCTCCCGCAAAGAGAGAAACGGAGGATATGAGTTCAAAGAGACTGTGGAACCCACTGAACATGACCCCAAATGCGCCCCAGTCACGCAGGTCATCCAGTGACTGCAGAAATGAGTCATAAATAAGAGTCCTATTGCAATTCATGTTGAATGGTGTGATGCTGTTGGATAGGACAATGTAAGAATACACTTCAGCTACAAACCCAAACAGCTTTCTCTCTGCACTTGACGTGAGCAAGTGGCCATTTTTTCGCAGGCGTAGGATGAGATGACGACCGGCGCGCAGGTGGGGAAAGGGGGATCCGTCCAGGTGCCCAGAGACCACCTAGATGATTCCAACCACGGCAGATAGACGACCAGTGGATTCGAAGGCGTGTCCCAAGTTGGGTGCCTTACCTCATAGTGAAACAGAAGAACAGTCGACAAAGCTACTCGAATAACTACAAGAGGTTCAATCAGCGTCGACTCATCCTTCAGCACCTGTCGAAGACTCTTCAACGCTAGGGAATAATGTCGGGAGGTTGCCCGTTGGATTGCACAGTTTTCTGGTAGTTTATACAGGAGATGGCCCCCACTTAGAGCGAGAATGCCATTCATTAGCAGATCGTCACTATAAGCAACCGGTAACAGCCAGGAAACAAAAGGTGTACCGGGGGCCGGGGCCAGTTTGGGACCAGTAACGTCCAGATAGTGTGACAGTAGGATTTGGGAGTCCGGCAGTAACATCGGTCGTCTCGGACTCAAGAACGCTTTCAGCTCCGGACACCATGACGCAATATGATTTTCCCTATCATCCATAGCGCGATAGGCATGATCAGAGGGCAAATTGGACTCCATGTTGGCGGCCCGAGCGGACGATGACATGGATGCGGGCGCATTTTTGGTCTCGGGGTGACAGGAACCCCTGGTTCGATCACGTTCACGCGGAGGAGCATCATCAGAAATCGGTGGCCCAGAATTGAGACCAAATATCCGGACTATATGGGGAGGCCACGAGCATGGCAACTTGTTGCGGGTGCAAGCGCGACATTGCGGCTTAGTCTCATCGCATTTCTTTTTCCGTTGACGGCAAGAGAGGAAACCTGTCCGGGTGCGCGGAATTCTTCGGTCCATTTTCACAATCGCAGGTGGGCTTCGGGCGATTTCCAACCCGGTAGATAGAGTGGAGGAGTGCAATGAAGGTAGGTGCCTTGCTTCCCCGGACTGAAGTTGTAGCAACTGTGGCAATCGCGGGGACCCCTACTGGAGACTTGCGTGGATCTGCCCAATAGCCGGGGCTACAGATACGGAATTAGCCTTTCATCGCCCCAGGGTACGGATCCGCCGTCCCCGAAGATCATGTACGGGAACGTCTCTCACCAGCGTGGCGTTCCACTAGTGATCGCCGTGAGGGTCAATGGGGGTCCGTCCGAGAACCACGATCACATGACTGTTATGATGTTTGTTTGGGTTTGCATTGGTCCACGGCGTTTGGAACCGAGACGCTTCTGCAGTCTTGGGTATAGCAACTGCTGTAATGTGATGGAACTGATTACCCGGTGGATAAACGATTAACGTATAGACTGAAGAAGGGCTTGCCGTTCTACTAATAATCTTGCATCAATTTCATTCAAACGAAACATTTTATTGTAGCAAATCATACAATCTGTGACAGCCTTAAATATATATCACCCATGCAAATATGTGAACAAAGTTACCACACAACACATCACCTATTACTTGCAGTCAAAACAACCAAGATCGCGAGCTCCTATATAGATATTGTCCTTGCCCTAATCCAGATATGACTGGTTAACAAAGGGATCAGTATATCTGGAAGCGCTGGATAACTGTACTAGAAGGGCTCGTTCCTCGGACATGGACATCAGATTGACAGAGGAGAGAAAGGATGTCGTCGTGCTGCATCCTCCTGCATGATCCAAATCATGATTCCGCCCTGTTATCGATGCCAACAATGCCAGAATCGTCACATCACTCGGTAAAGAGAAAGCTTGCTGCGAGATTGATCCATTGACTGAGATGCCTATTCTGCGGCTCGTCTCGGCAGTATTCGCTGATTTCAGCACTGCAATTGCGATGTCTGGTAAGTACCTCATCAGACCATTCGCGCTCAACTGGTAGACCATACTCGTGATTATCCTCTATGACACGACTCCACGTTAAAACAGGATTGCTAAAGTCGAGCAGTGGTTCAAGCCGCCCTTGAAAGTCCCCGAAGCGGACTACACGTGGTGTACCTGATTAGGTGACACCTTTCTACACGTGCTTATGCATGACGCTGGGAGCGAGCACTACAAGAAGGCATGAGCATGTTACTCGGCGCGGAATGGGCGACTGACCCACAGAGCGCCTAGGAGTATCTGAAAGAAGCCCGCAACCTGGATGAAGGAAATGTGGAAACTCTTTATGCGATGCTGCAGCACTATGCTGCCAGTAAAAAGGAGGACGAGGCACGGTCAACCTATGGGTAGTGGTCGACTAGCTTCAAAATATATGATGTGTAAAAGTATCGGTTACGTCACGGACAGACAGCCAGAACTGGAGCTGTTATCTATGGCTATGCTTTGTAGCGGGTCAAGATGATAATAGCTTTACTAGGACTATTTCCGACAATCCATTTGATCCACCATGAAATAGAAGGCTGTTGGCTTTAGCACTACCGATGGGGGCCAAGAAGAAATAGGGATTGACAGATTAAGAGCCCTTTCTTGATCTTGGCGATCACGTAAATGAACGAGACCTCGGCCCTCAAATAGCCGGGTCCGTATTTGCAGGCTGATGGCTTCTTAGCTGGGTGTATATACTCTTAAGTTCTCATATCAGTAGATTCAGCACTGATTAAAACCCCGGTCACTCATGCGGAGAACTTCTCCTTGTCCTCAAAGAAGGCCCAATTAGCGTCAAAGTACGTCTTATCCCGATACGTCAGTACCGCCACCGCGTCGTAGTCGAAGTCCGTCTGATTGCTCATTAAAACAACCACAGAAAAGTCGGATACCCTATCTCGTTTCAAGTATTGTTGTACATGAGTCAGAGAGAAGAGGTCTCCGGTTAAGTTCTTTATAATGGGGATATGGACGTTCTTGTACTGGTCGAGTATTGGTCTGGGGTGAGATTCTCTGTCCGACAGCCAAACATAAACAATTGGAAGCTGTATTTGGTGAGAGGGGGCCCCGGGGCAAGCTTCATATTGAAGAGCGATGCACAGAGGTACTATGGTTGGAAAAGGATGGTTATCGTGAGTGAGAGGAAGGCCGTTGTGTCGAGAAATAAATACTACTTTGCTTCTGCTGGATGGGATCGTCGCGATTAAACCGCCTGGGGCAGGGCTTAGGCTTGGCAGGACGCTTTAAATGTGTCTTGTCTCCCTTCTGGCTCTTCGAATTTAGACTCAGCAGCTATTTGTTCACCGAGCAACTTTCAGACGGCATAGCGAGCCAGAATTCCTCCGGCAGTGGGTCGTAATCATAGGCTTCTGGTTAACTGAAGAGAGCAATGCCCAGCAAGGAGCGATGGAACTACATGAGAAGGTCACATTATCTATCTACCGACAATGGGTGAATTTCACCAACAACCTTCTACTTGCTCTGAGCCTCACACCACCGAGACTTTAGAAGGTAAAGCAACTCTCTAGTACACACAAGTACATGTTGGATTTTAGAAACCAGCAAGATCCATGATACATCATAGAATTTGCACCAGCGCACACACTCTCCTCTATCTAACACTTGTGCCAGCGAACAATAGTACTCCACTTGTCATTATGGGAATCTTGACCCGAAAAGGTCTGGCCACCAATCAGACAAGTATTTAAAATAAGTTGCGCCCCGTCCGCAATATTGTTGAAGCTGGGTAGCACCTTGGTGAAAGTGTTCTTTGATTCCCGTCAATATGCATCACACCAGGATAGAAAGAAAGTAGATATCTTTAAGACACTTACATCATTACACCACCAAATAGCCGAAGACCAAGAGCAGCTGACCTGGCCGCAGCTACCGGGGCCGGGCCCTCTTTGGGGCTTGCCAGGAACACCCCTCAAGTACTGGATTCCCTTTTCAATGTGAACCCGTCTAGCCTTCGGATAACCTCCGCATTTAACGTTGCCGCGCTTCGTCAGGTGCGAGGAAGTGTCTTCTTCCTCCACAGGCTGTTCAACTTCATCGGCGGGGATGGCAAACTCGGCGTCGTAGTTGGGGTTGATGTCGCGCAGCTGAGAGAGGACTTGCTCGACTGTGCCGTTCAGGACGACGGTTGAGCCGCCGGGCGTTGTCTCGACTTCCCAAGAGAATTCCTCAATGGTATATCCCTCGAGTGGAGATTCGTCGGGTTGGGCCTGGTAATTGGTTAGAAGCCACTGGGGGAGGATGATAGATATGATGGAGAGAATATGAAACGAACCCGAGCCAGAAGGCCGGCGGCCAAGAACCAGACGTAATTGAAGACTTTCATTATCGCGAGTCTAGATAGTTCAGAAGATTGAGAGGATTGGGCATGAGAATCGACATTTTCTAGAAAGTCGCACAGCTTTATAGCTTTCTGTGCAGCACACCGAATGTTCAGTTATATTACTATGGAGGCCTAACTGTACACCAACCAATTAGTCGGCTCAAAATCGGCCAAACCAAACAACCCAGACGATGAAGAGTTAGAAAGAAAGGCCCAGTTACCGGACTAGGTGAGACATATCCAGAATTCCGACCTTGATATAAATGGGTCTCTCTCAGCTACTAAAGATCGTCGGACAAGCCTCCAAGTCAGACATGGTTGCTTATTCGCCGTGGGCTAAGTCTGTGGAAACTGCCAAGGGGGCCATTTTTCATCGTTACATAATTAATTATTGTTGTTCGCAATAATGGCGCACTCGTCCGGCGGAGTCCAGCTAATGTCGTTATTGTTTTTGATAGTATTCCCTGAAAAAGTTCCTGTGTCAGCTTTTAGCGAGATTGATGGGTCGCAGAACGCAGATATTGCCTGCTCAGTGGGATCTTGGTACGGTAGACCCACTATGTCTCCATCCTTCGGTCAAGACTTTGTCTTACTGCTCTGGGGGCCGATTCTGAATCCGCGTGCCGAGGGATGTTGCGCTAGAAGCTCGACGCAGGAAGAAAAGACTGCATAAACCCAGCCTGACTTGAAGTGATTGGGAGTTTGCCCGGTACATATGATAGCAAATCTTCAATTGGATGTGTTGGTATATCGATAGGACCGATTATATGCGCCTGCCCCCGTTTGATACTAAACACCCATTCATCCACTCCGATATTCCCCACCCTGGAACCATCGACGTTGAACGAAGACTGGCAGCTTGAAGAAATATGTCCCTGAGATTGCACAGATGCACTATACTCTATAGGGGAAATGCATGGTACGAAGGCCACCCCCTAAGAGCTGAAGTGGCCACAAGCTATGTTCAAACAACCACAATTTCCTTCAAGTCACAGTCTCGACAACCGTATATAGCAGCACGTAACTCAACCATAGGACATTTCCGAGACCTTCACATACTACTCTATGGTAGCTGTGTTGACTTAATCATCGTAGTTCCCTGCGATACCTCCAACACCTCCAACACCTCTCTTTCATACTTTATGTTAATGCGTAAAATAATTAAGAAATCTATACAATCTGCCGCCAATAATACTCCTCAACCAACCGCGAATGCTCCCTCTCCAGCACCATCGGATCTAAATCCTCAAACGCCATACTCCAGATCGCCTGCGCCTCAGCCTTCGCAGTCTTCCTCGCCGAGTCAAGACCTGCTCCACAATCAGCCAAACCAGACGCCCAACAAATGGAAATCCAGAAACCGAAAAGAGGGACGTACCAATATGCTGCGCCATAATCGGATACAACGCCCACCTCCCCCATTCCATTTCAACAGCCATCCGATTCAACAACAAATCCACCTGCCCACTGCCCCTGCTCCGCAAAAAATCCACAATATCCGCTACTCTCTCCGTCGGAAACACCATTGCCTGCGAACAACACCCAAAGGGCTCCTCAAACACCCCAGGTGCAGGGGGCAAAACCGACGCCTTGCCCGCCTGGAAAAACAGCACCACCATCGCCGGATTCAGCACGAGCATCACTACCCCCAGCGTGCCCCAATCGACCCATGACCGGGCAATCCTACTCTGGCGCCGGGCCACATACCCCACTAGCGCAATGGAAATAGCGATGGCGAGAATCATCCAGTGCTCATTGTTTCCGCCGATGGCTCGGTTCGCCCATCCCGTTGAGCGTTCTTGGTTGAAGAGACGCATGAAAAGCCATGAATTGGCTTTTGAGGGGGGGATTTGGGAGAGGCCGAGCAGGGTGCGGATGAACCAGGTGTTTGCGAGGAGGATGTCGTCTTCAAAAACGGCAATGTAGGGGGCGCCGGTGGTGTGACAGAGTTGCAAGGCCTGGATGTAGTCGATGATCCCCTTTTCGGCGTAGTTGGATGTTGATTGGAGGTGGGAGAGGTGGGATAGTTCGACTCTGCTGGCATTGTAGGTGGTGAACGTGTCGGCAATCGTGCGGAGCCAGGTGGTATTCCAGTTTGGGTGGCTGAATGGGTTTGGTTCGGCGATGAGGATGGCCACGTGGAGGTCTTGCCGTTCTTGGGAGGTCAGGGTTGCGAGGGCGCTCGCTATGGAAGTCTTTTGGGTTTTGCTTTGGTGGTGAGCTTTTAATTTCCGGTTTCTAGGGTTGGATGGTCAGGACCAACGGACTTCTAGATAGTTACTTGTTTGGCGGCGGACGGAGCTAAAGGCTAGGCAGAGTGTGGGATGAGGGCCGGATTTGATGGGTGGTTCTGACGTTGGTGTTGTCTTTTGGAGCCGGATGAAGGCGTCTACTTCGCTGCGGCGATGCTGGGAATATCGCTGTTCAAAGGCGTGGACTTCATCATAGAAGATGCTCCCAGGGTCGCGGTAGAAGTGTGTCTTGCCATACCAAATCGTCCAGGATATAAAGGCGAGGCATAGAATTAATTTCAAGAGTAGACGAGGCATTGCAGTGGACTGTACGATGGCTGCGACGAGAAAACTTTGTCCTAGATTTTATCTACATCTGCCCCGTTTGGACCCATTAGAGAGACATTGTCCATGATCGGATTTTACCAGGCCGAATCTCCACCTACTGCACAGCCCGACATGGTGCGGTGGATCTTAGCAAGGGTCTGAATCTCAAAATGGAAGGTGTAGAGAGTAACATGAATCGTTGTACAGTATTACAGTGGAAGGATGCCCTAGTTGTAACAAGAGGTGGGTATATCCGACTTTACCAACCAGGATATCGAAGTAGTCAAGCGGGCTAGCCAGGATTATCCTCACGTTCGTTGATCTTGTTCTCACACTACCTTCTTGGTGAAGAGATTAAGTAGGGTCAACATTAGTGTCCGCCTTGATATCTCGATTAAGGGAATATACATCATATCTTTCAACGACATCAGGTTAACATAATGCAGAGTGTTATGGTCAAGTTCTCCACATGTTTCAGTGCCAAGGAATCAGAGTGACATCGCTCTCTTGTCCAGGTTTGTGGGCAATTATTGGGCCCCACAGACCATGACAAAAGATACGAGTTGTGAAGGACGGAATTAGAGAGGATCAACATTACTGGGCTGCTTTGTCGTGTGAAGAGCGGGGGCTATGATAAAGGAAGCTCTTGTGTGGTGTTTGACAGAGAAGGCTGACCCCCTACTTCTAGTCCCGAGCCGTATAGGGGGGCATACGACGGTTGGACTTCGTATAGCCGTCTCTTATTCAGCAGCCCCACCCGCCTTCGGTGTGTTGGTCTGCCACACCCCAACGATAATTCCTATGTCAACGATAAATTTGAAGCTATTCAGATTCCTATACAACATCGCCTTGAGTATCTATCCAAAAAGGTAATCTAGGATCTTCCTTATCTATCTGGCTAGTCTCTGTACTAGGCAGACCCTCTATATCTCTCTGTTGTGGTGGTTTATTCTGTTCTAAAGTTCCTGTTTTTCTGATCTGTTTAAGATCCTGTAGTCTTTCTACCTCTGTACAATTAGTAATATAGTGTTTTGTATTATATATAGTCAGTGGTCTATTATACCGGATCCTTCTCTGTGATTTCTGTCTATTTTGAGGCTTTTGATATCGGAGATATTGTTATAGATTATTCTTAAGCTAAGCGACTAATTCAGTGGTTTCTAGCGAGCTCTGGAACACACGGTTAAGATATTGTACAAAGCTTTGATTAAGCTCTGGACTATTTTTAATAAAGCTCTGGGCTTTACTAATACTTTGACGAAGATTTTGTATTGTAGATAGTGGCGATAAGCTTAATAGTAGTGGTGATGATATTGTAAATATCTGAAGCTCTGGAACTAATTCTAAAGCCTTATTTAAAGATTCAAGAATTGGCTCTGAATTTAAGGGATATATATTTTATTTTTTGAAGGTATATCGGATTGTATATTATTTAAAAGTCTTTGTATAAATAGAATAAATCTGTTTTAAGAAATTATTTTTATTGTTTATCTCAGTGTCTCTTGAAACAAGCTTATTATTTTGCTTATAATAGAAGTGTTTGTAGGCTTGAAAAGATTATCTATTGAGAGACTATATAAGGTATATTATATAAGAAGGAAAACAGTAAGATATAATATAATACTGTTCATAAAACTGAAGAAATTTATAGGTAAGATAGGACTTGTGACTATTAAAAAGTAGTAATTGAATCTCTTTTTTAGAGATACAGTACTTTGTATAACAGTAGAAGTACTGAATTCAGTTAAAATTAATTTTGTCTGAAATATAGTCTTTAGAAGACAGAGCTATTTAATATTTATAAGAAATATCTGTATTGTACTATCTTTCTAGATAATATATATTTTTAAATATAAAGTATAGAGAAAGAACAAAACTGTCAGCTATAATATACTCTATTATAGAGATCAGTTCCCCTATTTCTTTAGATAGATTTTCTCTTGTGGCTTGTACAGGTATAGTAATTATAATTTTTTAAGACTTTCTCTGTCTCAGTTAGAAGCCGGTTTTATTAAAATTATATATATTTTTAGGAGAAATTTACTTGATAATAGACTCCAGGCAGTTGTACCAGTATTGAAAAATATCTATTTTCTCTGTATTAAGGTAATTCTTGTTTTTTGGTTTCTGTTGAATAAGCTGAAACTTGCTCGGGAGATATTTAATAAAGCGATATACTCAGTTTTTATTAACTGTACAAGATAGTCTGTTAATTGTATTCTGTTGTAGTATCTGGTTGGTACTCTGTTTAATTATTCCGGCTGTAGGAGGACAATATAGATTATTAAGCTGACAAATCTAATAAATTAGTGTCTTTTCTTGTATATTATCAAGGGTCTTGGTTAAGATAGGATATATACTTCGAGTCACTCGGTCTTGAATTTATGCTCGGAGTTGTTGATAAGGAATGTTAAATTGATATGCCAACGCAGTGATATTAGGCTTTTTTTGATCTTGAGCAATTTTACAAGTCTGTACGATATATATCTCAATATCAGAATAAGAATCAGGTATTGTAGTGGTAGATAAAAGGTCTAAATAGCTTCAAATTTATCGTTGACATGGGAATTATTGTTGGGGTGTGGCAGACCAACACGCCGAAGGCGGGTGGGGCTGCTGAATAAGAGACGGCTACCCCGGAACATTCCCATTTCCGGGCCAATCGGGACTAGATCGGCCTTGTTGTTCGAATGTTTTCAATCATTTCTCGATCTAGCTAATATATATTTCTAGATTAATACTCTCTATACAATATTAATCAATCGATTTACATAGGGTGAGATGTGGGGGGCACCAAGATAAGTTTGGTGTCAGATGACGGAGTTATCATTAAGCTAGCTCCGGCCCAGAGCACGCGGAGGGGAATATCAATATCCTCCGACATAAACACCATGGTCTGTGTCTCTGGGCCGCATTTCTTAACCTGCCATCAACTCCACTCTTCCGGTGAGAAGTCGCCCCTCCAATTATGCCGTTCTCCCTTCCTTATTATCGAGATTCTCGTCAATTACCAGGACCTCTTCCTGATCGGAATGAGATCGAACGGGCAACAAGAACCCTCCCCAGGAGATCAGACTATGGTGGGCGCCTGGTTGTAATCAGAGACAAATATGTTGTGAAGTATGGCCCACTTGTGACTGAAAATGAGGGATACGCTCTACTTTTTGTTGAACAACAGCTCAACATCCCAGCGCCACGACTCTATGCCATGTACCGCGACCGGGACAGCCTGTATATCGTCATGGAGTACGTCCCCGGCATTTCTCTAGGGATGGTGTGGGCTTCGCTCACTGAGGCAAATAAACATTCGATTGTTGGAAAATTGCGATGCGTCTTCGACCAAATGAGAGCGCTGCCATCGCCCGGATTTTACGGCAGTGTCAACCGAGGACCCGTTCCCCATAGATATTTCTTTTCTCGTGAAAGAGACACCGCCGTTACCGGCCCCTTTCGGACAGAAGAAGAATTCGGAAAAGCCATCGCACTTCGCTCAAAAGCTATGTGGAGCGAATCAAATAGTCACAGCTTTCTCTCTGACTATCTTGCTCGTCACCTTCCATCAGCACTTCGCAATCATCCGCCTACATTCACACACGGAGATCTCTACAGAGAGAATGTCCTCGTCAAAAAGGTCGTCAATTCTCTCGCAAATGAAGAAGAGTATACAGTAGTTGCTCTTGTGGACTGGGAAACGGCTGGATGGTATCCTTCGTACTGGGAATACGCTCATATCTTCCCTTTATTGCAGTGGATTGACGACTGGCCGGCATATATTGAGAAGATTCTCGATCCCTTGCCGCTCGAGGGCGCCATGATGCGGATCGTCTTTAGTGATCTAGAGTTCTAACGTAAGATAATACCATGTACCCTGGTATATTTTACTCAACCCCAAATCTTCACTGACGATTAGTCTGCGCCATAGCCCGCAAAGGGTAAGCTTTACCTACCCATGCTCCAACACCAGCCGCATAGCTTAGACCGTACACTAGTCAATTCTATCTCGAGACGCGCCGGTTAACCGAGAAATAACTATCACTCGAACAATAAATGGTAACCAGAAGGTTGTTGTCGGCAAACTACGGACCATGAAAGGCGCCGCGTTTAACTCCCATGCGAGTAAACACGTCGCGACTTGCCTCAAAGATACGCGGCGTGAGCTGCTCGAGAAGATCAACCAACGGGCTGACGGCCCAATCACTCGCGAGCATATATACTAGACGTAGAATGACCGCTACGAGACTCGCGATCTCACACTGACCGCAACAAGACGCAACGAAAGTCTAGGAAGCACTCAAGATGGTTTTCAGGAGAGGTGGGTCTTTTGGTGAAGTCAAGAAGGGACGAGCAATGTCTGTGGTCAGAGGTGGTGAAGATGTTTTTAGTCCGCTATCCGGGGAGAATCCCTGGTTCGATCAAAGTATACTGGAGCACCGTCATCAGAAAAGATGACAAAAGATGACACTAAAGAAACCTTTCTAGGTGATTCGGCCTCGCCAGGAACATTCTGTAACCATTAAATATGGTTCCGATGCAACCATGGGCGACCTCAAGCCAAACGAGACATCTTCAGGGCTCGCTACAGTATCCGTTTTTGCTCCCTTATTTGCGCCAGTGTCAAGTTCCGGTTGTATGTTCGTATTTCATGATATTTAGCTGTGGCATAATTGGACTACTCCGAGCTTTCGATGGATTTTCGCAAGGAGAGTGATGTGCGTAGTTAAATGATGCCTTCTGGCCTTTCGGCCTCCTGCAGTTTCGATTTATATGAAGTTGCCTCCCCCAATCCATTGACTGATCAAGCTCTACCCACCAAACGTTCCAGAGTAGAAACCTGATTTTCTTATTGCCTCGTCTCTATTTTAAAGCAGCTTCTTCTCGGTCAGCCCTATTATTCAGCCTTCCGCAAAAGATCTTTGGTTTGTTGTACTCCTTCACTTTCCAACTCGGGATACAAATGGAGCACATGATGCAACTGGGATCTTGCAGCTCTGAAGTTGTCTACTGTCCATGGACAGTGCATCTTGACAAATCTCTCATGGATGTCTTTATAGTGGAAGGCTGATTGGAAAAACAGTCTCTTCCTAGAGTTTTTCAGCAGCGTCGACACAGTAAGAGGCAAGTGGTGTGAGATCTCCCTCTTCCATATTGAACTCTCAAGGTAAAGACGGTCCATAGCGAAGCTTTCGCCCTCTAATACACCATCATTATTCCATCCAGGGACATCGGCTATGAACCAGGGGTGGTGGATAATTGCTGGCAGCGGTGCTACAGACATCCAATCCCAGTCAATGACCCTGCAATAGAGTCCATATATTAGCAATGGTATCATGTAGAAGATATAAAAATGATGTATTGTGCTTACCCTGTCAGGTGGAATTCGTCAGTCGTCATGATATTATGCGCGTTCAGATCCCCATGGGTAAAGCCGATACCGGTGTATTTATCAAACTCGGCAGCATAATCTGGGATCATGGACCGCATGGTAAGATAGTCAATAACATTGCCCCACCTGGCAGTACCTCTGAGAGTTCGCCGAAGTCCTCGGTCCAGGCTTTTGATGAGCCAATGCGAGTACAGACAACTTTTCTCTCGAGCAAAGTCAGGAGGAGCAGGAATAGTCCATAGTTGCATAAGAAATTCTGCAAGATCATCCAAAAGCCTTTGGAGTCTATTTAAAGGAATTTGGGAGTTCCAGATTGCTAGTGGCTTGTCACTTATCCATTCCGAATATAGCACAGGCTGCTCGGCTTCAACGAAGAGGACTGGCGCTTTTATCTCTGGGCTTTTTTTTTTTTTTGATGTGTTGGAATTGTTTGACAGCTCACAATTCGTTTTTCCAATTTTTGGGATCGTTGCTGACTCGGGCAGCCCATAGTACGGAGTCATCAAAAATAACTTTTGAAGACGCGGTGTGAGCATGGGATACCTAGGCGAAGGCGACTAGCTTTAAGGAGCACATCATTTGAGGCTGCCATATTGAAACTCCACGAAATAGAGGTGAATCTTGTCCTCAGCGGTGCGGAATGACAGGGCGAAGATGGAAGGTGGATGGATAGTGGGGATGGATAGTGGACATCGGCGGCACTAGTGTTGCTTGTAGGCCTAGGAATGGTCCGGTCCTTGATCTTTTTTTTAAAAGTCTAGAACTGTATTATAGTCCCCCGAGATTATCTTAACAGTTCTCTACAGAAAGTTATTTTTATATAATTTTAGTAAAATTTTCTCTATCTAATAGAATAAATATAGTAAAGTTTAAATTAAGATAAAATAAAAATTATATATATATTCAAAAAAAAGTTATAAATTTTTTTATATATATTAGATATTTAATTATAACTCTAAATAATTAATCTAACTAATATATATTATAGTCTCCAGGCCTACTCGTGTGAAACCTGGCTGAGACCATACTAACTGCTTCATAAGCCGATCGAAAATCAGTCGCACAAGCTTGCTCTGATGCGGCACTTAAGTTCGCTGGCTGTGAAAAATCCAAAATATGTTCAGAAGATTGTGGATGTCGCTTTTGCCCCAGCGGCATTTCGAAGGCGTCAAATGTTCAGTCCGCTTGAGAATCAGCGAAACGCGGGGCGTTGATCGATCGTCGTTCCGCGTTTCATGTGAGTTCCTCGGGCCAATCACGGACCGGACCAAGGGCTTTAGCATCATTCACACTATTGGCATCATCCAAATGGGCTCTTTGATAGACTTTTGAGAGTCGGCTGTGCAACCGTACTTGGTACTCTCCTCGTACTTACCATTCCAGGCAAAACCTAGTGCTCGCACTCATGCAAATGATGTATGATGGAAGTGCCGATGGCCGGATCACCCCAACTCTCGGACCCGATGGCGATGAGACGAGTTGCCACAGTATGTTATCGATCCCTCGAAACTTTGGTCCTACGCCCTCCTCGCCATCGAATTTTAGTTTTATTAATACCAGTCTTCTGATTCCCGCTGAAGTTCCTTGTTCCCAAACGGACTCCTTATGAACAGATGAACTTCCGTCACTATAATATGGAGGCTGGGCAGAAGCGAAGGTGTATGACGAGGATTTTCTGACCTGTACTTACTATTAGATTAAATAAAAGGTTACTTGTAACACAGGGACTGTAATTTAAGATAAGAGCAAGATCTGGTTCTTGCTCCTAGATCTTATTGGAGAATCATTCTTCAACCAAAGTTGTTGGGGAAATTATGCGCCGAATATCCACACAAAAAGATTCTATTAGTTGACACATCCATTAAGAAAAGGCTATCTAATGAGGTTATTCCTGCCGAAGCTCCGCAGCTAGGCGCAGGGCGGCTGAAAAACGGGGTACTTCTTCCGCTACTCAGGTTTTGCTACAAGAACTTGACCGGGAGGTCAACGCGGAGGGATTGAGATGGGACATGATATAACATGACACGAGACAAAACAAGACTGATGGTGAGATATGTTAGTATTTCCTGTTACCAGAGAACAAACACGCTCCTTTTGACCTCCGATGGGACCTGTGGCTAGTCAACGCACATACGCAGGTGCATAGTCGGAACTCAATTAGAGCCGCTTAAGGGGAGTGGGAGGAAAACAGGGTACGAAGGTAAAGCTCCAGCATGAAATGAACTGTTAAATTCAGGAGCGTACTTGGAATCTACGTGCCTAAGCATGCACGAGCATACAGGACGTGGAGGTTACCAGGCTGCGCGACAAATGAATATAAACAACGTGGACATCTCGCCTCATATACGGTGCCGGTGAAGTCTGAGATCAAAGAGATGCTTTGGCAGAGTGGGCACATCACCTCAAGTTCGAGGGGATTCGGATCCCACAACCTCGCGAAATAGCCCCAATAGGAAACCTTTGTACCGTGGTCAAGCTATAGATGTCTTCCTGTGCCCTTGCGAGGCGACGATCATTACGTACAATGGCTCCACCACGAAATTGCCCTTACATAGGGCAAATAGCCAATCTATTCCCCTTAGGGGTAAGCTATCTTCCTCCTTGGTCAACATTAGGGTCAACATTAGGGTCAACATTAGGGTCAACATTAGGGTCAACATTAGGGTCAACATTAGGGTCAACATTAGGGTCAACATTA